AGGACAGCTTGTATATACAATTACATTTAATTACTTTGCTGATTAGCGAATTTTCAATCAACATATTGAGGGAACTTATAGTAGGGTTTTATCACCGCACTTTTCACCATGATTGGCCATCTGCAAGATGGTCTTAAAGCTCAACGTCGAAACTCGTCAGTTGAGCGTCACCTTAAGTAGATGAAGGCGTACAGTGTTCACACCCTTTAACCCAATTTGGAAAATGCTCACTTAAAGCCTTTGAACACTAAACCTAGACCCTACTGATTCAGTCTCAGGGCTCGTTATTGGTTTCCGTCTTACGCCCCGGGAAGTGGTTGAGCACTTGGTTAAAAGCGTTTGGGCAACCATTTGCTTGTACATGTATACTGTAATCTGGTGTTGAACGCAGCTCATCGCAACTGCCTGGGAGTGCGTATAATGTTGAGCTTCAAGAGTACACCACTTGATATTTATCCAGTGCCCTTTCCACTTACAATGGTCCCGTTTGACGACTTCAATTGACTGGTTGACTCTCTAGAAATAATTCCCTTGTCGGATGGCTTCAACACGAAACCTGTGAGCGCATTTACCCCGTCCCGTTTAGTCCCCCACCTACTTCAGGCAGGCCAGGCACCAACGGGCCAGTAAATTTGGAGAGGTTGTCCCACTTGGTCTTGACACTGGCGTTGTCGAATCCGGAACCTAAAGGTTATAAAGATGAAAGCCTCCGTGTTAAACCGTCGGCTTCATCTGACTCGACAATCTCAATGCATTCGCTTACTTCATACTCGGCCTCCAAGATTCAATTTTGATCATTCAACCTTGCACACCCCAAGGCGCCGCAGTGGCATCACCGAGTTGACAGCTCTCAACAAGCTAAACCTGAATCTTCCCAGAGGCTACGCGGAAGACGCAGACAACCGCAAGATGAATATGGCAAATCTGTTACTCAACCTTGACCTCCTGTTGAGCCAGAATGGAAGCTCAGAATCAAGCCAGCTCAACAACAACCGCATTACCCGAGGCAACACACCATCTGGAGTCCTCGAACATGTCCTACAGCCAGATGCGACTCCCAGCCAGATAGAGGCGAAGCTGTGGATTGTAGACCGCATATTGGAGCCTCAGACGATTCCGCACTTCATCGAAGCCACTATGTTTGGGGTTCTTTCTGACGGGAGTCCGTCATCCTTCCCGCCTCTGTCGGAGGAGGTTGTGATGCTGATGCAACAGCCGCTTGCTTCCTGGGCGCCGCCTCCATTCGACGTCAGTCATGAAATTCCCGTGCAGCAGATGATGGTGCGCATCGGCTCTCATGAAGATTCGACCCGGCTGGTGCCTATTTCAAAGGAGCTTCACTCGATGAAGTCGAGGCTCTGGGAGGGCATTATGCCCCTTTCTGAGAGGCGATGGCACGAGCTTAAGCTTGACTCGCCCGAAAATTTCCACGCTGCTTGCCAGTATATTTGCGCTATTACAAATACCTTTCACTATCTCAATCTCGCACCCATCAAGGGAGCTCTTCGCGAAACGTACAGTCTCATTTGGGCACACTTGAAGGATTTTGAAGACGCAGTGAATGCCAAGAACAAGCTGGAAAACAAGCCCGAAGTTCAAATCGCAGCTCGGTGGCACGAGTATATCAAGGCTCACTTTAATCTCGTCGCTTCACGCTCTCACCGTTGGGTGGTCAACACCATTGACCGTCTCCGTCTTCCGATTCTAGAGGAGCTTTCGGGCATTCCCGCAACGGCCGAAATCACACCTACCCCGGAGGAATGGACACTGACAAACAAACTTCACGATTTATTGGAAAATGGGGCTCAAGCTGATTCGGCAATCTTTTTGCCAATGGACGGATATGAGGGTGAAGACCTTGCCGCGCAAGATGACGCGCCGCCGCGACCAGATGCCTCTGAGCCATACCGCAGGGAACCCATCTCCTTTTCGGCCAACGCAGATGCTCGAAAGGCCGATTACTATTTGAGGCTAAAGTATTTGTCGCGCACCGAGGCATGGCTTGGCCAGGAGCGTGGCGGCATGGACATGCCGGCTGGCTTGCCGACCGGCTTTGAAGTCTTGTCTGATTATGCAAAGACGGCTCAATGTCAAGTAACAGCACAAGAAAAAGTAAGGCTAGAGCTTCGAGGAGAGCCGGCACCCATAGAACAAGAGCAATGGGTGATGAAGGCAAACCAGTTCATTGGTTCCGGAAACAATTTCGAATGGGGATATGTGGCATATCGTCTCTCTCATGATCATACGGATGAAGAGTGGGAAGCTTTCAAGGCGAAATTTGAGGCTGACATTGCGAATTGGGGTCGTGAACTGAGCAATGTTGACACAATTAGAGAAAAGTCCAAGATTTATTGGCGGGATGCTCGGGATTTAGGCATCGCGGATGGAGACATCGATACTCTCAGAACGTACGTATTTCACTTGCACACAATCCGCAGTCATACCCTACTTACTTACCACATAATACAGTCAATTCCAATCTTTCCGGGACTCGGAGGAATTTTCATCTGGCGTTCACAGTGATATTCTTCTGGCGGCGGACAAGGGCGTCATCGAATCGTATCTCCATCCAGTACCGCAGCAAAACGGCTTCGTGATTGCCATTGACGCGGACCATGACCCCAATGAGGTTGACACAGAGCGTATGGATGAATCCCCTGGCTACAAGGGTGTTATGCGCGTTCTTGGGAGCTTGCTGTGGGACGATGTTGGGCCTCTTGTGTTTATGCAGACGCAGGGCTTGTTTGAGCTGTGGCCGCTTGCGATGCATCATCCCCAGGGAGTGTATGAAGGACCTCTGGGAGGGTTTTAGTTAAGAAAAGCTAATGTGGCAGAGATTCTTTTTGCTTTTTTACTTGTTTGTACTAGAGAGATCATCCCCTTTTCGTTTGCAATGGAGGGATGCTTAGAGATTTACCCTACTTAATTTTTTAACTCAAACAAATCCTGTTACTGAAGAAGCTTGATGACAGAACTACGACTTAATGCCAAGCCATGCTATCTTAATTAGATCAAAAGACTCAATAGACACCGTCTCCATCAAATATTAGTAACAGAACCGATCAAATGCTGAGCGCGGAACTAGTGTCGAGATGTTCAGCTGACCAAATCACCTATTATGGAGGCGTCATAATGGCATCACATTCAACACGATATAAGCAATGTCGAGTATTTCGCAACATGGATTTCGACAATTGAGGACAATTGCTTGTCTCGTGCCTAGGAATCTGTTTCCAAGTCATTACCATTCTCGTGGCTGTCATATAACATACAGACAAATCATGTCGCATCCGGACAAAATAGGCCGCTTCATTGAGGCCATGAAGACCGTCTACGGCCCCTTTGATGAGTTGTCGAGTGACAGTGCAAACGACTGGGTTCCTCCTGATAACCCTGGAGCCGGCGGCCATCGCGGTAGATATCTCTGGACAGACGCCTTTGGAGTCGTCAACTTTATCACTCTCTTCAAGGAAACCGCCAAACCAAAGTATCTCACACTGGCGAAACGATTGGTGGTGACTGTCCACGATATACTAGGCCGCACGAGAGACGGAAAGGAAAGACTGGACGGCGCAACGGATGAAGAGCCGCTGGTAGGAGGCCTACGAATCGGCAAGCTGGATGCTTCCGGGAGCGACGGTGATGGACAGTACCATCATTATTTGACGTTGTGGATGTTTGCGCTGAACAGACTCTCTATTGCGGCGGGTGAGAGGGAGTGGAATGATTTGGGAATTCAGTTGGCGAGGGCGATTCATCCGCGGTTCTTGGTGCATTGCTTGTCGGGGGGCGTCAAGATGGTGTGGAAGATATCCATGGATATGAAGAGTGTGCTGGTTCCTTCTGAGGGCCATTTAGATGCTGCGACAGGATATGTCGTCTACAAATTGATGCAAGAGACTGCATCGAAACAGGGCCATCGGAATGGTGTGTTGCAGCAGGAGATTAACGATTACTGGAATCTCATGTCGAGGAAGGGAAGCCTGTCTCCTGGAACCGACATGTTGGATCTGGGTATGGGACTATGGATGTGCCACATCTGGAGAGACGAGCCGTGGGCCATCAAGTTCCGCAGCAAGGCATTGCCAAAGGCAGAGGAGCTACTTGACGCATCTTCGGTGATGACGCAACGAAGCGCATCACGAAGATTGGCGTTTCGCGAGTTTGGCACATGCGTAGGTGTGAGTTGTAGTGATGCGGGAGAGAAGTTGCAGGATCAGGTGGAAGATTTGTTGGAGTTTTGGGAGAAGCACCTGGATCGAGGGGATGGGGAGGATGATTTGAAGCCGATTTCGCGGGTGATGTATGCGACGGGTCTGGTTGTTGGAGGTGAGACTTTGATTGAGAGTGTCTTTGAGGCTTTTGGCTGACTTTGAGTAGCTTTTCGAAGAGGATATCTTGAAGATGAGGTGCAGTGAAGGATTGCAAATGGTAAATGTTATGGAGTTTCGGCATTTGAATTGCATCTGTTGTTTGGATTTGATCCTTGTGTCATTGTGGACGATAGTCTCTTGTGTGGGCATTGGAGCTATCACAGATATGACAACACCACAATTGTGGAAGACGTCATTATATTGATAATATACATGTAATCCAGAAGATTTGTCATTTGACAACTGTATAGTCTGAATATCTGTAAGTCTCCAGTGAAGAAGTGGGTGAACGGCTTGGAGATACTGAAGCAGCACCGGGATTTGCATTTCCCAAAAGTCCCAATTTGGTAATTTTCCCACCCTATTCCCGTTCTCTCACGGCGGGGATAAATGCTGTAAAGCCGATGTGCTAATTAGATCGAAAAGCTGTGGGTGGGCCGATCTATTGCACATTTTAGGCCCGCCTATCGTTTGTTGATCTGTTGTATGTTGAGATACTTAAAGGCATTCTATCCTCCACCAGTCGATGAAAATTAAAGAATCAATCTTGAATGAAAGACTCACAACATATTCCTGAGAGACATATCGCAATTCATTATAAGCCAATCTGCTAGGAGAACCGTCACAATGGCGCAACTTACTCTGGCATCCAAGTATAAGATGCTTTCGGGCTATGAGATTCCCGTCTTAGGATTCGGAGTAAGTCGTCAGAACTATCAGATACGCATACTAATTGAGAATGAACATGAGAAACTAACCAACAACATAGACTGCTGCCGGTGCTGACCAACACTTCAAAATCGGCCACGAAAAAAGCGTGGCAGCCAACATTCACGCGCTCAAATCCGGATACAAGCACTTTGACTCAGCGCGCGCCTACGACAGCGAAAAGGCCTGTGGCGAAGCAATCAGAGCATCTGGCATTCCCCGCGATCAAATCTTTGTCACCACAAAAGTTCGCAAAGGTGGATATAAGGAGACCAAGAAGGCCATTGAAACGAGTCTTCAAGAGACGGGGCTGGACTACATCGACTTGTATCTCAACCACAGTCCCTATGGTGGCCCGGAAGCGAGAAAGGGAACCTGGAGAGCATTTGTCGAAGCAAAGAAGGAGGGGAAAATTCGATCCATGGGAGTGTCCAACTATGGCGTGCATCATCTCGAGGAGACGCTTTCGTACATCAAGGAGCTTGAAGCAGAGCTGGGCGAGGGCAACGCGGGAGAGATTAGCGTTGGACAGTGGGAGCTGCATCCCTGGTTGCCGCATCCGGATATCGTTGAATGGTGTAAGAAGCATGGAGTTGTGATTGAGGCGTATTGTCCCATTGTCAAGGGGCAGAGATTCGATGAGCCGCAGGTGCAGGCTTTGATGAAGAAGTATGGGAAGAGCGGAGCACAGATTCTCCTGCGATGGAGTTTGCAAAAGGTATGTGATGCTGTGATTTATTGCAATTTTATTACGTCTGTGTAATAGGATGCTAACATGCGTTGCAGGGCTTTGTTCCTCTGCCAAAGAGCGAGACGCCATCGAGGATCGAGGCCAACACGGAACTCTACGATTTTGAACTGACAGATGAAGACATGGCAACGCTAGACTTTGACTCGTATTCACCGACTACGTGGGATCCCACAGTCAGTCCTCTGGACAATTAAAAACTAAATAGACAGGCTCGCACGATATCAAAATATACTCAATACTACACAGAGTTTACGACGTCATCTACTTGCTGTTTACATGTATGAAACCCCCATTGTCTATGGCAACTCCAAAACCCACTGCATCTTCTCCAACGCCGCAAACAAGTCATTGTCATGGTACTTCCTCGCTACAATCTGCAGATTTACCGGTGCCCCCTCAAAGTCGCCCTCCTCCCACATCTGCCGTACGTGCTCATCATCTTTGGTCAAAGGCGCAGGCGCATCAGCAGCATATCCCTCTACCCCCTTCTTACCGGCCCTGATCGGCGTGGGCACCACCACACCGGGATAATCGACATAGTTCCAAAAAGCAGTGTAGTTGGGGTAATATGACATTTCGTGTTCGCATGAAGGACCAAAAAAGGCCGGGCAAATGACAAAATCCACATCTTGAGACTCCCAGTGGCGCGCAAAGTCGACGCGGAACTGGTCGCGCTCGCGGTGCTGCGCCAGAATCTGGTACGGCGTCAGCTCCGGGCCCTCGGCGGCTTGGATGACCAATTTTGTCAAGGGAAGCAGGGGCTCGCCTGAAGCTGTGAGATGCTTCTTTATGCCGTTGCCGCCGTCGGGCCAGTATGCGAGGATGACGTTGTTGATTGCTTTGGTCATGTTGTATGGCTCGAATGTCCTGATGGAGAAGTTGTTTGATGCTTTTAGCTTTTCAACCGCCCATTTGAGAGCTCGGATCACAGGTGGTTGCGGAACAATAACGCCGTCGTTCATCATGACTCCAATCTTCAAAGGCTTAGGTTGTGGTAAAGATTTGAGACCGGTCCAGGGGATGGGAACAAGGCTAGGGTCCACCAGATACGGCTTCGAGCCCAGTAATACGGACATGAAGAGGTCCAGGTCTCTAAGGGATGTACACAGGGGACCGGCGGTGGTCAAGATGTTGAGTTCTGCTATTGCTCCACCAGCTATAAGTCCTTTTCTCGGGACAACACATGACGTGGGTTTGAAGCCATAGATACCGCAGGCAGCAGCTGGATTCCGGACGCTTCCTCCAATATCGGAGCCCATACCGAGGACAGATCCTCGCATGGCTATCAGAGCAGCTTCTCCTCCAGTAGATCCTCCTGCCGACAGATGAATGTTGTGAGGATTCAAGGTACGGCCCCATGAGGAGGAGGTGTCGAGATGCATTATACCTTGAGGCATGTTGGTTTTGCAGTAAAAGACAGCACCAGCATCTCTCAGGGCTGCTACTATGTGGCAATCTTGTTCGTCTTTGACTCTTGTATCATAAAGGCCAATGCTAGAATAGTGGCCGGCCAAAGGCAAGTGTTCCTTGACGCTGAGCGGGACGCCATGGAGGGGGCCGATTGTCTTTCCCGTGGATTGCAAATGCTCATCCAAGCGTTTGGCTTGCTTAATGGCATCATCCATGAACCATTCGGTCAGACAGCCTGTCAACTGGTGCGCGATGATGGCTCTCTTGGAAAACGCTGTAGCGACAGCTACCGCGGTCAATTTCTTCGAGGCGATGAGACCTGCCAGAGCAGTGGCATCGTATTCCTCAGTGATGGCGAGTTCTTCGGGGGTCAGAAGACCAGATTCTTTGGGAACGCCGGTGACATTCTTGGAAGGGTTGTTGATGAGCTCAATAGGAAGTCGAAGGTTATCCGGCACCTTGGCGGCAAACTCTTCAAGAACAGCTGCCCGCCCTGCTTCGTATTCGGGAGAGCCTTTAAGTAGAGGCTTTACCTGGACAACTGGGAGAGTTTTTGAAGGCATTGTGATAGTATATGCAGGCTAGCTACAGAGTACCCAAAGAGGAAGATGGATAAGAAACAAGGGATAGAACAAGGGAGAGGAGTACTACTGAAGGGAGTAAGGGGTGAGTACAAGGTAGTATTGGACTGCACAGATGGGGCCAGTGCTGAACTCGATGAGCTGAACCCTTTATAAGTGATTTACTTCTACTTTTATGAGCCGTCGCAATCAGGCCGTTGAACACATATCGGTTGTGCGGAAAGACCCCCCGGATTACATGAACTTTGAGACAACTAACCTTGGCGCGAGGGGGAGGCGCACATTGCCAAGCATTCAAAGCGATATAGATACCTCCACGGAGAGTCTAGAAGGAGTCTAGATTCTGAATTTGGAATGACATGATTGATAATCGTCCTATTCGACTCACCAAAACCAGTGAGGCGGACTTACAGAGAGGGCGGACTTACATTGAGACGGACGGACTTATAGTGAGACGGACTTATAGTGAGGCGGGAGTGGCTTACGTGGTGGTCGTTAATAATAAACCAGTGATGCAGACGGTTACATATACAGAGTTCATTCCGCGTCGCGGAAGCGGAATGGGGCTGGAATTTATCATGAGAAGATCGAGACCCAGTCAATGAGCATCTACGAAGGCCGCATTATATCTGGGGTGGCGGAACTTGCCGCGGTTTGTCTGCATTAGCTTCATGTCAATCCTGGCCTCGCATCGGCATCACCACTTACACCCAGCTTCATTACAACAGCATTACCAACCACCTCAGCGGCCATTTCTAGCTCACGCATCATGGAATACTGAGACAACCAATTGGAGAATTTGAGATATTCTTACTTGTTTGTTCCAGCCGTCCACGCTTACATCGGCTCTGAGGTGAGAGCCATGACTTTTCGACTCTGAGATGGAAGTGTCACTAGCCATTGGCTATTGATTGATCACAGGGAGTAGATAAATACGGCGGCTCAACACTTTGAGAACAGAACGAGCTAGAGTGAAAGCAAATAGTGCCCGCCGGGAGTCACTGACTCAGTCTCTTTTTGACAGACTCTTTGGTTAACTACGCTTGCAGATCTCTTGATGCTGGTTAAAGAGATACATCTCACACTTCATCTATAAATAGGTCGGTTCTACGGAAATGACTAAGGCCTTGAGGTTTGGAGAAGAGCATGGCCTTTATTTACACACTTTCCACAATAGTACACCTCGCTTCAAACATGTCGGGTCTCTTCAACATTTGCAGTGGAAGAGCGACTCGTATATATGGCGTCAAAGCCCCGAAGACGAGTGGCTTGTCGATATGAAGATGCCCGTAATCCCAGAAAGATGCGTAACGTCAAGATCTTAGGAAGAGATTCGCTGGCCGTGGGCATGTGCCGCAATGTCTCGAACTGCGTCAATCATGTCCGGTTGTACTGACTGTAATACAAAAGCTCGGTTTTCGGATTATTCCCTATCATTAGGCCATATTACCTTTGTCTTACCTCGGGACACAGCTAATCCGCAAGACATGTCTTAGATGGTTGTGCGCCCAACATGACGGATTCTATGCTCATTTCCGCGATCTGCGGCTCGTGTCTGGCATTCCCTTGCCTTGACTCTCCCAGAAGACACTCTATCTCGCATAATATTCCTTGTGGTAGGAGAGCAGGAAATAGGCAAAATTAACAAGTTACTTAGAGGCAGCCTCCCCCTCTCCTTTTCGTTACATGTTAGTGTCGTCAATACGCATCGCTACGAAAGGCTTCATTCTGAGGTTTCCTTGATTGACTCATTTATCATTCAACCACTTACTAAGAGCCAGGAAGGAGTTGAACAGCCATGCCTGCAGCCGACAGGCATCCAGAGGTTGTTCCAGGCACAGTCCACCTCGTCGACCTTGCAGGAGCCACTGCGGGCGGCGTGGTCGAGCTTGTGCCTCGCCCAAGCGATGACCCAGAAGACCCTCTTAACTGGAGTCGCCAACGAAAATATCTGGCCGTAGCCATGGTTAATGTTTACACCATGGGTATAGCAATCTGTTGCACGCTGCAGAATTCCGTCCTGGCCGACATCACCCGTGACACGGGCATCTCTACGGAAGAACTCGTCCAGGGCACAGGCGTCATGTTTCTGTTTTTTGGCTGGGGCTGTCTTGTCACACAGCCTCTTGCTTTGACGTACGGCCGCCGCGGGATGTATCTGATGTCGATGCTGATCACGGTTCCGTTGATGGTATGGACCGCATACTCGACTTCAACCGGCGAATGGTACGCCCACCGCATTCTCTTCGGGCTGGTCAATTCTCCCATCGAAGCTCTACCTGAAGTGAGCATCCCCGACATATTTTTCGCCCATGAGCGGGGAGCATGGATGTCAGTCTACGTCTTCACCTTGTTCGGCTTCAGCTTCGTGTCTCCTCTCGTGGCGGGCTTCTTCGCCGAGGCATATGGATGGCGATGGACTATGCATCTCGGCGCCATAATTGCCGCCGTATTGTTTGTCGTCCTGTTCTTCTTCATGGAGGAGACAATGTACTTCAGACCGACTCTCGAGGGTTTGGAAGATGAACCTCGGCAAACAGACGAAAAGGTTACAGAGCCTCGAGCAAGCATGGAGGAGAAAAGGGCCGAGTCGACTGTCACAGACCAGAAAAGGGGCACTTTATACAGAAAGAAATATTACACTGAGAAGCTGAAGCTCTTTGCCAAAATGGAGGGACGGCCGGCAAAGACGCAAATGTTCAAGTCCATGCTGCGGCCCGTTGCCATTCTCTTCCAGTTTCCAAGTGTTGCCTGGGTTGGGCTCATTTACGGAATCAGTCTCTCGTGGTACAACGTCATCAATGCCACGGTGAGCCCCATCCTGAGTTCGCCGCCGTACAGCTGGTCTACCGGGGCCGTCGGCCTCATCTACGTCGGCCCTTTGATCGGCGCTGCCCTTGGAAGCATCTGGGCCGGCCACATTGCCGACCGACTCACCCTTATACTCGCACGCCGTAACAAGGGCATCCGCGAGCCAGAACAGAGACTGTGGCCCTTGGCTCTCGCGGGGATTCTCTCCTGCATCGGCCTCATCATCTGGGGCGTCGGTGCTGCTCACGGGGTCCGTTGGGCGGTTTTGGCCGTTGGTCTCGGCATCCTGATCTTCAGCTGCGTTGCTGGCAGTTCCATCGTGTTATCGTATAATGTCGATTGCTTCAAGGACATGAGCGGAGAGAGTACGGTGTCTGTCATCATTGTCCGCAACACGCTTGGCTTTGCCATTTCCTACGGCATCACACCTTGGTATTCCAACATGGGTTTGCAAAACTGTTTTATCATGGCAGGCTTTCTTTCACTTGGATGCATGAGCACGTTTTTGTTTATGATTTGGAAGGGCAAGTCGCTGCGTCGACGATGTGCCAAGAGATACTGGAGTTATGCCGAGAAGGGCCTTCATGCTACACATTAGGGAGCTGCAAGAAGTGCGTGATTTAACACCAGACCACAGTCAACTGGTTTCAACAAGTGATTGAATTGAATACAGATGCATAACTCTTGAGCATGCTTGGCATGGCAGTGCAAAAGTGGTTCTCACCCGTTCATGCACCGTCCCTTGCTTACATGGAGTGTTTGCGTCACAATTGGCTGATATTCGAGCAAGGATTAAAGATGCGAGTCAGGCGATATTCTTACGCAAACTGTTTAGATGAAATACCCTGGCAAATTTCAATTGACAATTCTAAATCTATTCTATACCAAGTATCTACCAAACCTAGCTACTAGTAATATCATAGAAATATTCCCTAAGAGAGCAATCCTTATGTCTTAGATAGCAGAGTGCTCAGCAATCAAGTTGGACGAGTTGGGCAGAGAGTCGATGCAGCTGCGGTCAATCTCATCAATCTTGACAAACCCGCCAACTTCCATCAGAATGTCGAATTCCGCCAGCAGACTCTTCAAGACGTGTCGCACGCCGTGCTCTCCGGCAATACTAAGGCCCCAGACCCAAAGACGACCAATGAAGACGAATTTAGCTCCGATGGCGAGGGCCTTGAAGGCGTCGGCGGCGCTGCGCACTCCAGAGTCGAACATGATCTTTGCAATTATAAGTTAGTTTTATGTAAGTTTAAAGGAGGATGTGTCTTACGTAGATCTTGTCGCCAACGGCATCGACAATCTTCTCCAGAGCATCAAGGCTGGAGATGCCTCCGTCGACCTGTCGTCCGGCGTGGTTCGAAACCACAATGCCGTCCACACCCCTGATAGAGATATAAAGTCAGCTTATCCAATGTCTCATGGCAATGCAATAGAGTCTGTTACAACTCACAATTCAACCGCCTTCTTCGCATCTTCCACATTCTGAATGCCCTTTAGGCAAAACGGCCTTCCTCCGCTAATCCTCTTCCACTGCGCCATGGTCCACTTCATCTTCTCCCAGGTAATGGCGCGGCCATGCCAGATGTTCTCATCAATCCATTTTGCGCCCGCCTCCTTTGGGTTTTTCACTGGGTCAATACCCGCCTCCTTGAGACGCTTCTGGAACACAGGGTCCTGAAGACCAAGATCGCCTGCTCCGTGATCGTGGTAGAAGGCGTAGTTTCCAGTGAAGACATCGTTGTGACGCCAGCCGAGGGACCAAGTATCCGTCGTCAGCATGCAAGCATCGAAGCCGTTATCAAAGGCTCGTTGGAGCATAGAGATGCAGAGCTCATCGTCGGGACTCTGGTACAGCTGAAAGAATCGAGGTCCGGAGCCGTTCGCTTTGGCGACATCTTCGATGCTGTAGCTTCCAGCAGAGGACAAGCAGTAGGCCAAGTTGAGCTCTTGGGCTACTTTGGCAACGGAAAGTTCTCCCGTGGGATGGTAAATGCGGTTGATGCCAATTGGTGCAAATCCGATGGGGGCAGATACGCGGTGGCCAAAGATTTCGGTTGCAGTATCTCGCTGGTTGGTATCAACCAACATACGAGGGACGATACGGTGCCGATAGAAGGCCTGTCGGTTGGAGAGATGGGTCCAAGAAATTCCAGCATTGCAAGAGGAATAATACCTGTCGTTTTTTATTAGTTATCTTTTTAATATGAGTTGTGGCATCATCAACCTACCAGCCTCCCTGAGAAAGCTTCTCTTTAGCCAGCTTTTCAATCTCAGCCGGGTCTTGTTGCTGTTAGCAAAGGCTTATTGTGAAAGGGATTTTAGGAACTTGCCAGTGTTGAATATTGGGTATTTTCCATCGTTTGTGTTCCAAAAGGATTCTCGCTGATACAGCGACCACTGGGGAGTGGTCCTGATGGCGATGTTGGGGTTGTTAGGGTCAGACATTGTTGAGATGTTTTGGTCAGAAGGGGTTTTGATTGAATACTTGATTATATTGATGGTTGGTGTTGTTGTTGGGTTTCTGATTTTAGACCTCAATCGAGACATGGAAGATATATATACGCATTTCTTATGTTACTGTCATGTCAGAGTTCTGACGGTGATGATGCTCTTTCGCATCACCGCCGCCGCAGAAACACCATCAAATCCCGAGCATGCTCCGATTCTCAAGGCTGGAAACCAACTTCAACTTGGATGAAGCAAGAAAGAAGCCATCATAACGTCCACTTGACGTCAGCACGGTTAATCTTGAACCCTTTGGGGTTGTAAGTATCTTCAAGTAAGCTGAAGCACAAGCAACAATATGAGGCTCAAAGCAATCAGCTACTTCACCTCCTGAGCCACTTGGTGATATTCCTCGGCAAGAAATTGCCTTTAGAAGCTGGACTTTTTCCTATACAAGAACCCATCCCCAGACGGATATCCGCCTCCGTGGGCTGGCTGGCTGCCATCTTGTTATAAGATGTCGGCTAAATGAACTGCCTAAATGCAAGTTCCAATGATCTTACCCTAGATCGCGCCGGCATACGGCAAACATGGCGGCTGTGGGGCATCTAATGATCCAAATCTCCGGAACTGCCTCAGTGGAATTGGTATATAAGAGCTGCATGCCCATCTTGAATCAACCAGCAGTTTCAATTGCTTCCATCTCGACACTCCAAATCATCGGCATGTATTTCTGGTGGCAATTTATCCGAAATCCAATGCAGAATCTCTCTTATCTATGACATCAGCGGCTATCATGATCCCGAGATCGGGGTCATTCCTAAATGGGCCTACCGATCCCTTAATCATCACTGCTAAAGGCTTTTCATTGGCTTCTCGAAGACGGCAGTTATGCCCGCAATATCCGGAGCTTCATCCAAGCAAATAATGCATCTTGATTATTATGCATTGAATCATCTCTGGGTGGATTTCTTCACTTTCTGTCATTAAACTGTCTTTTCGACGCTGACAATTCCGAGAGCAGAGACCTGCCGAAGTCGAGATGAACAATCTTGTGTTTCAATGGTTTCACTAGATACCTGAGTCTTCAAAGATCAATGGCTATGAAAACCTTTTGCAACCAGGGTGAGCCGTCGTGTTACAGACAACTGGAGTGATTCGAAATTTGCGTGACTCTCGCGGCCGAGGTAATGTGACTTGGCACAGCTGTCGATCAGGGGACACGGACTCGGAGCTGCACAATGCACCCTCTTCCAGCCTCTTCATCAGCTCCGGAGGCCCATATACGAGGTCCAAATTGCGGCCATCGGACGACTCAAAACATCGTGGGCCGAGCAGAAATTTTCAATCTTCATCCTTCGGTGGAGATCACGTTATTCTGGACATCCAGAATACGGCATTGCGCGTTAATGCTTGTGCAGAGTGGGCATAATAGTGGACTCGAGTGGGAACGGGAGGCTTTGACAGCGATCCGCAAGCGGCAGATGCACGGCAATCATGGCCGGACATTCCGGTGCCATGTGGACCTCTCGAGACAAATCCATGACTCGGCGTGATGTTTGCAGAGCGAAAACGGCAGTGGCTGGAAGAGTATCTCCGATGAATTTCTCCGCCTCAACCTCATGATAGTAGCAGTATCGAACAGGAGATATACGAGTACCTATAAGAGATGTGCTGAGTCCCATCTGGTGATCCTAAACCACGGGACCGCTCGATGATTGCAAACCGTTCTCCAGAGGCCCGCAAAGCCACCGAGATGGACGCGAGCGCGCAAGCTTTTATACCCTCATGTGGGACTATCCCTATTGGAATCCCCTTTACTTGTACATTCCAAGTTATATCAGCATTACGACAGTTAGCTTTTGAAACTAGTTGATTAGTTTATCTATCAGAACATCCTCTCCTCTTAAACCCCAACTCCTGAATTCCTCATTACACTGCCCGGTTGTGACTCAATCAAACCAATTGGACAAGTGTAGCCGCATGGTTTACAACTAGAATCATGGGATTTTTCAAAAAACAAACTTCACCTGCTGTGCAGGAACCCAAGAGGGACCATTCGCCCAGCAGTAAAGATTCTGAGCCTCGCTCACAGGAAAAGGTCACTGTACTTGCTTGTGCTTTAGGAGCCGTTGCTAGCATTGGTGGTTTCATCTTCGGATATGTCAGGTAAGACACCACGAGTTTCGGTGACATGTGCATTGGTTGATTGTATCTAACTCTCTTGCTTCACAGTGGTCAGATTTCAGGCTTCTTCCTGATGCCAAACTATGCCAGCCGCTTCGGAGAGCTACAGAGCGATGGGTCATACACCTTCAGTGCTGCTCGTCAGGGCACAATCGTTGGTCTCCTTTGTGTGGGCGCACTATTCGGTGCTTTGATTGCCGGCAAGATGGCAGACACTATCGGCCGCCGACTCTCAATCTCACTGTTTTCCTTCTTCATCTGCATTGGAACCATCATCGAGATCTCCTCTTCGTACCACTGGGTTCAGTTTGCCGTTGGCCGTCTGGTCACCGGTCTGAGCATTGGAGCCCTGTCCGTCGTTGTTCCTATGTACCAGTCAGAGAGTACCCCGGCCGTCATCCGTGGTGTCATCATCTCATCATACCAGCTGCTCATTACCCTGGGTATCTGGACAGCCGAGATGGTCAACTGGGGAACTGAGACAAAGGCTTCTAGCGCCGCATGGAGAATTCCCAACGGCCTCTCTTTTGCTTGGGCCCTGGTTCTCGGAGCTGGTATCCTGTTCCTCCCTGAAAGTCCTCGATATGCCTACAGCCGCGGCCGTGTTGATGAGGCTCGCCAGACCATTGCCCGACTCTCTGGTCTCTCACCCGACTCGGATATTGTCAACCACCAGATCGCCGATATTCAGGCAAAGATTGACGAGGAGAGCAAGGATGTGACAGACTTCCGCTGGACTGAGATCTTCACTGCCCCTCGTATGCTCTACCGCACAGTCCTGGGCGTCGTTCTTGGTGGAGGCCAGCAGCTTACCGGTGCCAACTTCTTCTTTTACTTTGGCACGACCGTCTTTGCCGCCACTGGTATCAGCAACAGCTACACTACTCAGATTATCCTGGGTTCAGTCAACGTATTCTGCACAATTATTGGTCTCTGGATCATTGGCCGCTACGGTCGACGAATCATTCTCATCACCGGCGGCCTCTGGATGATGATGTGCTTCCTGTAAGTTTCCCACTATTTTTCGATAGTATTCACATTGACTGCATTGCTGACAAAATGGATAGTGTTTACGCGTTCGTCGGCCACTTTGCACTCGATCACGAAAACCCCTTGAACACCCCCAAGGCTGGATCTGCCCTGGTTACATTCTCTTGTCTTGCTATTGCCGCCTTCGCCATCAGCTGGGGCCCGTTGGTCTGGGCTGTTAACGCAGAACTGTACCCTGCTCGCTACCGAAGTCTCTGCATGGGTATCGCCACCGCTTCCAATTGGTTCTGGAACTTGTACGTCAAAGCCCCCCATTAACGTTCATTATCGAACTCTATGCTGACTCGCAATTTAGTTTAATATCATTCTTGTAAGTTGTATATATGAAATGCTTAATTGAATTGGACTAACGACTGTGGTTTACAGCACTCGCTTTATCACCGACGACATTGACTACTTCTACGGTCTCATCTTCGCAGGATGCTGCGCGGCCCTCGTGCTCATCGTCTTCTTCTTCGTCATCGAGTCCAAGGATCGAACCCTCGAAGAGATCGACATCATGTATGTTCAGCACGTGAACCCCATCACCTCGAGCCGATGGGATGCCACCAAGTACCGTGATGAGTTGAGGAGGGGCAGCGATGCGAGAGACAACGTTCACGACGACGTTCACCAAGAAGCCGAGAAATAAAGTGACGCAATCCCACCCATTATACTGATTCACTGTCCGAGTGGGCAGTGCTCGGGCTGTGGCATAATGTAATCTCGAATGAGAGACGATATGTACAGTATATAGGAGAGATTTGAGGCTGCTAGACAGCCTGTAGCATAGCGTGTAAAATAGTGTGTAAAATAACTTGAACATATAATCGTCAATTCGTTTTTGTTGCCAATCGCGTGAGCTCAGAAAATCTTCAATTTTCTTTGGATCTTCAATCATGCTTCACAGCCTCATAACGCTAAAACATTTCATTCAGTTCTAATAGTTCGTGACTTTCCTTTTCTTTTCCCTTTCTAGCGATAAACCGCGGCTAAAAGGCATAGTTCTGTAGAGATGGTGTGGTGATATTAACCATAATTCTGCTCAACTCTGCCGGATATCGGGCCTGAGACGGACCTAAAGCAATTGAGGCTCTCAATCACCCACTCACGATCTGAGTTTTTGGAGCGACAGTTGATATTAAGTTGGCCGTAAAATAGATCATCGTCGTTTGTAATGAATGAATAATACAGACAGTAAATGATCAGCACTTGTGTCGCAATACTCTGTCCAGGCAAGTATAGATCAGCAACCTCCAAAAACACTAAGACAAGCTCCGGTCTTCGTCATCCCCGCACGGAGAGCGTAGCCCGAGTTCACAGCCATTGTAGTTTGCCTCCTAGACAAAATAATTCAGGCTTAGCTGAGAATAAAACCTGATCCCCTCAATCTTAACTCACTAACTTTAAACACAGCACTTCCACTGCTGAAGGACTGTAAAAATCTCACCACCAAACCACCTTGCATCCGTTCGACATATTAAAACCACTATGGCGCCCATCCTCCTCCCTCCAAACCATCCCCCTCGCCGCTTCTACGCCGGCGGAGCGCAGATATCGGCCTTTCGTCAACTCCAAAGCCCCATTGGCTCTCACGAGCCCGAAGACTGGGTTGCTTCCACAACATGCTGCCGCGGCCAAGGAAATGTCGGCATGACCCGCTTGCCTGATGGAACAATGCTTGCTGATGCCGTTGCCTCCGAGCCCGAGAAATGGCTAGGGGCCGAACATGTGGCCAAGTACGGACCGGACACAAAGCTGCTCGTCAAGCTGCTTGATGCTGGACAGCGCCTCCCTGTTCATGCACACCCTCACGTTGACTGGGCGTCGAAGCATCTCCAGAGGAAGCATGGAAAGGCCGAGGCGTGGTATATCCTCATGCCGGGATCCGTCTGGCTCGGCTTGACTGAAGATGTCGACCCCAAGGAACTGCTGAAAATCGTACAGGAGGAGAGAGGCACTGAGCTGCTGGACCGAATGCATAAAATCGACGTCCAACCCCATCAGACTGTCTATGTTCCCCCCGGAGTCCTTCACGCAATCGGCCCAAGCGTCATGATGGTCGAGGTTCAAGAGCCAGAAGACTTGTCTGTCCTTTGTGAATGGAGTGGGTTCAGGATTGATGGCAAAGCAGAAGGTCATCTTGGTCTTGGTTTCGAGACGGCGCTCACAGCTGTTGAGACGAGAGGGCGGACAAGAGAAGAAGCCATGGCATTGGTAACTGAAGCGAAAGTTGCCGATAGTGTTTTCGTCGAGGAGTCGCAAGGTTACTTCCAGTTGGAGAGAGTCATTGTCAATGGACAGAGCCGATGTCGACGCGGCTTTGCTATTCTGGTCGTTCTCCAAGGCAATGTGACTTTGAAGACGGAATCTTCCGAGCTTTCGATTTTGAAAAGAGGGTCAACGGTGGTGATTCCATATGAGGATGGGGAGTTTACTCTGGAGAGTGAGGATGCAGATGTTGCTATTGCTCGACCACCTCAGTAGGGATAATCGAGTGGTCCTGTTTCCTGTGTCATATTAGAGGTGTTAATCGTAAGTCCATAAGATAGATGTTCATGCGAGGCCTCAAGAGAGTCAGCTTGCAAACCGCAAATGGTAATGGTAAATTTCCATTTTATGTATCCGTTACATTGGTCGTCTGAACGTGGCCATCATTGTGGGGGATCTAGACCGCCTTTCAGTACCATATCTACAAGTTATTCTGTCACACTTGGGCAATGATATGGTGGACTGAAATGGCTTCTCCAAGATTCAGTCAGATATTGTTGGAATCGAATTCTTATTCCTGACTATCAAGGCTCGACACCTCGGCTCTCCGTATCCCGACTCGCCGCGCCCGCATCTTGGCCAACAATGTGCTCTTCACTGCCGTCATCAATTGTCGTCCAGCCAGTCTTGTGCGATCGTCCATCTTTTCCTAGTCTCTCGAGACGGTTACTCTGCTGTCCAATCGTGACGATTCCGAGACCCGAGCCTGTTCCACCCGACTGGTTACTCTTTGAGCCTCGACTTGTAACAACGGAAGCCTGCTTGGTCATCCAGGGGCCGAGGATTGGTGCGTTTACGGCGATGATGGCGACGAACTGACAACAACATTCTTGTCAGTGAATTGAAATATACAGTATTTGAACATTTAGAAAGCGGGTTGGACCAACACTCTCTCGGATGGACCAGATAGTTCCGAGGTTGATGGATGATACATCTTTTAAGCAGAGAATGCATCGCAAGAGTGTCGCAACAATGATGAAAATGCCCATACACAACCAAAGCGCACAAACAACTTTCCTACAGCAAAATTAGACATGTCCAGAGGCAGATTCGCGTCGACGAGCATACCGCATCAGGGGCATTTGCACTCTCCACAATAGTGGGAGTGGGATGGACAATATCATCAAGTCAGTCCTGAATTTGGCACGAAAGCGGTCAGTTGCTGGGTGTATAATTGTAGAGGGTGAAGCGTACGTAACGTTGGTAACGACTAGTGCTAGATAGTTTGGAATATTCAAGGCGCAAGCATCTATTCACAATTAGCTGGTGATATTCGTCTCATGTAGATGGCGGCCTGGCAACATACCTCCTGGATAAGGATATACTTGCCAGTTTTTGTGGATAGGCAAGCACTTTGTCAACATTACGATGACTGTTGAGACATAGCCCGCAAGACAAACTCCCGAAGTGATGTTAACAAGTTGCTTTTGTCGTAAATCAAGCCTGTCATCCTATCCGTTAGTTGTCTCTCTGCAGAGGCGATGTTGGTTATTAGCAACTCACGTCAATCGCCGAAAGAGGAAGAGCATGCATGTCTTTAAGCACCAAATCATCGTTACATATAGAATCCATCCGGCGAATAAGCATTTACTGCCGATGACAATTCGTCTCGTTTCTTCTGGCGTCAGGCCGAGGGCTATCTCGTCGTTGATACCGGTAATCGAGCCATATTGCCCTAAAGAATCGAGGTTCGTTAATACCATTACACCGCTGGATCTTGAGTCGCTTTCCGATGATATTACCTATTAGCTCGAGCATACACAGCTCTCCCTATCGTAATGTTAGTCAGTAATTGTGAGCGCAGGTGAGGAAAACGTACGGTCCAGAACAAAATGGCAATCACGGCAAAGTAATCGTCCCCCTCCCAGTTCAATCCGACTATCGAACATCGACAGGCAATGCGCGCGAGAAGAATCAGGGTTCCAATGGCGTACTCTGTCCACGCCTCAACCTGGAATGGTGTTGCTGGCATGATGTCGTCCGAAACCACCCGGAAGCCTTCTCATCATATTACGAAACATTCAGAAATATCATCGAGTTCCGAATCGTTCCTCCCGTTCCTGGGGCCCAAGAGTCTCAAATACTTAATTGAAACGCACAAGCCAATTCTCCCCTGAAAGATTTCTGGTGAGATTCAAACGGCTAGCCAAGGGGACCAAGCTATGGTGACATCGAACCAACGAGCCATACCCTCACGGGTTTAATACAAAATGGCCCGGAGACGATGCACCATTTTGACAAGTATGGAGTACATAATAAGCCTATTACCTGGCTGCTATTAAATGGCTCAATGCTGAGAGAAAAGAGTCCTCATTGGGGGGCCCATTGCCAATGGCATGCTGCAGGGATGAGAGGGTGCCGGGAGTCAGGGCCTCAGCTTGCCACGACCGACACCCTCAAGGCTAGAGATGCTTGATGTTCGACGCCCGGTATGCCTAAATGAGATTAAGATAGTCAAAGGGACTAAGTGTTGGAGGTCCAGCCCCAGACTAAAGACCGAGAGACCTGCATCGAAACCCCAAAAGCCATAGTCTGCTGCACCTAATGATGCAGATGCATGCCAAGGTGGGCGACTATTTGCCGTGGTCTGGACGCCTCCCTTTTGGTTGGCCTATCCCGTTGAAGGAATTTGTACAGCATCCAGTCTGGGGTAGTACAATTGCTACACAATGATCCAAAGTAGTATCCGGCTCATAAAAGCCCCGAATACTCCTTTTCCTCTTCACTTCTCCGCCCTGCTCTGCAATCTACCCCATGCTATTACTGTTCCTGAATTGAATTCCGATTCGCAAAAAGCTGACGCTGCAGAGTCATCGCTCCCACCAATCGAGTGACGATCAAGATGACCCTCGTTACGGCAATCCCGGAGCATTTACAGGTCGAACGAGCCATTCCGGCCTCTACGCCGGCCAACTATGAGCCTCCTTTCCCTGCATACAGCGCCCAGTTTGCCAAGGATGTCTCAAGTTTGGTAATGGCCGTCATTGGTGCCCAGTTCCCTAGCAAGACGGGGAAAGAAGCGGCTGCCATCTCCAAGGTGAACTCGTTTTTGGCATTTCCTGGTGAAGATGGAGAGAAAGCCCTTGGTCCAGAGTTTTCTGAATGGGCAGCCGTGACTGACCACAAGGGCTATTACAACATCACTGCTCTTGCTTATTGGAAAAGCGAGGAGGCGTACCAGAAATGGACAACAAAATCTGGCTTTAGGTCCTGGTGGGAAAGCCTTGATACGCAGGAACAAGAGAATGGCTGGTTCCTCGAAGTCTTCTTCCCAACCATGGACAGGTTCGAGACGGTATTTTCCAGCGGGGAGATTCCTGAGGGAGCAGCCGAAATGCGAGATGGAGTTGTCGGACCTATCAAGGAGCACGTCTACTGGGGAAGCATGCGAGATCGTCTGGCAGTTGCGCAGACAGACGCCCTCAAAGGCGAAGAGTTCCTCAGGGCCCCTGCAGAACAGGCACCAAATGGAAATCTGTCTCGGAGGATCCGAGTCCCTGGCAAGCAGAACCTGGCCATCATTCGCTCAGGGCAAGACTGGGCCGACACGGCACCTGAAGAGCGGAAGCTGTACGTCAAGACGATGCACCCGGTGCTCGAAGCAGGGATGACCTTTCTCCGAGATCATGGGGATGAGGTTGGCTGTTATAGCTGCCGGTTCATGGATATTGTCGACCCCGTCACGAGAAATGCGGACAAAGACCGAACATTTGGGTTGGCGTATTTCGACGAGCTTGCCTCTCTTGAGAAATGGAGCAGGGAGCATCCCACACACCTGGCCATCTTTGGTGGGTTTCTCAAGTACGCGGCCCAGCTGAACAATGTCATTACGCTCCGCCTGTTTCACGAGGTGCTGGTGGTCAAGCCGGAGCAGCAGCTGTTTGAATACGTCGGGTGTCATCCAGAGACGGGGATGCTGGTAGCGAAATGATCCAGGGATACTATTTACATACGAGACAGCTTTTGTTCCGCTGCTATCGAGGAGATTGGAGACTAGGAAGCCGGCATTTGAGCCCCGGCCGTGATGGTGCGTTGTTTAAAAAGGAGCTTGTCGTCTCAGACTGTTGATGCCAGCCATGTCTGCGCAAGAACATGTAACGTAAGCGGCAATGACTGCGTCTAAACGCTGCAATTTCAATCTTGAAGTACATGTAGGTTTCTGCGAGGCACTATCCCGAATTAGCAATATACTATTTCCAAAGTCATATCAGAAAGTGACATGTCAGCTCGATCACCGCGTAGATACTACCCATATAAGTAACTGGAAGTAAGACGGTGGACGTGTTACTTCGCCTAGCTCTTCAGGAATAGATCGACCGCTACTTTTAACCTTGCTTCTGACCTATTATCGAACAAGCTTGAAAATAACCCCGGCAAGGGCCGCTGGAAACGAGCAAACCGCTGCGGATACGCAATGCGAGTACCGCCAAATGCGGGCGTGTAGGTGCGTTTCTTTGACGCGAAATGAATACGAAGACAGATCCACTATCTATGCTTGCTTGGGCTTTCTGATTCTCGGTGGAAGTTCGCTTCATTACTAAGGATCGAGGATTGAGTGCATCGAATAGGTACAAAATAGGGAGAACGCCATATGCCGCAGATGATGTGTCAGATTCGCGATTCGGCTGTTAGTCGTGCCATGTTCATGTGCGGAAATAAGGATCATGAGCTCGGCGATAACGAATGAAGATGTGCTAGTCGTACATGATCAATCAGAGATTCAAGTCTAGTTCCTAGTTGTGGAAAGGAGTACTAAGTCTTTTAACTCCTCGCTGCGAAGACAGTCGCTCCGCGGCACTTTCTGTTGGGTCATTAGAAGCTCTTTGGTAGCGAGCATCTGGCCTTGAGTCAAGCATTGAGCCTTATTCTATTCCACAACGGATAGATCTAAACGGCTACAGCCGTCCGGAATTAGCCTGAGAGACTTCGTCCCTTACATATCTGAGGGGCATCAGTTCACATACTGTCGAGACATGATCATGTCCTCTCATCCACCACAGCTCCCCACATATCGTCGGAATACTGTACTCTCTCCTGAGGACGACTTCCACTCTCGAGGAGTAATCGATGAGTTCTAGGGACTATCGTCTACTGTGTTTCCTCTCTATATACATCTACGGGGTTTACCTGCGTCTATCGCATTGAGATAGTTATTGAGTCGAAGTACACGAAGGTTGAGTTTGTACGGAATGTAATCTGGTTTCTGTTATAATGCTATCAATTTGTAAAAAGCACAATTGATCGATCCAATGTCTAAAATACCCATCCGAGCTGATCCATGTTATATACACAATATGTGAGTTATGCCAATCCGCCACCAGAAAACATTTGCAGAGCCTTTGCCTTGGCTGCGTTCAGAGCAGCAATGTACAGGCTAGGTCCAACGCTGATTCTCGCAACACCAACATTGGCAAGATCAGTTGTGGTGAGAGAGTTAGGCTGTGCAGACAGCATAACGGCGACTTTTCCATCCAACTCCTTGACTAGTGTCTTGATGGTTTCGCTACTTAGGCCGTTTGGACCACCGAAGAAGAAAACTGTCGTAGCACCAGCGTCAAGGTACGCCTTGCCACGCTTGATAGCCTCAGCTACCCGAGTTTCGAGACTCAAATCAGGAGAATCCAAGCGGAAGATATCAGATCGAGCGTTGATGACAAAATCTGGTGCACCGGCGTCTTTGGCGGCGTCGAAAGCACGCTTGAGCCGGGCAACTTGATCCTCAAGCTTATAGAGGGAACCAGAGATGCCCTTGCCGAAACCAGCGGAAGGGATGCTATCTTCGAGGTTGGCTCCAGCGGCCCCGTATTCTACGGCGGCAGTGACGACGGCAGTGATGAGATCTCCGTAGCCATCCTGGAGATCTACAGAAAGAGGAATGCCTGCCTCTTCTGCAAGAGGGGCAATTCGAGAGATGGCTTCGAGATTTTGCACCATGGTGAGTTCTTCGTCTTTAATGCCAAGACTGGCAGCGATGGCCCATGATGCTGTTGCCAGTGCCTTGACGGGCTTGGAGGCTTCTGAGTTTAGGGAGACGATGGCATTGAGAGATGAGACGTCCCAGATGTTGGAGAGCACGAGGGGAGAACCGGGCTTGTGAAGAGCCTTGAGAGATTGAGCTGATTGGTTGATGGAAGCCATTGTGTTGTCGTTGATGTGTGTTGTAGATAAGATGGAACGGGATGGCTGTTATGAATGAGATTGAAATGTTAGATGAGGAGAACGAGGAGCAAAGGGATGGTCTATATACTCTCGAGCGTGAATTTGAGGCATCAACGGAGAGCACAGGCACCGGGTCAGCAATGCCAAACTAACGCGCAAAGTACCCAACTTCTCGAGCAATGGGCAATAAGCAACACTGCACCGCACCATACAATACCAATAGCAATAGCAACACGAGGCGGTTGTCACTTGAAGGGCGGACTTAACGGATTCGGGCACAAAGAAACGATCCGGCGCCAACCGCCGGGCCTAAGCATGCACTCAATGCACTGCGCCCCATAGATTCACGGCTGGTGATGCGGTTCGATTCGTTGCGAGTCTCCCGTGGCGTTTCTTCAACAACGCACTTTAGTACGTGGAACGCAAATCGCTCGTACACGTATGGTTTGGGGAGCAGCCCTGAAGCAAGGTACCAACCACTGGATGGAGGCAACACACATGTCCGCTGTCGTAACCTGATGATTTGGCCACCGTTTTTGAGGCGGTTCTCCGGGATGGAGTCCGGCTGGTTCGGCTCTTGATGGCGGTTACGGAGCAACAGCCAATGGAGGAGTGGTCTGGTTTGGGAGCAACGTGATTGGAAGCTTGGAGTGGATGATGGTTGAGTTTGAGCTGGCAGAGAGAAGTAATCGCCAAATGACTAATGTGGCGCTGCGGGCGGACGATGGGCAAAGAGGTTCCTTTTCTTTGATGAAGAAAAGACATGCGTTATACTTACGTGAGTCCAATCATTCTCTCTTGTATAGAATTATTGCTTCTATTGGGTTTAGAGAGTGTAGATGATATAGGTCGATGTGATTATACGGCTGGTGTAAGGCCTTGGCCTTGTGAAATTTCTAGATCGGGTATTCTTCCCTTTTTCGGCCTAAGAGCCTGACGGGAGATGGGGCAGAGTCTCTCTTGCACGGGCTTAATTACATGTACATTAATACAGCCGGATAGAAGAAGAACAGAGTCATAACCTCCCGAATTGCTTGTGAATCTTACAGACAACGGGCGCAGCGTCATTTGAAACGTGCCTGGATTACTGAACGTTCGCTTCTTAGTGGAAGGGCAAGATGGTGTACTTTTCTGTTAGACAATTCTCAAAGTTGTTCGAGCGCAGATGAAGACCAAATGTATAGAGCGAAAGACCCTGAGAGCAATTAAAATTGCCATGAACTTCCGTTGGAGTGTTTTGTTCAACGGCCAAACTACCTGGCGTGTGATTGGCAGAGGTTTTCGTACAGGCTCAAGTGGTGGAATCGCTGAAGAAAAGAAGTCAGTCGTGAAAACTTGCGTCACAACATTTCATGTACATGTACGAGTATATGTACTTATAACGTTCCAGAGAACGAGCGCCTGCTCACTAAACATTACTTGGATCCAGTTTTTTTTATAAGGAGATGGATCTTTTTTGTTGCGGTTTTCTACACATGCTGTTGAAGTGTAGGTGATGGGTAAATACGCTTATACGGACGGCTCAAGGCTATGGGAGGGCTAAAACTGCTGTGAAGCTGTAGGTAGTGTCACGCGTCTGAGAACAAGGCCTTGGGGGAGGTTAAAACTGCTGTGAAGCTGCAGCTAGTATCACGCTTCTGAGAACAAGGCCTTGGGGGAGGTTAAAACTGCTGTGAATGTGTATGCATGAGATCTCGCATCTCGTCTCACTGTCTGCCATGTAGGTATGCTTGTCCCCACAGCTCCAGAGGCTTTGGGGGACCTTAAAATTGCTGTGAAAAATAAGAGTCACCGCAGATCAGAAAAATCCAGCCCATGAGTCCTACGCACATAGGTTGACTACCTGTAAGGCCCGGCCACATTAGGCATCTGTCTCAGTAGGAATGGGAACCTAGTAGCACAGCCCTTGAGGACTTCAATGTTCAATGCTTACATGCAGTGTGCATTACTGAGTCATTGGTAACCATCCATGGCTAACCCGCGCCATAGATGGGCGCCAACTGGAACGGGGATTGCTTAGCCCACCAGCTACCTCGAAGCACCACCAACGACTTGTCGTGTAATTGTAGTGATCAATGATAACATCTCCGTACCTGGCAATGCAATTCAGCTTATGGGGGAGCGGTTTGGTTTGGGAGCAACGTGATCGGAAACTTGGGTAGATGCAGAGAGAATGATCACCAAATTACTGATGGCATGCTTCGTTAGAAGAGCTTGGGGATGAAGACTCCGAGCAAATGTTGCCGTAAAGCACATCCAGCAAGGTAATATGAGCTAGAACTCTATTCTAGTATAAACATTCTTTCATAGACAATTTTTTTATAAGTTTGGGTTAACGTAGATAGTACGGAGATTCGCTTATACAGCTTGTATGAGGCTTTAGGAGATGTTCAAATTGTTATGAAGTTTGTGGATAATGAGATCTCGGGTGTTCAAAGTAGCATTACAAACTTGGATATCCTCACCATCAAGGCATTATACCTCTCAGATACCCGTTTCATGAGTCTTCAGCTTTGACAAGCAGATTTATGTACCATATTTTGATTTATATTTCCTTAGAAATGAGAGTCAAGTCTCTCTTCAGTCAAGCTAATGAAGACCACATTTGCCCGAGAGAACTTGCAGCTACTTCTTGTCACAAAAATGTGTCACATCTCAACCCCATTGAGCAGAATTCTGAAGAGCCAAGAGTCTTTAATTTCATTGGCTTGGGCTTTCAGTTCATCGACATCCCAGTTGACCCAGACAAACTTGCTCTTGAGGAACTTGGCCTCCGGCGACGCAAGCCATACCGTGAATTGGCCAGCAAGCTCAGCTGCGATGTATGATCTTCGTTAGTGTTTGGAAGAACGGTTTGACACTTTGGTGTACTTACGCTCATCCTCTGAGACCACGCCGAGATGGGAGTTGAAACCCGTAGAAATGACTCCAGGCTGAATCTGAACAACATGCCACTCGGGGTGCTCTTCCTGCAAATAATCAAACATCTTGGTAGTGGCAGCTTTCAGAGCAGAGTATACCCAAATACCCGGCACAGGCTTGATGTGGGCTAACCCTGAAGAGACGTTATAGACATGCGCATCAGCTGCCAGTAAGGGTGCAAAAGACTGGATCGAATTGAACGGAGCGATGACGCCGAGTTCAAATCCTTGACGCAGCGCCGCTTCATCATATCCCTCTACAGACCCAACTTCGGGCATGACCCCCGCAGAGTTGATGAAGATGTTGATTTTGGCCCCGTTGGCCTTTTTCACCAAAGCTGCGGCGGCGGCGTCAACGTCGGCACGCTTGCTCAAGTCGGCGCTTTCGAACAACACCTGGATATCAGCATTCTTGGCCTTGCTCGTGATCTCAGTGGCCGTTTCTTTCAGTTTCTCAAGGCGTCTGCCGAGGATGGCAATAGTTTTGGCACCAGCTTGTGCAAAAGCTACAGCAATAGCTTTTCCAATGCCTGTGCCACCGCCTGTGACTACAACAAAGGCACCCGCGGCGCTGAGTTCGGGGCGGGCTGGGTCGATGGCCGCATAGGGTTTGTTGTGCCATGTCTTGGTGAAAGACACGTAACTGGTCATTGTGGTCTGAGTTTCTGTATAGGGCGGTGATGATTGATTGCAGTTTAAGAAGATGCGTCTCCTCTTTGATGCGTATCGGACAATTTCTTACTTGACAGTTTGAATGGTTGAGAGCATCTTATACCAAGCTTTTACTGTCAAGTTTCTAACCCCGAATCAAAGCTTTGAAAGCATTCCGAGCCTCTTCTTATGTATTTGAAATAGAATAGCCACGGAACAGTACATGGTCAATCAGAGATTTCCAATCCCATCATCTTTCACATCCAACGTAGCAGGTCCGCGGAAGACTGGGCTATATGGGCCGCCTCGAGATCATCACGCACATGTATACATACCCAGATAGACTAACTCATACTAGAATACTACCACACTTCACCTATCACAGAACCACTTTTTAAACGTCTTAAGAATGCACTGGTTTGAGTCCACATAACTTTAGAGTTGGCTGATAAATTCGGGGCGGATTCCGCTTTGTCAGCCAGCTTCCGCGGAAGCATCTTGGTCATAGTACTGACATATTAGTCTCAGGGAATCAAACACTCGGCTTGATTTTAACATCATTTACTTGACTTATGAGTTCCATGGATGTCAAAGCTGCAATGGAAATTGATCATCGCCCCAGAAAGGTAGTACTCTATCCAATCACTGAAAGAACGCAATCACTGATCTTAGACAGGCCTGCGATTTATGCTACACTCGCAAACTCAAATGCAATGGACAGCAACCTCGTTGTTCTAATTGTATAACTTATGCAAAAGAATGCACCCATGCCGCCCGAAGCCGCAGGTCAAAGCCCAAGACCCGGCACAATGGTAGCAACAACACAACAAGGGCAGATGAAGTCCAGAGCCTACGAGCGCGGGTACAGGAATTAGAAACTCAACTGGTGTGTCTCTTCGCCCTGTTCGACTTTATTACAATGCCTACAACTTATGACCTAGACCCAGAATCTTATCAAAGACAATGGTCATCAATCTGCGGGAAACCATAGCAATACAGGCAGCTCCATGATCCTCTCTCCCCTTCAACAAACATTGCCCATGATCGAAATGTTTCTCAACAAGATAAACTCGGTACTTCCGTTATTTCACGCTGGCACATTCTTGCGTCTGGTTGGCGAATGTTATTCCCGCACACCTCGACAACGGGATCCAGTCGCGTGGGCTGCGATCAACGTGGTCCTGGCCTTGACCTGTCAGCAAATCTCGCCACCAGATGGTGATGGTGATGTAGGAGCTCGGGCGGACCATACCACCGAATATCTGAATAGAGCACAATCCGTCATCTCAGATGTAATGCTGAGCGAAACTCGACTCTTAAACATACAGACGCTAGTAGGCATGGTGATGGTCCTCCAGAGCGCCCACGATCCAACCCAAGCTCTGATCTTGATAGCAGCAACAATTCGCCTAGCACACAAAATGGGTCTTCAAAATCGGGCCACATCAGCACACCTAGGCCCTGAAGAAAGGAGACAGCATAATCACGTCTTCTGGCTGGTGTATATCTTGGACAAGGATTTAAGTCTGCGGGCACAACAACCGTCTATCCAGGTTGATGATGACATTGATCTAGACTTACCACATTCCCTACCTGCGGATGATGATGGCGACGGTGACGCTCCTGGAGTAGTAGCTACCTCTGATGGAAACGCCAGGATGAACTACTTTCTGGCTCGTGTACAACTAGCTAACATCGAGGGCGGCGTATATGACTGCATCTTCTCAACGAGAGCGGCGAAACGCAGTCCGGAGGAGCGACTCGCCGCAGCCGATAGTGTACTTGGAGCCCTCGAGAAATGGCAGGCTGAGATACCATCTGAGTTCGGAGGCGCCGCCGTCATTGCTTCGATGGCAAATGACGACTCCGCAAGTATTGGCTTCTTTTGTATTTTACACTCTATCAGCCTTCGTTGTATGACTCTTGTTAGTAGAGCTCATGCTTGGAACGAGGAGTGGGTGCGGGGCGTGCACGACATTGTGAGAGGTACGAGAAAACTGCAGCTTCCTGTTATATGGTCAGCACTGGTATACCAAGCGCGGGACTACATGATTTTGTTTGAACAGGCATGGTCAGCGGAGATCTGGTTTCGCTGGTAAGTGGATTCCAACAATACTGAATGCCCTTGTTGATGGTGACTATCAGGATCGTCTCTTGCCCTTACGTATCGTCCATGATGATCTTAGTGACCAACAATCTGCACAATCTTCTCCATCATCGAATACAGCTAGATAGCCGACTTGTTGATAGAGGTCTGCAGTGGCTGAAAGCTGGTGCGGAGGAAACGCAAAGAGAAGATGTCCGTATACTTCGGGATATCTGTGTGGATATTGTTCAAAGGGTTGAGCGTAAACGTGCTGTATCTATCTCAACGGCTCGAAGCCGAATCCTTCTTTAATACAAAGTATGAGTTAGCATTTCTAGGTGAATATAACAAGACTGTTATAGCTTGCGTTGGGCCATGAACGAACACCATAAGTCATCAAATCATGAAATGTGAAATCATATTGAACACCACGATACCGTAGTATTATCAAGTCTTCAGACAGGTCCCGTCCACCCACTTCGATGAAGCCAATCCTCAAAAGAGCTAGCTTTCAAGCCCAGCATCTCGAAAGAATCGTCCTGATCCGCATCCATAGCCCCATAACAGATTTTATCACCTGGCATCACAGCAGCCCATTCCATCATCTGCTTGGCATCCTCCTTGAATCCTGGCCCGACAAAGGGAACTGCGAACTCTGCGAATGCTTCAGCAGAAATCGGTTCATGAATTGCGGGCTGGCCTGTGACTCGCGTAAAGGCCTTGGCCATCTCTTCGGCCGTGATTGGAGGGCTCATCGCAAGATACGTCTGTCCGTGGGTCTTCTCAAGTCCCATGTCGAATATTTCTTCACGATAGATAAATTTATAAGTCACTCGAGTGTGTGCTGATAATGGTCGGATATGACTTACTTGCAGCAAATATGCCAACATCATGGGTTGGGTCGGTCCATTGCGCGGCTTGATGACCTGGAATTGGAGTACAGAAGCGAACAACTCCATCCACTGTTGAATCGATAAGTTAGCCTCTTTTTATCTACAGTACTTATTAGGCAAGAGAAGGGTATGCTTACCTCTCCGTTGACAATATTGAGGCCGTTTTAAATTTGTGTAAAAGAACCCTACAGTTGTAAACAGCTGTCAATTTTCACAATAGTAACCCCAGGTTACAGTATTAAGAGACGAACCTGGAATAATAAAAGTAAATCCTCCAAGCTCTTCTCTCGCAATCTGCTCTATCACATGCTTGTTGTTCATATGGTGGATTTTTGGAAACTGTCCTCTTGTTGTCTTGACCATATCAGGCAAGCTGCTAAAGACGAAATGCTTGATTCCACATCCCTTGGCTGCCAAGACTATGTTTCGTCCTGCTTCAATCTCATGTTGCATCTCTTCTTCTCTCTCCAGGGCTCTGCCAGGGTAAGATTCGGACGTCAGACCAAAGACGCCATAGGCGCCGGTAAAAACATCTTGGAGAGAGCTCTTGTCATATACATGACCGGCAACAAGGGCAAGACGACTGTCAGCCGTCTGATTATCGGCGAGGAATTGCTTTGCTTTCGCCGAATTGGGGTCCCGTGTCAAGGCGCGGACGAACCACGGATTCCCATCTGCTGTCTCTGAGGTCAATAGTGCGCGAACTACGCCAACGCCTTGATTGCCTGTGGCTCCAACAACCACTACGGTGCGAAGTGGTTCTGGCATTTTGACAGTCTGTTTCAAGTAGTGTTTGATCTGTTTGGGATAGAGTATTGCTGATACCAAAGATACAATTAACAGCGGGGAGATTACGAAGACTCATTGAAGCAGTAACTCACAAGCTGCTGTTATATACTGAGACGCAATTTCGCGTTTTAAAATCCACTGCATATCAATTTGTGAGACTCTATCTTCTGATTTCGTTTGATAGGTGGCCCCATGACGTGCCGGATCTTCATACATCAGCTTCGATCGGAGTAGTGCGCCTAGAAATTGGTAATCAATCAGTTCCGTGGAACTCAAACACTACAAGAAGCAGTCACGCACCAAATTGAGGCATGCAATTCGCTCAGGGCATTAATAATGATTGAATTCAGAGTAAAGATTGATCATCAAGTAAATTACAAAGCAGATGATGTAAAGAGCCTCCGCGGAAGCTTTGTCGATTTCTTATTAACAGCGCGCGGCTGCACCAAGTTCTTTATAACTGCCCATCCGAGCATCTACTTAAGCAAGAAGAAATAACATTCATTTTACTATTTTACTTAATATCTCACATGGTATTCTCAAGATGAAGATTGGCATTGTCAACGCAGGCAATATTGGACGGAACCTGGCAACGTCCTGGATCCGACATGGCCACGACATCATGCTGAGCAAAGACACATCTCCAGAAAAGCTTCGTACTCGCATACAAGAACTCGCTTCGAGCAAAGGACTAGCCGAAACTGAATTGGAAAAGTTCAAATACGGCTCACTCGTCGAAGCGGCCAACTTTGGCGATGTTGTGGTCTTTTCGATATACTTTCCACGACTGAGCCATGTCCTCCAAGAGCTTCAACGAGCTGGGGTTACGCTTTCGGGGAAGATTATAATTGACACCATGAACCCTCTCAACGTGGATGGAAACTTCAACCATTACCACGATATCGAGTATATGCAAAGGACGTCGACTGCGGAGGAGGTACAGAAGGCTTTCCCAGAGGCCATCGTTTTCAAAGCATTCAATACTTTTGGGGCAACATTACTGGATGCCTCGAAATGGCCATCGGGTCGTGTACCACCAGTTATATTCATTGGCGGCAACTCGGACTCTACAGATGCAGCTCGTAAACTGATTGAAGATGCTGGATTCCGACCAAGATTCGCAGGCCACAACCTAAGAGATGCGGGTTTATTGGAACGATTGGGGATATTGTCACACCGTCTGGCTGAGAATGAGTTTGAGGGCGATGCAAACATTGCCTTTGACATTCTTCAGACCAGGGCCTAAGAACTTGATAACATAAAATGCTATCTTACTTTAAGTAAGTATGCACTTATAATCATCTATCTAAAGCTCGTGGTTATGAGCATAGAGAGTGAAACAAAAAAAAACACAAATAAAAATATCATTGAATTTAAATTATCCATGTACTCTTCTGAAACGGAAATACGCAAACTTTCTTTCCGGGATGGTGCAATGGTGATCTGCATCTTTGGATTCTCTCAAGGCCTTGAGAAGGGTTATAGTTGGTGTGAATTGCCTGCATGCATAATGTATGAAGTTGGGAAGGTTTATCAGGCATCTCGCCTCGCAGCTCAAGAGGCCATGGGCCAGGTTCAAATTGCTATGAAAATGCTCGATTTGGAAATGTGCCCATGTAAAACAGCTCAAGATCTTGGGAGGGAGTAAAATTGCTGTGAAGTGGGACTCTAACGAGTACGCATGGTGAGCCGCCGATGACCGCTACCTGGGGATGCAGATACACTTATCCCCACAGCTCACGAGGTCTTGAGGGAGGTTAAGATTGCTGTGAATACGAATCCGCATCCGTATTGCGCCTATGAGATTCCATTGGTACATCTGTCATTGGCTACAGGTAGGTAGATGCGTTCGCTTATCCCCACAACTCAAGAGGTCTTGAGGGAAGTTAAAATTGCTGTGAACGTAGCCTACTGTTGTAATTCCACAATACAAACAGGTATGCCGCTTCGCATCTTTAGAGCCAACGAGATGCCGTAAAATTGATCAATGACAACATCTCTATAATACTTGGCAGAGATCCGGTAATCCCACATCCAGCGCCAAACCCCGAACCAATGGCAATCCGCATCTTTGAATCCTCTTTTGATTCTCTCGATGTACTCAGTAAACTCCGTGCTACTCCAAACTTACCCCTCATTCCAAGTACACGTCGGTTGAGCATCATGTCATATCAGATCAGATCAAATCAAATCCACCATAAGCCAGATGCATGATATAGGAGAGCATCCTCTTCTCACCATATTGTCTATCTCATATCTAGAACTTCACTACATGCAAATGCACAGCATCCCACCATCCCTCTGCCTTTCACACGGCATGTCCGCCATTCTGCTTATCCCGATCCAGCAACAAGACACTCGGCCTCTTCCCAGAGCGTGCCTCGGTATCCGAATTGGCCTAGCCTCGACCAGTCTCTAACACGCAGCTCCACGCCAGTTCATCTTAGCATCTCGGCTGCCAACATTTTTCTCTTGTTGGTGTTTTTTTTCTCGTGCTGCCTGACTGCAGCAGGAATGGAGCCCAGATGCATCTTTACCGCCATTGGAATCCAAAAAACCAAAGCCTGAGTCGCGTGACGAAGCTCCCGGATTGTGGTAGCTGGGCCCGGGACAATGGCCAGCATTGGTTGAATCGTTCGACGCTATACCGCCCTACCAAGCAAGAGTTTTTTGTTGGTTCCATTGTTTTGCTTGTGATGCTGATGTAATGAGGCGAAACTGCATTGCCATTTGCCAGCCAACAAGCTGACCATGCCCTATGAAAGGGGGCTTGCGTCACTGTGAAGTTGCTATAACTTGTGCCTCCGACCTTGGCGACGAAAAAGTACGTATCGAATTCAATCGCATCGTAATGGATCGTAATTGATTGGATTCGACACGCCGCCAGATTATTATTAGAACTACTAGTACAGCTGCTTTACACCTCCAGACTATTTTTTTTTTTTTTTTTTTCAATTTCTTTCTTCCCTCTGATAATACACTTTTAATATTACCTTTCCTTTCCATCCGCCCTAGCATCCTTCCTTCCATTCCATTGTTTCGGACTGGTGACCATTATTCTTTATTTATTCCATCTTACCATTTTCAACTTCTTCCAGTTTCTTCTTCTTCTTCTACGTCGTCATTAATCGTGGTCGCAATCACCTCGTCTATCTCTCAACCTTGTTTGGTGCAATTATTAAGTCATCACCAGTCCATCTAGACGACGACACCTTCATCACCACTCCCGTCGCAATCGCCACCATGATTGGCGCCTCAGAGCCCTCCGCGACCTCGAGGCTGTCTGCCTATCTCTCCAGATTGAATCCCGTCCCAGCTTTCCCCGAATACACCGGCCCATACAAGGTCGGCACCCTCGACGTCGAGATTCCCGTCGCCGATCTGCCTTCTCCGGCCCCGCAACCCGACATTGCCAGCGACATCCCGACGGTGTTGTTTCGAGTCTTCTATCCTGCAGTCGCCGAATCCAACGAGAAGCTCATCAGCTGGCTGCCCGCACCGCAAAGGCACTATGTCTCTGCTTACACCAAGTTCATGGGCGTTGGACACACTCTAGCCGAGCTCCTCTCGTAAGTCATAACTCAGAAGTTATCCAAACCTTAACCTGAGCTCTTCTGACGCCATTGTCCAATAGATTTCTACCTCGACATCTTCACTACACCTCCATTCCCGCTCACAAAAACGCCACCTTGGAATCCGCCAATACCGACGACAAGCGATGGCCAACCATGATCTTCTCCCATGGCCTGGGAGGGAGCCGAAACTCGTATTCATACATTGCCGGATCGCTTGCTTCTCACGGAATCGTCGTCATCTGCCCCGAGCATCGAGATGGAAGCGCCGTCACCTCATTTGTTCGTGTTCCTGGCCAGAACGGCCGCTTGGCCCGAAAGGTCGTCCCGTACAACCGAATCTCCCACGAGGTCACACCCGAGGTGTACGAGGCGAGAGAAGCGCAGCTTAGGATTAGACTTTGGGAGATGGGCTTGGTTCACGAAGCAGTTCTGGCCATGGATGCCGGCCGAGAGTTTACCAACCTGAATCTCACCACTCCGAGCCTGGGCCAGTTCGTCGGCCGTCTGAACGTCAACGAACCCGGCAGCATCATCTTTGCGGGCCACAGCTTCGGCTCCACCACCGTGTACCAGTTTCTCAAGTGCACCTACTACGCCGATGTTGCAGAGGTCGCAGCCATGGAGGCGCCGTTGTTCAGACCCTCCAAGGACAGCAGCATTCGGAAGCAGGTGACGGAGAAGAACGCCACTATGCTCTTGGATATGTGGTGTCTGCCTCTGCTGGCCCCCAACTCGACTCCTCTGTTCAACCTACCGCTTCCCGTATACGCCGATGTCCCCTCAGCACCGGGAGGAACTGCGCTACTGGCTGTTGAATCGGAAGCCTTTTTCAAGTGGCCTGAGCATCTTCATGTCACGGCACGATTACTGTCTCCCGACCCTACGGCCAAAGTTGTCACCCCGGCAATCTATGAGCGGCCGAGTGGCAACAAGCTTCCGGAGCCCAACTTCTTTTACGTCGGAAGCTCAGCTCATCTGAGCCAGTCTGATTTTGGCATTCTGTTCCCACTCTTGACGAGGAAGATCTTCAATGCTGTCGAGCCCGAGCGTGCACTTCGCCTGAACCTGCGGGCGCAGCTGCAGTTTTTCCGAGCAAACAGCATTCCTGTCGCGCGAACTTGGATTGGGGATCTTGTCGATGGTTCTCACATGGACAAGCTGGATTTGGCAACTAAGGGCGGCTCCAGCTCTGATGTGGCTGTCGATGGGCTCGACGACGACAAGGCCATTTTCGATAGGAGCGGACACGATGTCATCGACTACTGGAACTGGATCGACACCATTGGCTTGGGAGAGCCAGATGAGCAAAGGAGCGGCCAAACGACGACGGAGCAGATTGAACAGAGCGAAGAGCAAATGAAGGGCGAGCTGGAGCCCAGCGAACAACCCGCTCAGCCAGCCGCCATGAAAGGCGTCACTCTGCCCCAAGGCCACGGCTGGCAGGAGATTTAATCTCACGGCTGCTCAACGCCATTTGCCGAGAGATGAAGAATCTTGATGATACCCAATACCAAAGGCACGTCTCGTACGGGTTGGCCGCTTGAAGGCCAGTTTGTGAAGAAAGTGTACCAACACATACAAACATTGCGTTTTGTAATTCTTTTATTCTTCTTGGCTGTCTTTTTGTCTCCCTTTTCGTCTTTTTCTCTTTTTCCTTTGGCTCGATGTATCTTATACAGTGCGGCTACTTGGAGTTTGGTGGGCATGTTTCTTTTTTCGAGCGCTGATTTACAACTGGATGGATAATGACCGAGCGAACCTTTGCGGGCAACAGATGCCCTGACATATACATAGACCGATACATTACATATGGCATTTCTAAAGCATTTCTTTATATTTCATTTCATTACTACATTCTTGAATGTTCCATGACTCCGATCCTTCTCACGATGCGAACTGGATGAGCTAGTCTAAGTGATGCCGTTGCCAGTGATTCTCCATACAATTACCGTCTTCCGTGTCGTTTTTTTGGACTGGGTGACCGAGACTTATATCTTATTGGAGGATTGGTCGCCCGCCCCTGAGATTTTCGTCTGGGAGGATTAGACGACCGGGGCTCATATCTTCCTCTTCGAGGACTGAGCGGCCGGGGCTCATATCTTCCTCTAGGTTGTTCTTTTGGAAGAGTATACCTCCCCCTCCCATCTTCCCCTCTAGATCGCGCTCTTGAGGGACTGGGCCGCCTATGCTCTCTTTCATATCGTTTCCTTGAAGGGCTCCGCCCCTGCCTCCCCTTTGGAGGATTCTGCCACTGTCTCTCATTCCTGTAGTGTTGGTCTTCTGGAGGATTGCGTCTCCGCGTCGACTCTCCGTAACTATATCGTTCTTCTGGACGATAGGGCCTCCGCGTCGATTCTCCCTTGATGTATGGTTCTTCTGGAGAGATGCACCTCCACGGCGAATATTCCCTTCTGGGCGGCATCCACGGCGATTCTTCCTTTCTGGGCGGCCTCCACTGCCATTCTTCCCTTCTGTATTTTTCTACTGTTGGACTGAGCCTCGGCCTTTCCCATTCTCTGCTAGATCGTCCTCCTCGAGGTCTGTTCGTCAGCAACCTCATCTTGATAACCTCCTCCATGGCTTCGCGAAGTTCCTTCATGCCTAGTTTAAAATCATGCTCATTCCATTCCAGAAACTTCAGCAATCTCTCCGCCTCCCACGCCACAGGAGACTTTCGCGCATCGTCCTTTATGTCCTTCCCCTGAAAACTCAACAGCAAGCTGAGCACCATGTTCTCTTTGTCGTTTCTATCCAGCTCCCCCGTTTCAAAGATAGACATCCGTCGAATGTAGTCGTCCACGAAGTACCTTGCCGCCAGTCTTTCATCCCATAACTCGGAATTCCCAGAGTAATCCCTAACCCCATGCTCTTGAAACCAAACCATGAATTTCTCTGCGGACTCAACAGGTATGAAGCAACCGAGTCGGTGGTGATGATCTTTACGATGTTTGGGAACCTCATCGTCCATATCTGGGCAGATTCGAAGCTGCGAAACCTTGCGTTTACCGCGATCGTTGGGATCTTCACCGATGATGGATGGGTAAGGTAATCCTTTAATCTTATCACAGTCTTCATAGCCGTGAGGAGAGGTGCGTGCTCCGTCGCACCAGCAGCCGTATTTACGGAGTTGTTCGCCGAGTTCCACGGAAGGGTAGATGAAGAATCTGACGACGTTTTGGGCTCGGACGTCTTCGACGTTGGTTCTGATGAAGGATTTTACGACGTGGAGGAAGGCATTTTCGAAATCTCGGTTGAACATGAAGCTGGCTCTTAAGTTCGCCATTGTGGTATTTCTCCGAGTGATGGGCTTAGTCGGTCTATTTTAGTGTTTCGTGAGAGTTGGGGTGGGTTGATGGGTTTGAGGCCAGGTTGGAGGGGCAACTGGGAAGGTTTAAATAATTTGAGAGGATGTTGATGTGTGAACTAGTGAAGCTGTTCACGAGTTGTTCAAGGTATGTGGTGAAGCTGTTCAAGGCGTGTGGTAGCAACTGTTCAAGGTTTGTTGTGAAACTGTTCGTGGTATCTCGTGATAATGGGCTTAGTGATGAAATTGTCAAGTTATCAGAGATGATCCATACACAGTGATTCAGTAGACGATATCAAGCGTCAATTGACTTATATATCCATAACGAACAGCTCGAAAACCGGCCAAGAGATTATATCTCAAGCCTTGAAGGACAAAGAAAAGGCACTTTACAGCAAAACACCAATCATAGAATCGTCACGTAGGAGTGTTTACATCATAACAAGATAAAGAGAGGCAACTTAACAGCAAGAACTACCAATCATAGACTCAAGTATGGGAGTACAGAACATCACAGGACCCAGCATCACAGGATGAAGAAGAGGCAACTGTACAGCAAGGACAACCAATCATAGAGGCAAATAGGAGGATAGTCAGCGTTCAAGGACAAAGAAGAGCCAACTTCGCGGTAAAAAGTACTAATTATAGAACCGTCCAAACGGAGAATAGGCAGCATCGAGGGACAAAGAGACAACTTCACCAATCATAGAATCGTCAAATAGAAGGATATGCCGTTTACGTTTCACATTCATTGACCAAATCCCATCCTACGCCTAGTCTAAAGAACAAGCATGAATCAAAATCCCATAATTCCCCCAACTTGAAAAACAAACTCCGCAATACAAAATCCAGAGAAAAAGACTTCCTCCCCAAAAGCACCCAACAATTATATATAATCATTAAAAGTTTTCATCCCTCAGATGTACCCATGAATAGAAAAAGAAAAAAATGTTCGTAAAAATAGAGCCTTTGTTTTCAAATTCATAGTCATGGCCGTGTTGTTCCCCCCAGAAGCATCTCCTTGCATACTTTTAACCGTTCTCGCGCCTCGACTAGCAGTTCCGTATCTGCCTCTTCGAGAATGTCCACCATTACATCCAGCAAATCAGGCAAGCCCTCGTGTAAAACGGCTGATGCCTGCTCATCCAGCTCCGGTAACGCAGCCACGCCGGACACGTACTCGACCATCCGCGCGTAACTACTATGTCCCAGCTGCGATGTCGGCAACGGAAACCCCTTGCCCGGCGGCCGTCCCAAAGCTTGTACAAAAGCCCAGATGGCCAAAACGGCATAGTACATGATCCACGGCCGATGAGGATCTGGTTCGTTGCGAACCGAGTACTGGATGGCGGAGTGTTCAGGGGGGTGGGGGCTGTTTCTGCGGCGAGGGTGAGGATCGACGACGACGCGGTAGAGAAGCTTGAAGGCGTGCAAGATGGCATGTCGTGTTGAAGCTTGTGTTGACCAGGCGCTCATGCGCTTGATGACGTTGGAGTAGTCCCTGGACGAGACCTTGCGGCCGAGAAGACGCTTCGCGCCAGCATACACCTGGCAATCGACAATGTCCGCGTGGAGACTGATATGTGCCAGATGATACAGCACCGAAGCACTATTGATGGGCCCGTTGGGAATACCACGGTGGCCAGGGGCGTCAGAGATGGAGTCGGACATGGCAATGTCGAAGCTGCCCTTCCAGTTGTCAAACGCGCGCAGCAGCATCTTGCGCCAATTTTCCTGCGTCTCCATAGACGGCGTGCGGATGTCGAGCCACTTGAGGTGCGTCTCGCGGTGGTTCAAGTGCCAACCCACGCTGAGCAGGCCCGAGATGATAATCATGCGGCCAAACGAGTGCGTCTTGACCTCCTTGCCGTGCAGTGCGCTCTTGAGCCCGTCCAGAAACGACACCTGCTTGACGCCGTACATCCGAAAGTTTGCGTCCAGCTGCCGCACCACGTCGGGGCTGTTGGCCGCCCACAGGTTATCGTCACAGGGGAGAGGCAGTCGGATCTCGTGAGGAGCCATGTCGGCAGCGTGGCCAAACATGGCGGCGTGGATGACATCGAGCATAAAGGCCGCAAACACCACGCGGTGCATTGACTCCGTCTCGGCCCATCGAGCCCACCACGTCCGAGAGTCCAAGGCCATGTTTGGCGTATGTCGATCGGGTCCCAGCGAATCTGGCTCTGGGGGAGATTCACTGCCGGTTCTGCCAATCAGGGGGCTGCCACGTCTGAGAAGTGTTAGGAAAGCAGGGTGATAAATGTGCGCCCTCTCGTGCAGTTTTCGAGAAGAGTACAGCTTCTCGTAGAATTCGAGAAGCAAGAGAGCCTGCAGCACCCAAAGGCTTGCTGGCGGTGCAGAGTCGTCCGAGGTTAGAATCTCCCATCTCACGCATGAAATGACAACGTCGGCAAATGCGCCGTACTCGGAGAGCTGCCCCGTCACGTCACGGCCGCGCAATGATGCGGCGCCGAGAGACAGCATGACGAGGAGGAGCAGGACGGGGCATCGGTTCGGGGAAAAGGTGTGTTGGTGGATAATGGGCAGCCGAGGCGAGACATTGTCCCAAAACTCCTTGAGACAGTCTCTCATCATGTCGAGGTTGAGCGCCGGCATGTCGCCGCCGCTTTCAAGGACCAGGTTGGGCATCAGCGGCTCGTACCTGGGCTGCTTCTTGCGGAACGTCTGAAACCAGTGAAGCAGTTCCTGGCGCCTCGATTCGGTGATCCAGTCGTCAGACGATGACTCAGAAAGCCGCTGAGGCTGGTCCATGGGCGACAAGCTGGTGAGGGATTCATAGTCGTAGTGAATGTTGTTGTTAAAGGTAGACTCCAGCCCGCCTTCAAGGAATGGCAGACTTGCCATGCTAAAGTCGCTATACGTAGTCTGGGGGTCAAACAGCCATGCGGCAAAGTTGCCCTGCGTCAATGAGTCGTCGGTGGGATATCCAACCGCGCCGAAGCCCACCATGCCCGGGGGCTCCGGCAGAGCGGTTGGATCGGCCGCGTAGAAGCTGGGCCGGTGCCGCATCATGTTGCCCGAGCGGTCGTCGAGCGAGGGCGCCCAGGTCGCGGCTTGGTGGCTCGCCCTGGTCATGCTATGGCTCAGCGGCGCCGGAGTGGGAGCCGTGTTGGACTCGGGCGTCAGCAGGATGGCGGCATCGTGAGGCCCAGACGGCTGTTGTCCGTAGGAAGACTGCGGCGGGATGGCGATGGCGTGGCGGTCGGGGGGCGACTTGACGGTCTCGCCCGTGTCGAAGCTGGGGATGCGATTCCTGGGCGTGTACGAGGCCGTGTGCCGCTTCTTATGGCGCGACAGGAGATCGAGGCGCACAAACTTTTGGTCGCAGTCGCCAACGTCGCAACGGTAGATTTCCTTGGGGTTGTCTTTTGGTCGCAAAACAATCAGCAGTCAGCCATCATGTCATATCACAGCAATTGCAATGATCCAATTCGACTCGGGTCAGTCAGGGGGGAAAGGAGAAGCTCTCTTACGGTTCAGCTGATGGCGCTGCAGGTGCTCGGCTCGCGAATAAATCTTCTCGCAGCCAGCATGATCGCACACGAACCTCCGCGGCGCGCCTTTGCGACTCGCGCGCTTGTAGCCCGAGCCCGAACCCGTGCTGCCGTTGCCGCTGCCGTTGATCGTGCCAGCGCTGGACCCCGAGCTGGTGCGAGTCGTCGTGAAGACCTGTGAGGACTCCATCCAGGTCATATATTCATAGCTGGCCCCCGTCGATGGTCGAGAAGCCAGAGTGCATGGGGGGAAGGTTTGCGATATGTCTGCTGTAGTCTCGTGTCGCCGCCTCTTGTGCAGCGAACCCCAGCAATCCGCATCGGCACTTGAGCACCAGAAACACACGAGGATTTGCTCAGAAGGGGTCCTTTTCCGTTCCGCGGGGACGAGCTGGGGAAATCCCACGTTCCAACGTTTCCGGGGTGGCCCCCACCGAGGCGGATTGCTGTCGAACAATCTCCAACGTTTGCTGGAGTTTTGGGCCGCCACTTATCAGATAGCCACTTTCCGGGGGAACTCGACCCTCTGGACCCTTATCGGTCAGTGGGGGTCACCGCCTGGCCGAGCCTGTGCTTCTACTCCGTATCTTTGCCTGGATCCCCCAGAAGGGAAAACGGCATTGGACATTTCCAATTCTCAGCCAAATGCCTCTATTCGAGTTAGCCCATCTATGTTACGTAGTATTGGGCGACTATTGAGGACTAGCCGCTGTGTCAAACACGCCTTGGCCTACTTTGGACTATTGATTCTCTATCATGATGTTGGATAGGGAATGGATACGGAATATGCTTCAATGATATGAGTTGATGGACATTCTATAATACTGGATTCCATACTCTATACTCCGCAGTTCGTATACCACAAAACTACTAGGTAACCATCCTTCTTTTCCCGCCCTTATCATTTAACTGTTCTCATGATACCAACACAATGTACCATGGCTTCCCACCAGTAACCATCAGTGTGAACTTCCACCTCCGGATGCGACTATTACCTTGATGCATTATTCCCGAACTCATTGAGCTCAATAGCCAAATTCTCTTTGAAATCTATCCGAAGTGAAATGATGTACTTCGCCACCCCCAGAACATACACGTATGGTATCCTTTTTTTGCCGTTACCGCGACAGGCCCATTCATATCGGCCTTGTCCCTTGATTTTTTTTTGTACCCCGTTGCCAATGAAATTTTTCCTCGCATCTGCCATAACTCATGATGCTGAAGCCTCGTTCTCCTCCACGCCTTCTCCATCCTCAAGCTTGACCGACTCAACGGCACCATTCAGTCCACTCTCCTGGTTCTTCTCCTCCAACATGCCCGCAGAGGCCAGAAAGAATTGCGCCACCTCGTTGTGCTCGTTCTGGTAGGCCAAGTCGAGAGGGACGTAGTTTCGCTCGTTGGCCACTGCCGGCAAAGCGCCCTGTGCCATGAGAAGCTTGACGACATCCAGGTGGCCGCCGAGCGCTGCCCAATGCAGACCAGTGTTTCCGTGCTCATTGGCGTCGTCCAGGAAAGCCTGCTTCTCCTCCTTGGGTCTCTCATCAAAGTACTGAATGAGTTTGCGAACAGTCTCTGGATGCCCCGTTAGTCCCTCTCTGTTCATCGCATGTCCTCGTATCTCCTCAAAGGTGCTTCAATGGCAGTCTCCCAACCAGAGCCCAATGAGGATTTGTTGAATTTCTTACCTAGATGACCGTTTCCTGCCGCCATGTGTAAAGCCGTTGACTTGCCCTCATCCTTGGCGGCCAACAGGATCTCAGCTGGTGACACCTTCTCGCGCTCTGACAGTGTCTTCAGGGTCTCAACAAGATCTTCATCTTCGCCTACTCTGGCAAAGTACACCACGTCATCGATTTCGTCTTCTGTGAGGTTCGGCGCCATGGTGATGAATGAGTTCTCACTCTTCTTGGTTGCAAAAATGCATGTATAAAATTTTAGATCATTTCTTCCATGTGGAGGGGACTGTGCGGATATCTTGCCCCGCGATTCTAGCACTGTATCAATTCCCGGGTAGGTGGATATTTGACGAACTATCTCATCGAAACAAGCTTGCTCTGTCTAGAAATCTGTTTTCGCGAAGAAATACATGCAGATTCAAGCCGGATCCTGGCAATGTCTTTCTAGGGATCATATCATCAGCCTCGAAGTCTTTCCACATAGGCTCAAAACTGCAAATATTCTCCATGACGAGTGATGGCCGTTGAACTGGTCGTGACACGGTCTGATTGTTAGCATCTTTGGTTTCCGCTAACCGATGTCTTCAAGCACCTAAAAGCATCTGCTCAATCTTGATATCGAGCCACTCCGTCAAATTGCCTGCTTCATCAAGCCACTGTATCTCAGCCTTGATGCCCATCATCAACATAACCTGAAGCTCTCGTCTCAGTTCGAGGGCTGCGGGTTCATCTCCAGATTCTACAACCTTTTTTAAAATCCCAACGGCGACGTTTCGATCTCGTGTCGAAAGGGGTGAAATCGGCTCACGACATTCAGTAGACGAGATGGAGGCTTTGGAGCCCGAGCTTTCTTTGGACGATTGACTATCTGGTAGCTGCAAGTTGTCCGGGGATGGGATCCTCAACATAGCAAGACGGCTCTCATGCTCCAGGAGATCTTGCGATTTGATTCCTAGCCAGCGTATTGCGGGAGCCGTAAAGCCTTGGGATACAATCTCTGATTTGAGGCGGCAGTGGCGAAGAATGTTGAGTCCATCCGGGTCGAAATCAGCCAAGACAAAGATTGGTATCTGCGGGCAATTGAAGCGAACCAGTTGCACAAACGAACATGTAAGCATATCTGGGTATCCCTTTGCCTTTAGCCCCCTTGACATTAGCTACCCTGACGATAGAGCAAACGTAGGGAAGACATGCCGTTATGAGGAGCCCTGGGCCAACACAAGACGTTTGCCAAAACAGGCAAGAGGTTAAAGAACGATATATTGCCTTTGTGAGATCAGTAAAACAAGAAGCTGGTGCAAATTTATGCAAAGCACAAACATCTTTTTCAATAATCAATATCCATCGGACGGTTCCACAGCTGATGGCTGCAATGGACCCGGCTGCCGGCAATGCAATTCCCTTGTTAGGATGTTAGAGTAAGAAAAAGACAATGGCTACTTGTTGCGAGCGAATATACGAACCACATCTCCGGTAGCGGGACCAACCACTGTGTTGTCCTGGAGGCGAATACTCAGAGGTCCTGAGAACACACCCTTGGAAGATGCAACCTAGACCCATTAGTTGAAGTATAGGGCCAATGGGTATTCGACTTACAATGTTCAAGTCGTCACGTTGAACGTTGAGTGCAGAGGCAAGGCTGTCCACAAGCTCGTCTACAGTTCTTTGCCTCACGAAAAGCCCCTGATGCTGGTAGAAAATGTGACTGCATCAAGACATTTTGGTTACAATCTTGGAAGGTCAAGTCATAAGGTCTCCAATACTAACCGCTTGGTTAACACTGTCCCCGATACGAGAGCATCATGGGCGAGCTGCAGGATGAGAAGTATGCGGGCTTGAAATCACACAAGATGAGACCTAGATCGCAAAATCAACCCGCTTGGGCAATGGTGCGTACCAAACTTTGTGGCTTCCACAGCACTCCTTCCTGGGAACCGCACCGTTTGCGGGCTATTTCCTGATCCTGATCTGCTGGACACAAAGTCGATGCTGAACTCCCGTCCCTGGGCTAAGCAGTCCAGGATGGCCTCCAGGATGGATTCGATGCGAGAGACGACTGTTCCAGCGGATGTCGTCATGCTGACCGGCTGAATAATTACCTGCCGTGCATCTCGGGTTGTTCTGTGCTCCGTTGGTTGGTCCATGATGGCCTCTGGAGTCTGTCACAAGCCAAATGGACGCAGTGTCGGGGTTTTGAGCAGTCCGTCAAGTGTTGAGTGTTGGCGGTGGAATCCTATGCGAGCAAGTTGTGAGGCCAAGTACGAATACGAAGACGGCTGCAAGGGGCAATAACTGTTGACAGGCACCTCCGATTTCTGTTGACAGTGGACCTTGGGCAGTTTTTAGCGCCAGCGCCCTCTGAAGGCCACTGCAGGCACAGGAATAGCGCTAAAGCAGCCCACTGATGCGATCCAATGCCCGAATCAGACAAATTGGACGGTGCTAACATCAATCCAATCCAATCCATCCAATTGATCAGGGTTCTACAATTACTAAGGTAATTGATGGCCAAGCTCAAGTTTGTTGGTCTCTTCGCATGTGAAAGCTCTGGAGCAGCCATTGACTCTCCCCTCGCCATTATAAATCATTCAATCGGCCTCCGTCGCCAATCGGCCATTCACCATTCACTCCACGCAACTCTCTCGTCAAGATGGCCACTGCAACAGGCCGAGATGCTGGCAGCGCAAAGTCTCGCAAGCGTGCCTCTGATGATTCCGACAGCTTCCCCAAGCGCCCCAAGCTGGAGGCCAAGACGGACCTCACACGATGGAGAGTCAAGGACGACGACAGCCGTCACACGTGGCATTATCTGGCCGACGACAAGGCAGCTGCAGAGTGGCCGCAGAGCTATGCCGAGAAGTGGTTTCTAAACTTGCCCACCGTATGCCTTTGTCCCTCCCTTGAAATCGAATGACTTGCAGAGCTGATGCTGATATGCCGTTGCACTAGGATCTACCTGCACTCCCCAAGGCCGAGACGCCGCTCGAAGCTGCTACAAATGGCCTCACCTTCTTTGAAAAGCTTCAGATGCCCTCTGGCCACTGGGCCTGCGAGTACGGCGGCCCCATGTTCCTCCTCAGCGGTGTTGTCATTGCTTGGTATGTGACCAAGACGCCAATTTCCGACGCCTACGCGACCGAGATCAAGAACTACCTCTTTGCACGAGCGCATCCCGAAGATGGTGGCTGGGGTCTACATATCGAGGGTGAAAGCACAGTCTTTGGCACCGCCATGAACTATGTCGTCCTCCGCATTGTCGGCGTCGACCCCGAGGACCCTGTCATGGTCAAGGCCAGGGGAACTCTGCACAAGCTGGGCGGCGCACTCAACGCCCCTCACTGGGGCAAGTTTTGGCTCGCGGTGCTGGGTGTGGTGGACTGGGATATCGTGAACCCTGTGCCCCCCGAGATCTGGCTGCTCCCTGACTGGGTCCCGATTGCTCCCTGGCGATGGTGGATCCATATCCGACAAGTGTTCCTGCCCATGGGATACTTGTATTCCAAAAGATGGATCTGCGAAGAGACGGATATCACCCGGGCGTTGAAGCAAGAGTTGTTTGTACAGCCTCATGCCGAGATCAACTGGGTTACTCACCGAAACGACATTTCTGCCATCGACAACTACCATCCCAAGTCGTGGCTGCTCAACACGATCAACTGGGTCCTTGTCAACGTCTACAACCCCTACCTCCGCTTCAACTTTCTCAAGGAGAGGGGAGAGAAATGGGTCAGCGACCTTGTCGACATGGAAGATGCAAACACGGAGTATTCGTGCTTGGCTCCTGTGAACGCACCGATGAATACGCTCGTATGCTACATCCGTGACGGCCCTGATGCATACAGCACCAAGAGGCATATTGAGAGGCTAGAGGAGTACCTGTGGGTAAAAGACGAGGGACTGCTGTGCAATGGCACAAACGGCGTCCAGTGCTGGGACACATCCTTTGCCATCTTGTCGGTGGTCGAGTCCGGGCTGCACACAGATGAACGCTGGAAGCCCATGCTGATAAAGGGCCTCGAGTACCTGGACAGACACCAAATCAGAGAGAACTGCAAAGACCAGGAAAAGTGCTACCGCCAGCCCCGAAAGGGTGCCTGGCCGTTTAGCAACAGAGACCAGGGCTACGGCGTGAGCGATTGCACTTCCGAGGCTCTCAAGGCCGTCATCTTGCTGCAGAAGACGGAGGGATATCCGCAACTCGTGGACGACCAGCGGATCTTTGATTCTGTGGACACGCTGCTGCTGTACCAGAACGACAACGGTGCCGTCTCATCTTACGAAGCCAGAAGGGGTGATGAGTTGCTGGAGCTGCTCAATGCGGCCGAAGTGTTTGGCAGGATCATGATCGAATACGACTACCCCGAATGCACAACTGCCTGCGTCCAAGCCTTGTCTCTCTTCCACAAGCACTGGCCTGACTACCGAACCAAGGATGTAAAGCTGTTTATCAAGAGGGCCACCAACTGGATCAGGACCAACCAGAAGTTTGATGGCAGTTGGTATGGGAGCTGGGGGATATGCTTTACCTATGCCTCCATGTTTGCGCTTCAGAGCATGAAGGCGGTTGGAGAGACGTATTCCAACAGCCAGATCTCCCGCGCAGGCTGCGATTTCCTCATCTCCAAACAGCGCGAGGATGGCGGCTGGTCTGAAAGTTACCGGGTGAGTGGCCACGTCATGTCGACAAACAGCGTGTTTGTTTGTTTTATCGTCTCCTTGCTAACTCATATTCTTGTTTTTTTTAGGCGTGTGAAACCATGAAGTATTCCGAACACGAGTCAGGGTCCCTTGTGGTGCAGACAGCCTGGGCACTCATTGGGCTCCTGGTGGCAGAGTATCCGGACGTGGAGCCGATCAAGAAGGGCATCCGCCTGATTGCGAGCCGCCAACAGGCCAACGGCGAGTGGCTGCAGGAGGCCATTGAGGGCGTGTTCAACAAGTCTTGCATGATTTCGTATCCAAACTACAAGTTTACTTTTACCATCAAGGCGTTGGGGATGTTTGCAAAGAGATACCCCGATGAGAAGTTGTAAGCGGATGGACGCATGTAGGGATGCATGGATATACGGATGTACGAGTTGATGATTACGATGCTCTTTGCCTTGCGCTGGGTACTTGTAGTACCTTGTATCAGAGTTTAATACCGTTGAAGCATATTTGCCTTTGTATTTAGTCGGCAATACCTAATTGAAGCCCGTTTGCACTGCCTGAAGAACCTTTTCTCTGCCTTTCTTTGAGTTACTCTGGTTCTCCATCTAGAGGCTGCCCTATGCTTTAGACAAGTTTTGCCTGTCTGCGTGACTCGTTCTATAGGTATGTACATACTGTTCATCTACCTACCTATGTATATAGTTTTATTACATAACCCTCTTGATTGTGAGTTTAATGCATTTATTATTTTTCAAGATAATTATTCATTTTCATGTTCCTTGGCAGTGATGCTTCTTTGCTGTTTGATTCGCCCGCCCCAGCAAACGCAGAAGCGGGGCGCCGAAGTGCATTGAAGCTTCCACGCCTCACGCCGCTAGAGCTCTAAACTCCAACTGCAACTTTGCTCCCACCATATTTAAACTTGCTCTTCTGCCACTCACTTCCTTTCACCTCAACCTCGGCGACTTTCTGTTTCCAACACCATTTTCTTACCAACGGGGTTTCATCACCAAGCCAAACAAACCCCAACGTCTTCATCTTTGGCAAACGGAAAATCCTCGCTGAATCGTCAAACCCACAGCGCCATAGTTCGACCATGTCATACGTCACTATGGCCCAGGAGGGCCTCGCTGCCGTGGAAACATCCAACTGGGACGAGGCCCTCAACAAGCTCTCCTCTGCGCTCAAGGAATCCCAGAGCCCAGCCTGGCTGGCTGCTCGCTCAAAGGCCCTGACCGGGCTCGGGCGACCCCAGGAAGCCCTCGACGACGCCGACCTCGCCTGGCACACGGCCTTTGAACGCAATAAGCGCGAGCTTATGGCGACCGCCCAGTACCGCCGCGGAGTGGCCTTTTTCCACCTCAAGCAGTACGCCAACGCCGACTACTGTTTCATGCACTGCATGAGACTCATCGAGGGCGGTCCGGCAGTGCCCAAGGAGGATCCCGGCTTGGAGTTTGTGGATGAGCAGGGGTTCTGGACCGCGACGGCTGCCGAAGCCATGGCTGCTGCTCGCTACGATGACATTGGCGCGAAGGGCGGTAACTCGATGCAGGCCTTGGGGGAAAATCCGTTGGCTGCGGCGAGGGCAAACAGGCCGCACTTTAAAGAGTGGAGGATGGCTAGCAATATGCGAATCCAGGCCCTGTCGGCCATGGAGAAGCTGCCGGCGGGTGACGACGCCAGGAAGCTGGCGACAACCTTGATTCCCGAGAAAAAGGGCCTCGCCAACCACAAGTCTTCCAAGGTCGGCGTGGAAGCTGCAAAGGTGGAGGCTGCCACAACTCGGACCGCGAAGGCGGCGGAAGTTGGAAAGGCGGACGTTCCCAAAGACACCCCGCTGCGGGTGCAAGATTTTCAAAGCAACACGCACATGTCGGTTTCGATTTTCTCAAAGGGTGTCAACAAGGAGAAGCTCCAAGTCCAGTTCCTCGAGTCCTCGGTTCGTCTGGATCCTCTTGTCTACCCAAACGGCGACGAGAGGGAGTTTGCACTTGATCTGTGGGAAGAGATTATTCCTTCCAAATCTCATTATACAGTTACACCTAACAAGGTTGAGCTGAGCTTGGCCAAGAAAACGCCTGGCAAATGGGCAACCCTCAAAGCTGATGGATCAGCCAAGCGAGCACCAGTCTCCAGTCCTCAGGTCGCGGAAGCAAAGTAAGTTGATACGGCATAAACATCTGACCTTGGAATCTCATCGACTAACAAGTTGTCACTCCAGGGTCGAGAAAGCTCCAGCTGTAGTTCCGGCTGCGGCCCCAGCACCAGCCCCAGCACCGGCGTATCCCACTTCTTCACGCGGTGGTCCAAAAAATTGGGACCAGTTCGGGGCTGAGGAAAACTCAGATGACGAAAAGGATGTGAACCTCTTCTTCAAGAAACTTTACAAGGGCGCCACCCCTGAGCAGCAGCGGGCCATGATGAAGAGCTTCACGGAGAGCAATGGAACCTCCCTGAGCACGAATTGGGACGACGTCAAAGATAAGAAAGTCGAGACTGTGCCTCCTGATGGCGTCGAGGCAAAGAAGTGGTAGTGGTCAGCTTCGCCGACTGAGGCGTGCTGAATGGGATCGGACAGGCTCTGTTGTTGGAGGCTTGCGATGGGATGCAGTAACATTAGTTCTTTTTTTCTCCAATTGTCATGATGCATCAATGGTTACGTGCGCGGCGCACCAAACGGAAGGGAAAAGGGAATTTGCTTTTGGCTGGTATTTCGCTGCCACTTCTAGGTTGCTTAGCCTGAATTGTTATGAGATGTTGTGTACGTCTGAGGTTATCATAGGTAGTCTCTGTACCCCTTTCTACTTTTTTTTTCATCATGTTTCTTTTTTTTTTTCCTCCGTGTGCTTATCTGGTAAGACAAGATTCATGGTGTCTCATCTCATATGTACAGCCGCCATCGTCATCGTCATGATAACAGTTTAGTCTTGCAACGTCGGATCAATCTCCCTGATCCTCCTCACGACATCCTCATGCCACGCCGTCTCCCTCAAATCCTTCTGCGCCAGCGCCGGCGCCCACGGCCTCTGGCCACGATACTTTTCCGCCATGCCCTTGGGAATATGAGCCGCCCTGGACAGAAAATCCTCGGCGGAGATGTAGGCGCCCCTGAGCCATCTCGCGCCGCCGCCCGCTGCGTCGAAGGCGTTGCGGCCGTGCAGCACGCGCAGGTTGTCGAAGAGCACGCACTCGCCGGGTTCCATCTTTTGCTCGTGGATGGCGGCCGGGTCGTTGATGAGGGAGGAGAAGATGGCGGCGGGCTCGAGCCAGCGGCGGATGTCCTTGACGGGGGAGAGGTAGCGGCCCTGGAAGGGGGGAGACCAGAAGACGTTGGTGAAGCCAGAATCATTACCATCAATAACACGGCGAGAGCTGAAGTAGTGGAAGCCGTTTTTGCCGTACTGGTAGGGGACGTGGTGCTCGGCCAGGGGTGCCATGCGGTGTCTCGCGAGGAACGGATAGAGGAGGCGGCCGACGCGCTCGCCGTCGCTGAAGAGGGATTCGCCGCCGGCGCAGGAGTTGTCCATGCAGTGCAGGGCTTGGATCATGGGCGGGGGGTCGAGGTACAGCAGGTCCTGGTGCAGGCCGAGGAAGCCGCTGGTGTAGGCGACGTTTTCGGCGTTTGGCTTTGCGCGGACGTCAAACGTGCGGCCGTAAAAGGTCTCGCGGATGTTTGCGATGCGGGTGGTGATTCTCACGATAGAGTCTTGGTCGCGGGGCACGTTGTTGAGGTAGACGAGGCCGAAGCGGCAGATGTCGATGATGACGTCCCAGAAGGCCTCGCTGTCGTCCTTCATGAACTCTGCGTAGTCGATGCGCCGGACTTGCTGGGCGATGGACTCGCGGTCCCAGTAGACGACTCCCGTTCGACGAAGGACGGATCGCGGACGAGGCAGAGTGACGTCTTCCGTGCTCTTCTTCTTGAGCGAGATATCGACGGATTCCCACGGCAGAAGCATGACGTGAGGCTTGCTTTCATCTTGAGTGAACCGCGGGATGTCGCGCAAAAAGGTGATTTCCAGCCCCTTTTTCGTAGGCTTGACGTATTGCAGGCCGATATCCACGGGGATCTCGACGGAGGAATACGTCTTTTGACCGGATGAAGTGTCTCTGCACCTCGGACAAGCGCAACTATCCCTCAGCGTCGCCGGCTTCAGCGCCCGTCGTCCATTCTCCACGGTAGGGTCCTCCACGAAGAGAAACCTGTCCGTGTAAGCAACCTTGACGGGCCCCCTCTTGGTCGTCTCATCGGTGAAAGTGAAGCGCTTGGCGTCCCTCGGAATCTCCAGCTTCGGCCAGTACCGCGCCGCCGACGTCTGCTGCTGCTGCTGCCCAGCTTCCTTGGCCGAGATCCTCCTCTGCTGCGGCCTGTATTCCGCCACCGACTCTGAATCTGGTTTCTGTCGTTTTTGTCTCCTTGAGCTGTATATCGCTGCTGTGAGGGAGTGAGCGCTGCGACAAGCCACGGTTTTAGCTTGAGCTTGAGCTTTCGCCGATGCCGTAGCTGTGGCCCGACAAGTGCGAGCCAGGGATAACATGGCTATAACAAACAAAATAAAACACTCGTGATAATGAAGGATCGAAAAACCACTTATGCCCTTTGAACGTGAACTCCTGACTCAATCAAGACGAAAGAATGCACTTGAGATTATAGCAATTGTCAAGTCGCATGTTTTGGCTGCGCTAATAAGAGCGGGTGAGGTGAATGGACCGAGGCACAATCCGCCTGGCCGGGAATGAGCCAAGCTGTTGCTGAAAGAGCTTGAGCTTGAGCTTCTGCGAGAAAGTAACGGAGAAAATGACGGAATAATTATACAAATTGAATCAAAACCCTATTCAATTCATGATTGGTGTTCTATTACCTTCTTTTTTTTCTCTTTCCCACTTTTCTCTTTTTCTATATTGACAGTTGTTTCCACATATCATGCCCGTTCTTCATCATCTCGTCTTTGTTAACCTCTTCGGCCCAAGGGAAGCCCAGTGGCCCTCCATCTCTTTACACTCCGTGACGTGGGAATCACATGCAAAGTACATTGGATGGAATATTGTATGTTTTGATTTTTCAAATATTCAGCTATTCAGAAATGCTACCAATCAATTTAGGTTTCTCTTCGACATTGCGCCAACTCTTTGTTTAAAAAAGCATCTGTGAACTTGATCCAGATTCGTTCCATCGTTTCTCGTATACATTACACACGTGTTCGCCGACGTGTATCCCATAGCATTTGCAAATGCAACACCTTCCCCAAGCATCGCCGTAATCTTACACACAAAGACACTGGTAAGGGAAATAAAAAAAGTAGAAATTTGAAATAGACGTCAACAGTCCATTCATCGGTTTCGATTGCTCGACCATCTCTTTACCATGACCTCTCTGACCTTGTACAGCTTCATTGCCTCCGTGATGCCATCCTTGAGCGCTTCTTCAAACTTGTGAGGAGGCGGCACATCCACGTAGATCAGCACCAAACTCTTGGTGACGTGGGACAGGACTCGTACAACGCTATGCAGCCATGACCACGGTTTCCGAGGACCTTGTTTGCCCTCTTTTTTCCACCAAGCATCCGAATACGAGGGGATCACAATCAGTCCAAACTCGGCGTGGTCAAACACCGGTCCCCTGGCGTACAGCAGCCAGTCGACTCCGAACTTGATGCCCGCCCGAGGCACCCACCCCAAAGATCGGAAGTGATGGTACACGGCGTAATGGACGAGGAATCCGTCATCGGGCTCGAGGTCAGGCTCGTCTGGGCCGTTTCGGGGAGGGAAGTAAGAGTATTGCCGGAACAGGTTAAAGAGGTCTTGACGCGACAGCACTCTGCCAGACGCAGGGTCCGTGATTTCCAGAACCCCAAGGCCAAAGGAGAGGAAGAATGCTTCCTCCGGCATCAGTTGCAGGTGTTCCTTGTTGATGATGGGATCTGACACGGGGACGCTTGCTGATGGCAGTTGGGACAGGGGTTGGCTAATCGACTTGTCATTGCCGTTGGCTTGGGATGGCTGGGAGTACGACACGGGCGGGGAGCGATTAGGGCTTGGGGGGTCTGTGGCTTTGTACGTTGCCGATTCCACCGTGGGGGAAAATCGCACGCTCTTTCTGCGCTGCAACGTCTTGTTTCCCGTGCCATCACTCGATGAGATTACAGATCGGTCGTCCCTAAACAGCTCTGGGGTCTCGGTGGTGATGGGAGTTCGGGGCTCCTCGGAATCATCAGTAGACGAACCGTGATGAGAGGAAGGCAGAGTCAATGATCCGTTTGCCTTGGAAATGGGGGCCACGTCGGCATCCGTCTTTACTTGTGTAAACTTGACAACGTCGGCTGCCGAGTTTGGCAGTGCCAAAATCTGCAGGGGACCGACAGGCGCAAGAAACGGTAAAGGAGCCAGAACGGGCTCCTGTCGTGATACGATGACTACCGCTGAGTTTGGGAGTGCGAGGAGCTCCAATGGGCCAACGGGTGCAAGGGGAAGCTTGGGAAAGTCTGAGACGGCAGCCTCCTGGGCCTCCTGGGTCTCCTGGGCTTCTTGAGCTTCTTGAGCTTCTTGCGCGTCCTCTACCGCTTGTTTTGCCAGACGGCGAGCCTCAGCCAGTCGCTCCTCTTCAAGCTTCGTCTTCAAGATGACTTCCTGTTCAAGTCGCGCACGCTCCCACTTGGCTTGTGCTCGCTCGTCTCGCCTCTGCTGCGTGAAAATCTCGCTGACGTGAACTTCCTGGAGTCCTCGCTGAACCTGCTCTCTCTTGAGCCAGTTGGGCTCACTTCGACTGAGGTTGCCCTTGCCATAGAAGCCTTGCTCCCACAAGGCCCTCATGGACTTTTCATCTTTGATGTGTACAGAGATTGTCGTCTCAGACCAGACGCCATGGTGGACAACGGCAGGCTCTACGGGCGGCGGCCGGAAAACCTGACCCAACCATGCGTAGGCAACATGGAACACCGAAATAGGGTTGTTGGGGTAGAAGGCTGGGAGGGGAAAGGTTCGGATGGGTGCAGGCAGCGCGTATATCTGGTGGATAGATGGACCTCGCGGTTGCTGTTGGGCAGCTTGCGGTTTGGCCTGGGCCTTGCCGTTGGCCTGGGTTTGGGGTTGGGCTTGGGGTGCAGGCAGAGCCTTGCCTATGGAAGGGGGCTCAGTATGAACTTGCATCTCAGCCATCTCGGACTGGGCTCATTTTGGCCTGGACCTGGAGAAGCTTTAGTCAGTGTCTAGAGCTCCAAAATATGCATAGCGCGACAACATGATGAGAAAAAAAAATATCTCCCAAAGCTGTATCAGATACCGTTGTAGTCTATAATCAAATGGCAATCACAGAGGTCTCCAAATGAATGGTCGCTCTTTGCACAAATGGTGATCATCATAACAGCAAGGGAGAGGGAAAATAGAAGGAAAACTCTGCTGTGTAACCCGAGGATGAGGACGATGAGCATCGGCTCTCCTTCGCCCGGGCAGAGCCAGAAGCAGCAGCTTGAGCAAGAGTATGCTTGAGCTAGAGTAAGGCTCCCACGTTGAAACAATTGGCGAAGCGCCTTGATGCGCATCAAGATAGAAAGAGAAAAAAAAAGTATTTCTCGACTCACCTGTCTCAGGGCATGGCCCGGCAAATCACGACGCTTCTCTTGCTGAATGAGTCCAACAGGATCTCATCCACTGGCCGTTCCAGAAAGGTAATGGGACGCTCTACCAGCCTGGGAACTGCGAAAAGAAAAGAGTGTCGAGGCGCAAGAGGGAAGCTCTTTTTGTTTTGCTTTTTTCCCCCTCTGCTTGTGCGTTTTTAAAGTAGAAGCAGAGAGAGGGAAATTTTTCTGGCTGGCAGGGGGATTTTCGGCGGTTGGTCGGAGAAAATCGCAAACTGGATCCGAAGCGGATGCCTGGGGCGCCAGGCGTCAAGAATGCGTGACCTGAGTGGCTGGATGCAGCGGCGGGCAGACACTTGCAGCGGCCCAGGGCGGGTTTCCAGGGCACTTCAGGCACCGCAAAAGCCCTGCAGGATGCCCTAAAGGTCCTCGACTATGTCATCCATCAGCATTGAATTGAAATGGCCACATGAGCTGGTGTCATCCACATGGAACCTCCACTGAGAGATTTTGATTTTTGACCCGGTGCGCTCGTTGATTTCTATTTTAGGCCTCAATCAGTTCCATCAAACTGTTTAGAGCAGTTTCAAGTGCTGCTGTGACGCCCCGGGCCTTCCGATAGGTGATGATGGATTGATGCAAATTACTTGGTGCTAGCATCTAGAAATCACACCACTGACTGCTGTGTCCCTAGAAGTTGAGGGAACTTGGATGTACTTGTGGCTGTGTGTGTGCATGTTGGAAGCAAGGTACAGCAGTAACTGGATGAGGTACAGATACGCATGTGATCCTTTCTCTTGCCAGATTCAGCATCAAGTTTTCTCCTTTGGAGTCTGATGTATTTCCCCAAATCAGTAGACACAAATCGTCGTATCACCTCTATACTAAAAACCACCAAAATCAGTCCGGCATATTCTTTCACCCCCTAACCCACATGCGCCTTACGTATGGACACATCAGTATAAGCGACCCGTCCAGGGCTTGTCCAAGCGTCTCAAGCTTACCCAACATCGCCAAGTCTGGGCCATCCATCCATGCTTCTTTTTTTCTACCATCGCCAACACGAACCCTTTCCTCCATATTATACCTAACGCAGTTATCCCACCCAGGCTTCTTCCTTGCCTGGACCTCTTTAATCTTAATCTGATTCCAAGTCCCGGGCGAGCCGTCCGTCGTGACTGTTGCTTGCTGTTCCTCTCCCCCTCACCTATTAATCAATACCTTTGCCGTCTGTCTACCCACCACCTGTCCTATAATATGTCCTGCCTCTCCCGCCGCTCTCGCAGGTGATTGATTGTTCTACGCTCGAAGTGAAGGAGTAAAACGGTTATGCCTCGATCCTAGCTGGAAATGACTAGCTTTGTTGAGGCTGTAGCCACCGTCTGCCTCGTCTGGGCCGTGGTTGTCGTCTTTGTCCAGATTGTCGGCATCACCTCCATGTAAGTAAGCCCCCTTCAATCCCGACTTTCACCTCTCGACAACACTTTCGCCTAGGCTAATAACTTTGTGTCTCTTGCTGCCAGCTTCGTCAAATTCAACGAACGAAACCCCCCGCCGATATCCTCCACCCTCGAAGATGCCCCCGCCGTCACAATCATCCGCCCCGTCAAGGGCCTCGAGCCCTGCCTCTACGAATGCATCGCCTCGACCTTTCGCCAGGACTACCGCCGCCAAAAGCTCTCCGTCCGCCTGTGCATAGAAAGCACCGCCGACCCGGCCTATCCCGTCCTGCAGCAGCTGCTCAAGGACTTCCCCGCCTACGATGCGCAGATCCTCGTCGAGGCCGAGGACCCGGTCCTGCACGGCGCCCAAGGTCGCGTCAACATGCTGGGCCCGAATCCAAAGATACGAAACATTAGCAGGGCATATCGCGAGGCGCCGGGGGAGATTATCTGGATCATTGACTGCAACGTCTGGGTCGCGAGCGGCGTCTTGGGGCGCATGGTAGATACGTTGGTTGGCTATGTCCCGGCCGATATGCCCGCGCGAAAGCCGTATAAATTCGTCCACCAGCTGCCCCTGGTTGTCGATATCGTCGATTATCAAAAGGATGCCTCTGCCGAGAGTCAGGCCTTCCTCGGATCAGCCGCCGACACCTCTAAGCGGAGTAACGAGTCCCTATGGAACCGGCTATGGAACAACGGCGGCGGCCGTCTAGACGAAATGTTCATGGGCACCTCTCACGTCAAGTTCTACGGCGCCATCAACGTCGTCGGAGTCGCCCCTTGCATCGTGGGCAAAAGCAACATGTTCCGCAAGGCTCACTTAGACCAGGTCACCGATCCCGCCCGGAATCCCATCCTCCCAGCAAACGAAGGGCGCCCCCGCGGCGTCGACTACTTCTCCCACAACATCTGCGAGGACCATCTTATCGGGGATCTTCTCTGGCGCTCCAACATCCCCGGCTTCTTGAATCACGGCATCGCTTGGGGTGATTTGGTGCTGCAGCCAATGGCAGGCATGTCTGTGTCCGCCTACGCTGCCCGAAGAGTTCGCTGGTTGCGCGCCAGGAAATTCACCGTGTTGGCGGCTACTTTGGTCGAACCTGGTGTTGAATCATTCCTGTGCTGCGCGTACTTTGCCTTTGGTCTTACTACGCTGCCCTGGTTCCACGAGGCCCTTGATATTCCCCAGACTTGGGCAGCCTTTGGGTGGATCTGGCTCATGGCCATCTTGGCCTGGATGACAGTGGACTGGCACACGTTCAAACACCTCCACACAGGCCGCACCATCGAATCCGACCAGAACACGCCCAAATTCGCGTTTGGATCGGCCAGTCCTCTGGGTCTGCCAAGACGGCGATTCATAGAATGGCTGCCGGCCTGGATCGGGAGAGAAGCCCTCGCCCTGCCCGTCTGGACGCGGGCCGTCTTGCTCGGCACGACGGTGAGCTGGCGCGGAAAAGTGTTCCAGGTCCGCCTGGACACGACTGTCGAAGAGCTGTCGAGTAGGACCCCGTCGAGACTGACGAGGACGCCGGAACTAGAGAGAGCTAGACAGAGTAGTAGAGATAGACTATACTGATGACGAAAGACGGGCGTTCTTTGTTTGGAATGGCATGAGATGGAATGGAATGAATGATTATCAATGATGTTATTAGACGGAGATTGTAAGAGTATTGATTGGGGACGTTTAGTGTAATAAAAGAGCTGAATGCTTATTTCTTGAGGTTTTTGTACGAGTAAAAGCCATATATGTGATTTTAAGAAAATAGTAACCTTTTGAAAATATCAAGTGTACATGAAAGAACAGAGAAGAGTACATGAAGAAACAAATGAAGCCGTCAAGTCGTGTTTCATAGAACCCATCGTAACCAAATCCCTCGATCCAGAGAAACAATCCAACCATCTACATGCCATCACATTTCCTTTTCAACTCTTTTCCGCGCCTCCAAACACACTCGCCGGCACCAACCTCGACCTCTTAGCAATAACCTCCGACAACTGCATAATCGACAACGAGCTCATCAATTCTAGCATCTGCACATGCCCTCCCAAATGCCCCGTGATCCAATTCCTCAGCTCCACCGCGACGAGCGAATCCACGCCGTACGTCGACACCGCGCGGTCCGGCTGGATCTCCGTCGTGGCAACGGCCAGCAGGCGAGCGAGTTTCTGCTTCAAGCCCGTAAACACGGCTTCTACGGCTGCGTCGCCGCTGGACGAGCCTCGCAGAGCGGCCTGCACGTCAAAGGCGTCGTCTTCGCCGCCCTTGGAGGCGCGAGGCGTCGTGCGAGACCAGATGTGCGAGAAGCGAGCATCTGGACGCTGCGCGGCCGGGGAAGAAGGGTCGGGAGCGAATTGGCTTGCGCCGCAAATGATTTGTCCCTTTGCGACGGGATTCTGTATGGCGTAGTTGATCACTGCGAGGACTTCTTCCATAGTCTGTGGCCGGACGTCGGAAGGAGGCAGCGTGTCTTCGTCACCGTTTGCAGGGTTGTCTTTCTGCATTGTGCCAATGTTTATGGCTCTGACGGGTAATCCAAGACGGGCTTGAGACTGGGCGAAGCTATCCCGGAACGCACCAATTGCATCCGTGACGCTCTGTTCAGGGCCACCTACAACAGAGGAAGTGCGATTCAGCAGAATGAAGAAGTCGAGGTTTGAACCAAAGGCTTCTTGGAGGCTGATGATGCCTTTTGTTGTGGGTTCAACAGTGGTGGACCACTGAGAGTATGTCACGGATGTAATATCCGTATCCTAAGGACCATATTGTCAGCTGATGCGCTCTAGAGAACAAACACAGAGGTGAAAGGGGGCTCTTACAAATGTCTCGGAATCCCCAAGAATGATTCCTCTAATGGGCGCGCCCACGCTTGCGTCTCTAAGTTGATCTACAAGGGGCCGTGTGGAAGTATTACCGGGGATAAAGGCAACTTCGGTCCCGAGTCTCTTCACGTCATCACATACTACCTCAACGCCAGACCCTTGACACGCAATGAGACGATGAGCTCCCAGTTTTGCCAAGTACTTGGCAATTGCTGCGTCCAAGTTCCCAACACTGCCAACAACAAGGTAAGAGCTGTTATTTTGCAGAGCCGCAGGTTTGGGCTTTGGCGGTTGAAACTTGAAGCAGGTTAGTGACGAGATTATGCAAAGAAATGTTGTAAATGAACACAACTTACCTTTAAAGGCAGACTAGAGTCCAGCTGGAACACAGTCTTGCCTACGTGACCACCCGCCTGCATAAGTCGAAGCTGCTCTGCGACGTTGGAAGCATGATACGTGGCGATTGGGCCGAGCAAGGGCAGAGTCCTCTTCTGGAGCATACTGAAGCAAGTTTCCAGCACCTCCTTGAACACTCGCGGCCTTTCTCGCGCGAGGAATCCCATGTTGACGACAGAGAGAGAGGCATTTCTCTGGAGATGTTTCATATCAACCCGTCCACCATTTGCCACATCCCTCTCGCACAACTGAATGATTCGGCCAAAGGAAGCTATGGCACTACAGCTTTCGGAAAATGCGTCTCCAGAAAGAGAACCCACGACAACATCGACACCTCGGCCATTGGTCAAGTCGAGAAGACGATGACCGAGGTCCAGATCTCGGCTGGATAATATACGCTCAGCTGGGATACCAAACGTCTTGCTAACGAGTTCTGCTCTTTCTGAGCTTCCAGCAGTAACATATATCTCTTCAACACCAAAAGCCCTCGCAAGCGCAATTGCCGCCTGGCCGACCGCTCCAGCTCCAGAGTGAATCAGGATACTCTCACCTCCTTGGATTCTGGCAATGTCTCGGAGAGCATAAAGAGCAGTTGAGTAAGCCAATGGAACGGCAGCAGCAATCTCACCACTGACATCTTCAGGAACCTTGACTGTGTGACGAACATCCACATTGCTGACAGTGGCAAGCCCATCAGGGGAAAAGAAGCTGACTCGATCTCCGACGGAGAAGCTTGACTGAGAAGCATCTCCAACTTCGAGAATCACGCCACTGCCCTCCAGGAGGAGAGCAGAATTGCCTTCCAGTTGGCCAGTAGTGGTCAGCATGTCCTTGAAGTTAAGTGCAAAGGTCTCCACGCGAACTTTGACTTGTGTTGGCTTGGGAGGTAGAGAATGGACTTGATCATCAGCCCAGTACAAGGAATCGAATACTCCAACAGAGTTGATCCGGAGACTCAAAGGTCGGTCGAAATCAGTGTAAACTTCATCGCGTGGGTGGTGCTTTGATGTAGCATCTTGAACCTGGAGGTTGACCTCTTTATTCTCCAGCAGACGTGGTATCACAATGTTTCCGTTGGACAGAGCAAGCTCCCATTCTGACGCTGAGTAAGGAGAAGCACTTGGACCGAGGTACTTTTCATATACCTGCAGGATCCCAGAAACCTCCGCCGACTCTGCGTCAATGTCTAGAGTGAAAAGGCTGAGATCAGGCCGTGATGCACGTAGGCTACGCGCCAGACCTGTGATGAGTGCACCAGAAGTTTCTGAGCCAGCCAAAGAAGCTCCCTTGGTTACCCAAAGCACGGCTTTGGCATCACTCAAGAGGTTCTTTGTGTTTTCCCAATCCTTCTCAGATGCTCCCACCAAGAAGTCCTCAGCAACGTCTGGTAGGAAGATGTAGGTCCCAGGAGCGGCTGTCGCTTTAGCAAGCGGAACGATGGACACTACGGTTCCCGGATATCGCGCCACCAGTCCACTGCGTAGCTCACCCGCCAAGTCGTCACTCTGCTGTCCTGTAAAGATGGAGATGTTTCCAACGCCCGCCTTCACTCCGGTATTGGCAGCGTGAGAGATGAGTAGACTTGCTTCATGCTCTTCATCTGATTCAAAATCCCTCATTTCGACTGAAACACCAGAAAAGCCGCTCTTTACGAGGACCTTTTCCCATTCTGGTGTTGACAGAAGAGGAGAGCTTATGCGCCCTTCCTCTACACCTGCCCACCAGTTTGGAAGGCTCCCGCCGAGGAGACCCCATCGCAGGGATGGCGCTGTGAGCTCTATAAAGGCAATCTGACCATCGGGCTTGAGAAGGCTATTGAGGTTGTTAAGCGTATGCTCAATGCCACGTGCCGTATGTATAGCATTTGATGTGACGATGATGTCGAAAGAATTGAGCTCAAACCCCTGTTGCGCCGGGGACCGTTCAATATCAAGACACTTGAACTCCATGACATCTTCAAACATCTTCATCGCCTCTTGAGCCTTGGAAGTGTTAAGATCGGAAACATCGGTGAAAACGTATGTGCCGCGGGTAGTAGCATAGTCACGCTTATCCCCATAGAGGGCCTCGAGAAGTACAGATGTCAAGACGCCATCTCCCCCACCAACTTCTAGAATACGCAGATTCGGCACTTTGTATTGAAGCAACTTGAGATATTCGGCGAGCTGTGTGTGGCATCTACTGAAGCAATCATCGTCCAAGTAAAGGCGACGCAATAGCTCAGTATCTGGCAAGACAGACATTATGTCTTGGTTCCCTCGTAAAATGTCCGCTAAATGGGGGCCAAGTTGATTCAACACCTGGCCTGCCGCACTCAGCGCTTGGTCATTGGAATTGGTCAACGGGGCGCTTGAAATATCCTGCTCTTGCATCCAGCCGTAGAAACGTCGCAGATGGTGAGTAATTGATGGCTCATCTTCGCTTGAGATTTGAGCAAGAGTATCTCGGATGATGCCAAGAGAAACTGGATCACAATTTTTCCGCAGTTGCTGATTCCTATAAACCAAATTTCTTTGGCAATACTTGGCCACAGCGTCTCTTGAAGAAGAAAACGGGTCCATGAGCCATTCGACCTTGTGACATAGGGGATCATCAACCTGGCTGGCGTCTTGCTGATAGCTACCCAGGGACGAGAATTTGATCCCTCCAACACGAAGTATGACACGGTCTGCATTATCAAAATCTGTGGCGAATATGTCGGAGGAGTGCTGTCTCAGCCCATAGGGGTTGGTCCTAGCCGCAATGGAGATTTTGCGTCCGGGTATGAGATCTATGTCTGTGGAGATGCAAAGCTCATCAATAGCGGCGACGACCTGAGGACCGTCCAAGCTATTCGCGAATTTCACGCCAGGCAGACATGCCAAGAAGCAGCCTTCAAGTGTCGTAGGATGTATGTGATGTGGTTCTTGGTGGGCCGAGGGCATTGTGGCTTTCACATCCGGAACAGTCAGCTCACAGCTGGACTCCCAGGCACGGGCTGAAACGTTATCAAGGTTTGCAAAGCACCCGGAGTAGTCATTTCCTGAAGAGCCAAGAAGCTTGTAAAGCTCCCTTGACTCTAGTTGTGTCCACTCGTCAGAATCATCACCCGCCCGAGGCAGGGCGGCTGTAGAAGATGAGCTGGTTCTCAGTCTTCCCATATTCTCTGATAGAGCAATCAGCCCTCGACAGTGCTCCGTAGATTCATTGTTCTGAGACACACTGTAGATTCGAAATTCTTGCCACTTCAAGCTCGAGTCACGAGATGTCACGGAATAAGGGCGCAGAAGGGTAAAGACTTCGGCTCCAAATGCATCGTCCTGGATAAGAAGAGGTCGATCAATGACAACTTGCTTGAATTCTATTACTCTGTTCTTCCATGGGCGTTGCAACGTATTCGCCTGGCGCTTCAAGGCCTCCACAATCATGGTGAGGAAACCAGCTGCGGAGAACACAATCTGGCCATCAATGCAATGGCCTTTGACCCATGGCATTTCGGAGAGCCTGATGAACATTCTCCAAGACGGCTCAGCGCTGATACTATCAGCAGCAGCAGATCCCAGAAGATCATGGCGGGGAAACTTTCGCATACGGTACGCCTGACTTCTTCGGGATTCGTTCCAATGCGCCTTGCCATGATTCCAGCTATATGACGGCAAGTTGGTCAGAACCTTTGTGTGGACACCCAAGGGGTTGTTGGCGCCTGTAAGTGCAATGGGAAGGCCGTGGGTGAATAGGGAACTAGCAAAGGACAGTGCACTCTGAACTGCGTCTTGGTTTCTCTTCAAACAGGAGAAGTAGTTTGAAGGCAATCCCGGAATGGTCTTTGCTATTTGAGTAGCAGGCCCCTGAAGAGCTGAGTGAGGGCCGAGCTCGACCATGACAGTGGGTGGCAACGTAGATGAGGAACTACCCTTTACAGGTAGACTGAGAACCTTGGACAAGGCTGGCGAGAAGCGAACAGGGCGGAGCAGATTAGAAACCCAGTATGCACCGTCCATCTCCCGGCCGTCAACTTCATCACAAGTGACTGAAGAAATCATTCGCACACCAGGTTTGAACTGGCAAGGTTGAAGTTTTTCCAGCGCTGCCAGGTAGAATTCTCCAATAGCAGCCATGTGAGATGAATGGTAAGCTACTGGAACAGCGAGTTTCCGGTTGAAGACACCGTCTTCTTCCAATTTGGAGGCAATCTCATCAATGGCCGCAACGTCACCGGACAGCGTCACACTGGTAGGACTGTTGATGCATGCCACATTCACAGTCTGCTCGCTGTACTTTGATAGATACTTTTGCGCATCAGTCTCTGACAGACCTGCAGCAAGCATCCCACCCTGCCTTGTGCCCTTCTTCAGCTTGAGATAGTATACCGACTTGCCCCTGTGGTAGGCCACCTTGAGAGCGTCCGATGCGGTTAAGCTTCCAGCAGCATATGCTGCCGCGATTTCTCCACTCGAATGGCCGCAGACCAGATCGGGATGGACGCCCCATGAGGCAAGAAGATCCACCAATGCGACCTGGATCGCCGTACAGCAGGGCTGCGCCAACTCTGCGTCATTGATGCGAGAGTTCTCCTTGGTCTTCTTCAATTCATCGACCAAGCGCCAAGTTGCGCCCATCCGGATGAGCTCTCTTTCGGATTTCAGCATAGACTCAGCATAGACTGGGTACGAGAGAAGCTCCAAGCCCATTCGCGCCCATTGCGCTCCCTGGCCTATTGAGGAAGGAATGAAATTGTCAGCAGGGGTTGATCGATGCCACTCATGGTTGGATTTAGCACAGTCTCTCAGCGACTTACCGGTGAAGATGAAACACGTTCGCGCATCCGTCAGTGCTTTGACAGGGCGGATTGATCCCAGTTCAATCTCTCTGAGCCCTTCTAGGAGTTGGTCAATGTTGGAAGCAACAACGGCAACCCTCTGTGAAAGTCGGGATCTCCGAGATGACAGCGTAAAAGCCAAGTCATCCAGAGACAACTGTTGACGGTTTGCCTTGCTCGCCATGATGAATCTCTTCCACGTACTGGCCAGCTTGGCAAAGCCGTCTTCCCGCTGGTGGCTCCATACAAAGACTTTGGAGCCTTTGTTTGGAGATTCGGTAGCAATTGCGCCACGCGTTACCCTTGTCTCAACTATTGGTGTTGGTTCTGCTGTCTTGGCGGGTTCTGTCCAAGCTTCGAGAATGACATGGGTATTCGTACCCCCATAGCCGGATCCATTTATGGATGCGCGGCGGAGCTGCCCTTCTGGCCACTCTTGGAATTTGGATGCAACCTAGAGAGGAGAGACTATCGGTCAGTCGATGTTGTCATTTTTCCTTCACTTGCACAGGGAAAGCTTTTTTCAAAATGTCTTTGCGCTCACCTCTAGCCCCCGTGATTCCAATTTCAAATTGGGGTTTGCATGTTCAAAGGTAGGAGTCGGAACAATGCCTCCCTTCTCAAGCATCAAAAGTACTTTGACTAAACCCGCCAACCCTGACACGCATTCGGTGTGGCCCAAGTTAGACTTGACGCTACCGATAATAAGCTTGTCAGACCTGTCCGAGCAAAATGCATTATTAAAAGCAGTTGCCTCGCAGTTGTCTCCCGCATTGGTACCAGTTCCTAGAGGTTTCCTATGTGAGCGAAGCTGGACGAAAGGCCTTCATCAGGAGGTATGTTACCATGTGCTTCCACGTAAACCGTCTCCCTGGGATCAAGCCCAGCCGTCTTGTAAGCACGTTGAATTGTTGCGTACTGGCTGACTGGCGATGGCATTGTAATGCCCGGGGTTTTGCCATCGGACACGACTGCGCTACCGCGGATGACGGATCGAATTCTATCGCCATCCCGAAGAGCTGCGCTAAGGGGCTTGAGGAGAATGGCAACTACACCTTCACCTCGGGCATACCCGCTCGCGCGAGAGTCGAAGGAATAACACCGGCCGTCAGGGGAGAGGAACCTTGAAATTGTTTAGCAAAGGGTATTCGACAAGGGGGACACCTAAATCTTACTGCATGGACGAAATGATGGACATCTTGTCGGGGTCCAGAATTAGATTAGAGCCCCCCACCAGAACTTGGTCAGCATCACCAGCTCGAAGAGCGTGGATGGCATCGTGTACGGCCACGAGGGCGCTAGAGCAGGCCGTGTCGACGGATTTGCTGGGTCCGTGCAAGTCAAAGGCATAGGACACGCGGGCGGATGTGAGAGACGGGCCGGTCCCTGTGAAGCGGTACCTGCAACACGGCGGTGAGCATTCGTAGAGAGATGATACACCAGGTTTCGCCTCCTCCTCCCCGTCTTCTTTTTTGTGGTAGAGTTGAGCGAGACTTACATTGGTGACGTCTCGGGATCGCGACCGAGGATCTGATCGTAATCCGTGTATGACACGGCGCAGAAAACGCCCGTGTTTGAGCCTTCGAGCTTATTCAGGGGAATGCCGGCATTCTCAAAAGTTTCGTAGGCCACCTCGAGCATGAGTCTCTGCTGAGGATCAATGGCTTTGGCTTCAACTCCACTGATGCCGAAGAAGTCATTGTCAAAGACAGCTGGGTCCTGGTGAAGCAGATGAACGCCCCGAGCGTTTGTCTATGAAAAGAGCGAGTTAGTCTTTAATCCCTTGATAACAAAAAAAAAAAAGCAACACTGTAGAGAGGCGTGAGAGAAGGAGAAGGGGGCAAGAAGAGGATTCCCTCTCCATCTCTTGTATTCTCTCGACTTGTTCGACTCTGCAATCCGCAACGTACCGAGCCGGGGAGATGGGCCTGGGGGTGCCAGAATGACTCCATCTTGAATCGGTTTCTGGCATTGCTAGCCCAGCTAGTCCTCCCGCTTGACAACATCTGCCAGAGACCATCCTCATTGGAAGCAGTGCCCGAGAACCGGCAGGCAGATCCAATGATGGCAATGGGCTCGGCCCCGTTGGCATCCAGCCAACGAGAGTCAATGCCGTCAGTCGAAGCCATGGTCTGTAGGGGTTCGACTGGAGAACAGAAAAGACTCTACTCTGCTATGGAGAGAGCGAGAGAGAGGGTTGACAACCCAGGTTCGAGGCTAGGGATATATGCGATTGCCGAAGCGTAGTGTCAAACGAGCGGGAATAAATAAGCTGACTTCATATGGAATAATCTCCTTGGCCGCCCCAGTTTTGATTGCATTGCAGGGAAGAGGATACGGGGGAGGAGAGGGTAGAAAAAGGGAACGAAAAGACGGATGGCATGAAATGCCAGGCCTAGCTCGCTCAATGTCGCCGCCATGTGACAGCATGCAGGTTGGAGAGGAAAAGGGATCGGCCTGGTCAGAGTGGCCGTAAAAGTGGCCGGCTAGAAATCTGGAGACGCGCTTGACACGATCCGCCGATGCGTGGCCCATGAGCGCCGCGGATAATATAAAATTACCCCCGACCCGGCGATTCAAGATGGCATCTCGGGCACAGCAATCGGACCAGACTCTATTCGCACGACACTCTCTCGCGCACATCTCGCAACAATGGGCTCGATTGCCTTTTCGGAAAAGACGTTGGTTCGACCAAGCAAGGCGCCCGTGCCAGGCCGGATTTCAGTCACACCGCTTGATCAATACATGGTCAGGGTCATTCTCCCGATGATGGTCATTTTTAAGATTGATGAGCCTTCGCTTCGGCCCATAATTTTACAGAATCTGAAGAGGGCCCTCTCGCTGGCCATTGACGAACTGACCATTCTGGCTGCGGACATAATTCCGTTGGACCCAGCCAACGACACAATCCAGCTCGAGTACGGCCAGGACGCAGGAGTCTGGTTCCACGTCAAGGAGCTGCCAGACGTCGACTATGAGGACCTGGCGCAACGCAATTTTCCATTCTCCGCCCTGCCGGCGTCTCAGTTCGCCCCGAAGCCTCTGGGCCACTCGGCAACAAGTCCCGTCATGACGCTGCAGGCGACGTTGATCAAGGGCGGCCTGGTCCTTACCTTTGGCGGCCATCATGTGGTCATGGACGCCCAGGGCATGGGTACCTTTGTGGCTGTCTGGGCCAAGCATGTGGCCGCAGTCTCTGGCGGCCTGGTTGTCACCGAGAAGCAACGGCTGGACCACGATTCGTTGGAAGCATCTCAGCTCTTCGGCCCAAGGATGGAACGCCCGCTGTCCGAGTTCCCCACATACCAGACTGGCCCGGATCGATCATACGAGCATATGCAGGCCAAGATCCTGCAGAAGGCCGTTGCGGGTGACCACGACGGAATCGCCAAACTCGTTCGCGTGTCCCATTGGGCCATGACGCAGGAGAAGCTAGACGCCCTTCGAGACGCAACCGTGCCACGGACCAAGGAAGAGTCGTCTGTCACTGCCAATGCCACACTATCCGCGCTTATCTGGAAACAAGTCACCAGGGCTCGGCGGCTCACGGAGAAGCAGGTCGCCTCGAGCTCGCTTCTCACTTCGGTCAATGTGAGGAGGCGCGTGGATCCGCCACTGGCCCCCGAGTACCCTGGCAACGCCATTGCTCTGGCCAAGGCTAATGCAACGGCTGAAGAGCTAGAAGCGCCCGGGGTGGAATCCCTCTATGCAATCGCAAAGAAGGTTGCCGCTTCCATCGAATGGTGGACTCCAGACGAGCTCTGGTCCTTGACCGGCGCGCTGCAAACCTGTGGCAACGTTGCCAATAAGCTGCTGCCACCACTCAACTACGACGTGCTAGTCACGGCACCGGCTCGGCTGGGAGACATGCTCAAGGAGGCCAGCTGGGGTCCGGAGCTTGGGGACATCAAGGCTCTGAGGTGGGCATTCCCGGCCTTCATGGACGGCTTTGTCATTATTCTGCCCTCCATCCACGGAGGAATCGAAATTATGCTGTGGACCGCGCCGGACACGGCCGTGCGACTGAAGGAGGACGCGGATTGGACGAAATGGGTAACTCAGCTGGAGTAGTGGTTGGAGTTGAACAGCTGGCTCCGGCTCAACAGCTACTTCTTGACCCAACCACAGGATTGATGGATGGAGGCGATTTTGGAACTTTGTACGGGCATGACTAGCCCGACCCCCCTCTACCGCAGCAACAGATTGTGATATGATTAGTCGAATCAACCCAACACTTCCTTGATGACAATTGGCCCATTGGTCTCGCTCTCTGTTTGTGTCTCATTGATCGTACCAACAGCCGTCTGCAGCGCGGCACAAGTGTACTTGGCACGCCGGTCATTAGCACGCCGGCCATTAAATACTAGGTAATCCAAGGAGCTCTCTACACTGTAGGATATGGCGGCGGGCCGAGCCATGATTAGGGGCGGGACGGCTTGAGAATGAGGATCTTAACTTCCAAGTCCCCTTGTCAATGGAACTCTAGGTTTCTTGGCCAGGCAGTTAGTACGAGCCGTATGTAGCACCACAGCACACAACAGGCAGAGAGAGAGACCTTGGACGAGGCGCTCAAACGCCGCGTGTGTCCTTTACCCAGTTTCCCGGGCTAGCAATATCAAGGTGCAGGTGAAAAGCCGGGTTGCCAATGACGTGTGCAACTCCGGAGGGGGAGTGGAGGGGCCAACTCAGCGAACCCGACAATGTGGTTGAGACATTGACGGCTGATTGGACGGCAAAGATGGAAGAAGCAATTAATAACGGGGGAAACGGGCGGGGTTCCATAGCACCGGTATCCGCGGGAGACCCAACAGCAGACGGCCGAACGAACCAAGAACCGCCTGCGACCAGGGTGGCGGGATGAGTGCGTCGAGGGTCCAGGGGAGGGATCCAATCGAGAAGCGGTGAGAAATTAGCTGCGCCGTCCCAAGCAGCATCTCCAAATCCATGGGCGCCACGCGACAGATTTGCGGGAAGCGAAATCTGATGAGTCCGGGCCTGGAGGAGGATCTGAAACGAGAGACTCCCATATGCGAAACAAGCAGGCCTTGTCGAGTCCGACGCAACCAAGGCAACAGAGGCAGAGCACTGTAAGCCAGAGAACAAGGTAGAGCAAGGCAGAGCATGGCACAGCAAGGCACAGCAAGGCACAGCAAGGCAAAAGTGCGTTGACGATCCGAGCTCTGTACGAGGACGGAGTCGCCCACATGCACCCCATCCTGGCTGGCCCTTGGACATTGGACTCGTATGTGACTCTGCATGTGCATGTGCATTACATTACAGCAGCACGTCCATGGCTAACCAGCTCGACAGAGCGGCATTGACAGAGCCTCAGACGAAACCAAACAAGACCCTGGACCAACAACATAGGGAGTAGAGGCCGCAGAAAGGGCCCTCGAAGCCGAAGCCGATGAGGAGCGCGCAAACATCCCTAGCGGCACATGGAATGAATGTTGGCCACCAACCGAACTTTGCCGAGTTGTTTGTCCTCGTGCCCGCTCACCGATTGGACCGATAGGCGACTGCTGTTGCGAATGTGCTTTTGTTTTGGCCCCGTGAGGCAATTATGCTGGATGAGATACATGGTGATGTGACAATAGAAGGAAGCCGAAACAACAGACGATGCAGAGGAAAAGTCTCCGCTAGAGCCTGGCCCGTACAGCAGCTGGAGGCCTGAAAATGCCCATGGCTGGTCCTATGGCTGGTACCTGCAACGCGCTGCACGGGGCAACCGCAGCTGCATGTACCTGCTAATGCAGCTGCAGATGCAGGCCAGCCCGTCTCTGCGAACGCGGCAACCGAACTGAAACAAACACCTTCAACTGCCATCGAACCACCGCTGCCTTGCTTGCTCGAGCTGAGCATTAGCATCAGCATCGGCATCAGCATCAGCATCAGCATTAGCATCGTCATCCACCTGCCAATGCAACGATCCGGAATGCTCCGCGCTAGTCAAATGTTTGCTCACCGAAGCTAAAAGAGATTGGCCCAGACAGCCGGTATTCAGGGCTCGGCCAACTTGGCATCCCGGGCCTGGATAGAGACGGAATACGACGTGGATCGTCTGCTGCGAAACACCCGAGAATCGGCAATAAGGCGAGGCTGGGCAGCTCGGCCGAGATCACTCTGCTTCTGCCACGCACATGGTGGCCGTCTGAAACATGGTACCATTCCCTCCCTCTCGCAACGAGGGGAGGCATGATGCTTGCTTGCTTGCTTGCTTGAGGCCAGGCCAGGCCAGACCAAGTCAATGCAAACCGCAAACACTTCCCAGCATTACTCGTTTCGTCCAATCCTCGATTAACAACGCGAGTCAGCGCAATTTAGGATCTACGGAAACTTGTCCGCGGTCTCTCGCCAGGGTGCGGCATGTGTTGCGGCACCTCCTTGTCCTAGGTACTCCGTCCAATCTTTGGCCAGTCGCATCACCACTTTGCCTTCAGGGCTCCCATACCTACATACCGTCTGTACCTACCGTACGAGCACGTCCAACTGCTACTCCACAGCATCTCACGTCAGTACAACTACAGAGGCGCCACGGAACATTCTCGATTCACGCCGTGCCCAGGGCAGGCATGCTTGTCCAGTATGACAAAGCTACAAAGCACCCGTCCCGAGATGTGATGGCATCACACGCCTATATCCGTCCAGCGCTCGGCTATACGCTTTTATATCCCGCGTCTGCCTCTACCAGTGCTAGTGATGCATGGAATAGCGCATTCCAGGCAGCTGGATCCCAAGACCCAGACAACTGGGGGCACATTATGTAAAGCAAGGTCCAGAGGAGTGTTGGTACTGGCCTCGGCCGCAACCACCGGACCGCATCAGATGCACCTGGGAAGAGATGCAGCCAAACAGAGGCCAATCGATCCGTTTTGAATCGGCTGCAGCAGAAGCTAGCTCTAGCGCTGCCAGCGGACAAACTCGACAACTGACAAGTTACCCAAAACCAAGACAGGGGTGCCAGGCGTGAGTTTTCAACACCAAAAGGCCTCAAGGTCGACGAATGTGATGAGCAGCTACGATGTTCATTTCGGGTAGCTCAGCGGCTTGGAGAGTAGTAGCAGCGATATTGTCACCAGCATCAGCAGCAGCAGCAGCATCGTCCCGAGAGTATGGACGCTTACGGGTCCGACGGCATGCGCCATCTCTTCGACTGCAGCTTACATGTAGTTTACTACAGATGCGTGCATGCCTTACCATTTATGATAAGGTACACAAAGTCAGCACGTGCTTTTGATTGGCATCCATCGGGCCCCTGGTCATCGATCCTTTGGTCTAAAACGCCATTTGAATTCATGCAACTCTCGTATGGCGTCCATTGGAAACCTGGATATACCAATTACATCTCTCTCCCGCGGGGTCACCGATCAACGTTTACCATTCCAGACCAGCACCCCGGGCTGCGTGTTAAAGCCTGTCTAGCGGCGCCTGGGTGACGGGCGCGCAGGTGCAGTAGACTGCGATGCACGCACACCCAGACACACATACCGAAAAGCGAGGTTCGATTGCTGGCGAGGATTGCAGCTTCGCGGATCGAAGGGGTTACGTACAGCCTCCTCCATTCATTTGGTTTAAGCGAAGTGCCCCTCGGGAGCAAGGCCACAGCTGAGCTGGCCGATTTGTCGTGTGTAGACGAGGAGTCATGAGACAATGACTCCATCGTCACAAACCACATGGAATCGGCCAGCCCAATTAGCCGTAGAGCTGGTCCCAATTCCCCAACTGCAAAGACCCAGTACCATGGAAGCACTTACTCTGTTACAGGAAGTGCCTGGATTGCCGTTCGCGCTCCCTGCTCCGTATTAGCCGTATTAATGGTTGAATATAGGCATGGATGGATGGATACGAGCAACGACTTGGCAACATCGATGCATATTGTTAAGAGGACCGCCTCAGAGACAACTGGAGCCCGCCATTTCCGAATTACAAGATCAAGCCTTCCCGTTGAGGTACAGGGTGCCTTGTTTAGATGGTTGGTTACATCTGCCAGTATTCCATGCTCGCCTTGCTGTTTACTATACTGCCTGGGATAAGCACAGCTATTATTCCTATTTCGACAGAGTCACAGCAACCATTACGGAGTTTTCTGCAAGGATACAGGTCATTTTCATTCCTTTCAGAGGTTCAAACCACAGCCTCGCTTAGACATTGCCACCCTGGAGTGTGATCCAAACCAAAGGCCACGACAAGGAAAGAATCGTCTCGCCCAAAGTATCCCCGAGGAATACCTACATGCGCATCTGCACTGGGTGTTTGTTATGCGCGTCTTCCGTCCGTCCGTCATGAAGAGGGGATCAGAGAGGCCCGAGCTGTCGTCAACCCGCGTTATCCAATTTCGCCCAGTCTAATAATACATGCTGCACGGTCCTCCTGTTGTTCTGTCTATCCTGCTAGTAATAGCGGTCCGCCTCCGCGACCCTTCGGAGCGGTGCCCCGGGCTTTTCTTACTTGCACGGGGGTTACACGGACGCCACATTGGCTCTATTCGGCAACTCTGATGCAGGCTATTTATCTCATCGGCGAAGCGCAAGGATCAATCGTGGCTGGCTGTGTCATTTGTGGTTGAGAGACGGCACACACATTCAGTCAGCGATGGAACAAGTCCAGCTACCAATATCCGATGGGCAATTTCTATGAGTAATGCATTTAATATGCTTATAATAGGGGAGCAGGGGACGATGGTCCGTGGGGACTCATGAGGTCAGTCTAGTTTATGTGGGCTTGCCGGGTGTGATGTGGATGTAGGTGTTGGTTGGATAAGGCATCATGTGTTTTGTATCACCACAGACTAACCAGGGTGCAGAAAAGCTCATTGCGGTGAGGGTATACACATTCATGCCAATCCATCGACTCAGCTTTTACACGTAACAAGAGGGACACCGTAGTGTCCAAGACGGCAGCCTGTCTTTGGTCAAGTGATCCCTCACTATTGTCCTTCATGGAAACAGTGCTTTTTTTTCATGGCCCTCCTTGGCTGGCCTCCGAAAAAAAAAAAAAGGACCGACCTAGCAGGTAGTGGTATGTGACCCATTCAGAAAGTACATGGCCAACATTTCAAATGCTCCTCGTTGGCAAGGATCGACGTTACGTGGTGAAGTTAATGCAAGGCAATCCAAATCTATCATTTCGCCCCCGAAATAAAGCAAGGGGAAAAAGATTAAGATGGAGGGACTATTGCACATCTTGGCAGAGCCGTAAGCCGAGCCTGACCGCCAAACTCGACTCTCTTTCTCTGCAAAGAGCCTGTCCAACCCGTTGTATCTGCCTCTCCCTCGGGAAGAAAGAAACATGCAGCTCTCACTGGATGCATGTGTGAGACCCCTTTTCCGGGCAGTGCTGGAGCAATTGCTCCTGTGAGCTTTTCGTATGATGAATGGCAACTTCTGATGTACTCGTAGTGTAAGATGGTTTATGCTAGCTAATGCTAGATCGATTCTCTGGTACGTAACTAGCTCTCTTTTGCTTTCAGATGCTCATCTGTGCGTCGTGTTTGGGTTCGCTGACCCGAGTGTATGAGCAGTACGTTACATACCAATCCATGAAGCAGCCCCATGATCAACAGTTCATGACGGCTCTGATTGTCTTTATCCATCCATTGTGCCCCCGTAATAACAATGACAAGCATTATGAACGGCAATCGGGGGTTACTGCTGACTGCTGACGCTGCCTGCTGGGCCTGCTCCCTGCCTTGCCTGATACACACGCTCCCTTGTGCATAATAATGGGAGAGCGTGTATAACTCTCAGAAATGCGAAATCCAATCTTGCGGGCTGAAACCCCAAGACAAAAGAGTCTCATATCTCATCCGGGATGCTCAAGATCGACAATGGACGAGTTATGGCATGACTCGATAGCACCAGGTTATTCGTCATTCCTCTTCTCTACTCTGTGCTTCGCCATCTGAGATCTCGCGCTTACCTCCGTCTCTGGCTTAGACTTTTGCAAGGCGATAGATATGTGATTGCAAAGTATTCACATTCCTTTTCATGCTTGTCAACTCGGGGCGATTCATTCGAGAGAATTAACACCAAAAAAACACTTGCAGCTTTCAACGCGTATGTTCTCCTTTTTTCTGTTCAGACGGCTCAGCCCTTACTGACACCGCGATCCGACGAGCAGCCCGTTCCCGGCCGTGTTTCCCTTTATCTCGCCAAGACATGCGTGTCATAATATTGAGGGTGGCTTGACAACACGTTTGACACAGCTTTTCATCCAATAGTGCGGACATCTCATCTCAAGATGCAAGGGACTCTCCAATGTCTCACAAGTTCCTCCGCATGCGCTTGCAACAGTCCTCTCCGCTGGGGCAACGCAAAAACCCGCCCCCCGTGTCTCGGACTCGGAAGGGCAAAGGATTGGGCAGACACGATTAGTTTTTGTCTTTCAGCTCTGGGTGTTATGTCTTTCAGCTATCGGGCTCAAGGAAGAAAAGCCGGGCCGCTCCGAAGCCTGCTTTGGCGCAACGCTCTGCGATAGGCTAGATTTCCCTTCCGGTGTGTCGTGGAATGACTGGCTGGGCGACGCAAGGGAGTCTCACAATAATATCCAAAGAGGTGAAAGCAGGGCACGAGGAGACCCGAAATGAGTGACAATGGGCGTCTATCAATGACTCGACGAGTGGCTCGTGGGAAGAATCCAGAGGAGAAGTGAGCCCGACCGTCCGAAGCATAAATAGGAGCTGTCTGTCCTTTCGTTGGGTACAGTTTGCTCTCCTCATCCCCATCAGCTCTTCTCCGACTCAAACAAACAACCAATCGCAATAAATAATCCTTCAAGATGAAGTTCTCCGCCATCGCCCTCTTCGCCTCGCTGGCCATTGCCGCGCCCGCCACGGAAGCCATTCAGGAGCGACAGATTGGTGGTGGTCCTTGCGCTGGCGGCGTCACCAACAACATCCCCAAGTGCTGTGGTTCTGGTATCCTAGATCTCCTGTACCTGGACTGCGAGACTCGTAAGTCATCCAAGGCGTCATCTCGTGTTAAAAACGTGTGCTAACAATGCCTTTAGCCACTCAAGTCACTTCCGTTCTCAACCCCCTGAGCGCCGTCTGTGGCCGTGTTGGTCTCCAGGCCAAGTGCTGCACACTTGGCATCGTAAGTGCTCTCATATCCTTACTTAACTCAGTGAGAAGATACTAACAAGTTTTCAGGCCGACCTTGGTGTTCTGTGCCAGGATGCTCTTCCCCAGTAAATTCTCAATTAACTGGTTGCCAGTGGCAACGTTCTGTTAATGACAACTTTGGGGTTGTTCTCGGAGCTTTGCAGCGTTATGCGGAATGGAGATGGTACACTTGATGGAAGGATTTTCCGCGGGGGAGTTGGATTGTCTGGGGTTCCGCAGGTGCTATATCATAATAGGTTGGTAGGGCCTGTCTAGTTAATATATGAACTTTCAACCGATATCTACATTCCCTCTATATTGTGTGTAAATGTTTGAACGCTATGCGACTTCCTGAAAACATTCATCCACCGACAGGTACTGGGCGAGTAGCACTTGTTGGATTCGACAGGTTGGTGCTGGGCATTGACTACGTGGGACCCTTCCCGGCCGCTGAGTCTGGGATCCGGCATATTCTTGTGGTAGCGGACTACTTTACACGATTTTGTTGGGTCTTTTCCTGCCGTGGGACGCAGGCAACCGAAGCATGTGTGAAGTTGGGAGCCTGGTTAGATGGGATGTCGGTGACTCCCATGGCATTCTACTCAGACCCCGGCTCGGCCTTTATATCCACGGGATGTAGGGACTTTCTGTTGCAGAGGCACATCTTGAGGATCCCAGCCCCGTCTAAGTCCCATCGAAGTGTCGGCATGATCGAAGTCACAAACCGCATATTCCAAGTCACCCTGAATAAGACGGTTAGAGGTAGTATGTGAGAGTGCTCATTGTCATCACAATGACACAAATCCACCTCGACAATGAGCCGCTTAGACGAGAGTTCTTATGCTGGTATCAGCACGTTAAATATTGCGAATTGCCAATTAAATCGTGGACTTAAATTCTTAACATAACTGATGTACCAGCTACTTACATCCCTAAGAATATCCCAAGTTTCAACATCGTTAATTTACGACTCTTCACAACCAATTCACCCATCTGGCACATGACCATGACTTGGTATGTCTATATACTCAGCCCAGAAATGAACTGTATCCCGATTAGATGAGAAATCGTTGAATCTCCTCGTGTTTGGCTACCAACCGTTATCTCTAATGCCTACCCTAAACAAAGGCCCAATTCTCAACGCCATGAACATTTACAGCTACTCAAACATGGTAATGACATAGTTTTATTGAAAAAGAAACTATGACATTGGCTTGGCAATTTGAAAGCAATATCGTCAATATGGCTGCACTACACACACAATATGTGTCGTTGCAAACTTACCCATTTTTTAAGTGGATTGAGTGATTGCATTTATCTAGCAAGTACCTGAATTTAACTACATGTAGATATATAACAATAGTAGCGGCTACTATAAGAATATAGATATAGTAGTAGTTGTTACACAAGATAAGCAGAGTAATAATTACTAGAGAAATATAGATATAGTCGCAAATGTTAAGAGAACAGGCGTATAATTTAACCTGTGGGTGTTTGTTATATTTTCGGTCTCAGTTTTTCTGTCCATTTACCACAAGCAAGTCTGATGAACGCGCCACATTGTAACAAGACCTTATTCCTGTAGCTACTCTAGGGATGATATACTCTCAATGTGCGAACCGTTGAAGATCATTCGCCAAGTGATAATGAGGAAGTTTTATCTAAAAGGTGTTGAAGGCGTATGGCCTTATCCAATTTAGCATTTCAACTTCCTCTTGAGTAATCAACCCGTAAGAGTTTGTTTTGGTAACAAACTCAGATTCCCGCGACAGATATTAAACATGTGGCCACGATGTCTCACAGGAATCGGAATGTAGCCAACCGGCGTGGGGGAAAACGGAACGAGTAAACCAGGCGCTGGCATTTTATTCTTGTGTCTGTATGAGCTTGTTAATCTAATGTTTCATCTGAATTTAAAATACAAATGATGAAAGGGCTGTTTCAGCGGTGCGAACGGGGCACTCCACTGGTGATTGTAACCATACAGTCACAATACTTACAACGTACTCCAGTTGCTTATCGTAAGAGTAAAGCGGGTTTCGTGGGAAATCCCAGTCGGAATGATACCCGAACACGTGTTGAGGTTGTAACCATGAGACAATACCAGGCACAGAGATCTTCATCTCCGCGGGTTGTTTGCATGGTTCGTGGGGACTCGATTTGATCTCTGCATTTGCTCTGCAGGATTTGTCTGTCCCATTTTCCTTGGGAGCGTCGTATCCAACAATCCGATGCCACCTCGAAGAAATACAGTAACGATCTTGGCATATAACTATCGTGGTCACGGTGCTTATTGTCGTCTAAAGAATAGGAGATGGACAAAATTTTACAACCCTGTGAACAGAGCACTGACCTCACTTTCTTTTAGACCGTCGGTATCAATGCATCTGCGGCGCAGAGACCAACTCCAAAAATCTAATCTCATGATGACATGTCAAGACCAACACCGTCTGTGCGGAGAAGTCTAGTGAATCCAATACCCCAGTGTCTAGACTCCATTCAACTGCTCGGTCTCCTCATCTGATGGAGAAGGACTCTTGGCAGGACAGGACTAGAGGAGGCCTCATTTGCCAGTCCAACTCACCGACATGGAATCAAGATGATAGATGATTGTCCATGGAGAAAAGGAATAGGACTTTTCGGGATATCACGGAGCACGTATCTTGCGATATCCGGTCAAAATAGGGACAAGAGATGGGTCCGGAGGAATGAGATTTTGGAATCTCACTACTAGTTTCGTGGCCAAAGACTAGAAGGCGCCATACTTTGAAAAGATGCCGGGGAAGAAATACTGGAGCCTAGAATCCCCCGCATTTGGGGTAAGAGAGAGAGATGGTTCATGGGGGTCAGAAGAAAGAAAATAGCGGCATTAATTCGCCCTCCAAGGCCGGGATGAATCGTAAGAAAGGCGAAAAGTTGGAGAATGGGAAAGGCTAACTGCCTTGCCACGACAGTTTCTTGTCAGGGGTACTCTTTGTCGACAAATTATTACGCCTCTTCCCCATCTTAGCCAAGCCTTTACGTGTGGAGAGACATGTCTAACCCCTTCCAACTTCAATAAGTCATGTGAAATGAGGGAGAATAGAAGGACAACAGCACAATACCAATTCACTTCTCACTAGATGACACAAATCTGTTGGTGGCACTGGGCGAAAAAAGAACAAAAAGATGGAGCGGCCACGCCACAAACTTTTAAGCTTGTAATCAAGGTTGTAAGTGGCGGGAGCCGGAGAGCCCGTTTTCTGGCTGTTGTTGGGCGGCTCTCGCAAGAAAATGGAGCGGTGCTCCGCTACTCGAAAGACGGAAAAGAGAAGGGGGAAAAACAGAGTCATGAGGGGAGGAAGCTGTCTGATTGGAGGAGATTTGACAAGATGGTCGAGAAACATTGAAGGCAAAAAGCAGGGATTGCCGACACCCTTGCATGGGGGAGAGACAAAAACTGTCCTCACACGGGAGGGAATTTCGGGCGGTGTTTTTCTGCTGTGGTGAGAGCGGGCGGACGGAGAGGAGGCTGAAGAAGATTAGAGCCCTCGTAAGGAGCCTATTATGGGCAGTGGAAGCCATCTCGATCGTCGTCTTGCGTCCATGCTAGTTTCCATGAGTCGTAGCACGGGCACCGGTAAGCAAAGATGGTGTGTCAGGCGTGGAGAAGGCGGCCAAGGCTAGGAATGATGCAACGCCGGGTTTTCTCCTGTAAGGAGTTTTTGGCCGAGCGAGGGAGAAATAGAAGCAGAAGCAGAAGCAGTTGGAGAGTGCTCCGTAAACTATGTGCTTATAGAGTAAGGGCAAGACTCGGCCTTGGAGATATCAGACCAGAACAGCAAGGACCGGAAAGGACGAGACGCACAGAGAGATATGGAGTAGACAGAGCGATATTCCGTAGAGACTGACTCAACCTCTTGATTCATCCACTTATTCATCGTCTGTCCCTGGCTCTGGGCGCTTACTCAAACCCCGTTTGCAAGAGCCGGGCCAAGACTCTTGGTTCAGCACTGGCACTCTCTTAGACCGCAAAAAGGCCCCCATTCAAATAGATATTCCACACCATCTTGCTCTAGACCCAGAATCCCACAGGCAACGCCAGCGCTAGCAGGGATATGTCTTGGGGTTAGGCTGGGGTTTGTTGGCAGATTCCGTTGGCTGCGTGGGTGTAAGAGCGAAGCCGGCGGGCAAAATCCCGTCTGGGGGTTGCATTCTTCTCCAGCATATAGCCTTTCACCATGGGAGCGCTTAAGCTTAATACTAAGGTAAACATCAATCTTAATATCGACACGCTTCGGTGAGTGGCCAGAAGGGCTGCGAGCGGGGATCGAGGGCTGGAGCCCTGCAGACTGTGATTGGATCAGGACATCCTGGTTCCATTCATATCTCCTCGTGATGGTAGTTGTAGTTGTAGTTGTTGTGGAATCAAGCCTGGAATCAGTCATCCTATCAGCATCGCCCAATCCTGCGTGTCCAACACGTTACAGTACATGGACGTGGCATGTGTCTTGCTTGCTCAGGCCTTTCGCACTCGTGGCATCAGCCAAGCGAACCGTCTCGCGTGTCCGCGACATTTCAGGCGTTTGCAGATCGCTCAGCCCGCTGGTGCTCCCCCAGACTAAGCTGTTTATTGCATCGTATTGTTGCTTCTGCTTCACGACACAGTCGCCACATCCCTGGCGCTCCTCCTATCGCCATTCACATTACACGAAACCATGTCCTTTTCTCTCTCCACTCCCCCAAGTTCCCCCATTGCATGATGACAACCCTTTCCTCGAGTCCAGTCCGTGCCAGGGCCGGACTTTGAAGCCGTGACGGGGCTTTGACTATCCCCAAGTTTCTCTCTCTCTCTCTCTCTCTCTCTCCCCCTCTACCCATGTAACCCCGAGTATTCTCTCCATGGGGTCATCCCCGCATCCCCTCACCCCGATCCCTTCCAGCTCAAGTATCTGGCCCATCTTTTCCCCAGGTCTGTCTCTGCGGAAGATGACCGTGACACCGCTAGGACATGTCTCGGCGCAGCTTCTGCTTATTCCTTTCTCCGTGATTCGGGACGCCCACCTAGCAAAACAAAACTGGGACTCTCTCTCTCTCTCTGGGGTACTTGAAGAGAATAAGGCGGAAGCGGGGGTAACAGCTAGCACATGGCGTAGTATTGTCATGATGTTGTATTGCACTTTGAACTCCGTAGAACCGATATCCAAAGCAGCAACTCGAAACACCGAATTTGAGCGCCCAACAGCTTCATTCGTCCAAAAGCAAACTTTAGCCCCAAGCCTCGTGGGCTGTTAGTCCCATTCACAGGGAAAAAACGAGGCGTACGAGTAAATACAGCCGGATTCCAGATCTAGGAGGGGACCATCTTTTCAGCCGTCGTGCGTCTGCGGTATTGTTCGTGCCCCCATGTCGGCGTCGGAAAATGTCGTAAGACATGCATGACCCTTTCGTGTCTTTTCCCCCCAGCTGAGCCCATTCATTGCCTTTCATCTGGTATATAAATAAGGTTGTCGCACTGATCACATTCTCGCCCCCATGGCCAAAGCTTTCTGTTGGTTCTCGTGCTACACAAAAGTACGAGTATAAAAGTCTGTACGACGCCAACAAACCAGGCCCAGCGTCTCTCATCTTATACTTTCTCCTCATCCCCCCTTTGGCTTCGACATTACTACATTTACAGTTTCATCTCATACGTGTAGTATATCCCCGGGAAACCATGGCAGATAACAGGACTTCGAGGCCGAATGAGCCCGCCGACGACTTGGCCAAGGGCGTCTTCGCCACGGCCAAGCAGTCGTGGAAGGATCTCTTCGTCTGGAAGCAGCGCGTCGTCATCACCAACGGCTACGGCGAGACGCGGTGCGAGTGGCAAGAGCCCGACCGCTTCAAGAACCCCATCAGCCTGTTTGCTCAGCTGTCGCTCAGGGACTGGATCTTCTTCATCGTCGGGTGGCTCGCCTGGACGGCCGACGCCTTCGACTTCCACGCGCTCTCGATCCAGACGGTGAAGCTGTCCAAGTACTACAACACCTCCAAGACGAACATCACGACGGCCATCACGCTCACGCTGCTGCTGCGCTCCGTCGGCGCCGCCATCTTTGGTCTGGCGGGTGACAAATGGGGTCGCAAGTGGCCCATGGTCTTCAACATGCTGGTGTTGGGAGCGCTTCAGATTGCCACCATCTACAGCAAGACGTTCCAGGAATTTCTGGCGGTGCGAAGCTTGTTCGGCCTGTTTATGGGCGGTGTTTACGGCAATGCCATTGCCATGGCTCTGGAGCAGTGCCCGTAAGTATTATGATTCCTCTTCGCTCGCTTTCCTCTCTATGTGCTCTCTCTCCTTTCGCTACTCTTGACATCTTCTTTTTTCCTTTCCTATGAAATCGAAGCCACCATCTTTCCTTCTAGCTTCACGACACTAACATCTCTTGGCTCTCCAGATCCAACGCGCGTGGCTTGATGTCGGGCATCTTGCAGCAAGGCTACTCCATGGGCTATGTCTTGGCTGCGTGCGCCAACCTTGGCGTTGGGGGCGCCACCGATTCGTGGAAGACGGTCTTTTGGATTGGAGGTACGTGACCTGAAACATTACCTTGTCATCTCCAAGTCGCTCCCAGTTCATCATGGATCCTGTCTAACTCTCAGCACAGCTGGATTGTCCATTGGCGTCGGCCTGCTCCGAATTCCCTTCCCCGAGTCCCAGCAGTTCCTCGACGCCAAAAAGGCCGGCAAGAAGGCTTCTTCGCCCGGAGCCTTTTGGCGCGAGACTCGCACGATGCTGGCCAAGGAGTGGAAGATGTGTGTCTACTGCATCATCCTCATGACGTGGTTCAACTACTACTCGCACACGTCGCAAGACTCGTACACCACCTTCATGCTCGAGCAGAAGATGCTGGACAACGCCGGCGCTTCCCGTGCTTCGATCCTGATGAAGGCCGGCGCCGTCGTCGGAGGCACCATCATCGGATACGCCAGCCAGTTCGTGGGCCGTCGCCGCACCATGATGTTCGCTGCTCTCATGTCTGCCATTCTGATCCCCGCCTGGATCCTCCCCGAAGGCGAGCGACCTCTCAGCGCCACGGGCTTCTTCATGCAGTTCTTCGTCCAGGGTGCTTGGGGCGTGATTCCCATCCACCTCAACGAGCTGTCGCCCCCTGCCTTCCGTTCGTCCTTCCCTGGTGTCACCTATCAGCTCGGTAACATGATTTCCTCGCCCTCGGCCCAGATCGTCAACGCCATCTCCGAGAAGACCTTTGTCACTGTCGCCGGCGGTACAAAGGCCGAGGCCTACGGTCCTACCATGGGCATTGCCACGGCCATCATCGCTACGGGTATCTTTGTGACCGTCATGGTTGGACCTGAGCGACGCGGACGCAACTTTGACGGTGTTGTTGCCGGTGTCGAGCAGAGCGACTCGGAGGGCAAGACTATCGACGAGCCAATGGACGAGGAGAAGGGCGAAAGCCGAGTATCACAATCGGAGAAGATTTAAATTTTTATTTCTCTTTTTATTTTCTTTCCAGTTGTGATGTGTCGAAATCTTCCATCCGTATAGTTCAAGGACAAGGGAGGAGATGTATTAGTTGAGCCCTTTTGGCTGAAGAGTTGAGCATGCGATTTCGCGTATTGCGCTGCGAAATGACGCAATGGTTGAGCTAGATACAATATGAACAAAATATAAGAACAATCAGTTTAGTAGCTCTCCATTATTGCAGCTTTACCTTTACTTTGATTGTTGTGACGTTGTGGGATTGCGCATGTACTTTTGAAGCCTACCTACCTAGGTACTGACCTCATTGTATAGTGTATCGTGTAAAAGCACATGGCAAGCCCAGTTTCTGCAATAGTCTAGTTTTGTTCTCTTCAACGTCCTTAGTAATTCCAATTCCAGGAGAGTTGGTTCCTGGGCGTATATGCGATTAGTTTCCATCTCCGTCGTTGACCCCTGTCATGGTGACGTCGTTTATGAGCAAAGCGCCGTCACCGTTTCCAAAAAGCCAATCAAAGACCAACAACATGCAACGAACCTACAATCGCTTGATTATGATAACAAGTGCTAACCTCCACAACTTGCAATAACGCGGGCAGATCAAGTCATATTTCCCCAAATGATCGACATGCGGCGTGCCACTCGTGACAAGTTCGCCTACAGTAGAGCCCCAGGTTCCATCATAACCGGCTAGCAGCGTCATGATCATCATCGGTTCGCCACACAACCGTTTCCGGAACGGGCGCCATGCGTTCAATATGGCAAAGACGTTGGACGGGTTCCGAATCAGGCATTCGTTGTCCAAGATGTTTGCAGGTTTCGTGCATCATGTCGACATCATGGATGTGTGTCATGGCTTGCCACGAGATGCTGCAAACTGGATATAAATATGCCATCGCAAAAGGGCCAACCCTGTGATACTGTCTTCTCCAAAATCAGAACAAATTAAAAAAATAAAAAATCTCATCTTATAATCAATCAACACAGTTACCACAACAATGCCTCTCTCCAACAAAAAGCACAACGCCGCCGTGGCCGCAGAGCACCAAAACCTCGCTGCCTCCGGCGCCCTCGGCGGAGCCCCGGCAAACATGAACGCAAACCTCCCCGGCCCGGCCCCGTACACTGCCGGTCCGCACCGGCACGACATCATGAACAAGCTCGATCCCACCGTCGACAGCGGCACCGGCGGGATGCAGGTTCTCACCTCGGGCGCCCACAACAACAACACCGCCGCGGCCGGCTTCCCGGGCCAGCCTGTCGGAGGACAGATGCCCGCCGGGGGCGGCGTCATGGGCAGCAACAACCCGTACGGCGCCCAGCACAACTCCCGCATGGCGAATGCGCTGGACCCTCGCGTCGACTTCGCCCAGGGCCAGGCCGGAGGTGCAAACTACTACACAAAGGGCACAAACGTCGTCCCGGGATCGGCCGCCCAGCCTCGGAATATCCCCGAGGGCACCTACGGCCCTCACAACTCCCGCCTCGCCAATGCTGCGGATCCACGAGTCGACTCCGACGCAGACCGCCATCGGGCGAGAGGAGTCGGCGCCGGAGTCGGGCCTGGAGGAGCTGGAGCCGGAGCCGGAGCACAGACAAATGCCAGACCGGTCTTCCCAGCTGGCGTGGCTGGACCGGCTCCCACGACGGCAGGGCCTCATCGACATGACATTCTGAACAAGCTTGATCCGAGCGTGGACAGCCGATCTGCCACCAACGTTGATGCGACAGGCCGCAGACTTGTCTAATTCGACTCAATGATTAGGATAGTCTAGCCTGTTACACTTGATGTTTGAAACGTTTCTTCCAGAATGTACACGGCACGGATTTGGGTTGGCTGGTTGCAAAGAGATACCACGGAGGAATGAATGATTCAACGACCAGTTCGTTTGGCAGGAAGGGGGGTCTTTTTTCCCTTAAGGTCTAGTATGATATCCGGCTGTACTTTTACTTTAGTTATGAATGATGATGAATTCGACGATATTCAAAGACGAAAACGAAAGTCAGTGCCATATGGTGATACGTAGTCTACATTAAAAGATTTGGTATTAGTGTAAAGAATATCTGGCATTTTTGCCAAATCCCATGTCAACCTTGCTCCCACAAAATGATACATCCCAAACCTTGCTTGTAGCGCCGCCAACGTACATCTAAAGTTGTCTCGCTCATACAAACTTGTTCCTGATTCTATCCAAGAAACCGGGGCATGCAAAACAGTAGCAGCCGAGCCGAACCCCCTTATCATACAGGCGCTGTCTTATTGTAGCAGCTTGACCACCTCCATACCGACACGAAAGCATTGCATGGTTTCGTCAAGGGGATATATGACGTCTCTTCCCGTTCAACGGCTGCATCTTTGCTCAATCAAGTCGATTCCTTCGCTCTATCGAGGTATCAAAAGTGGCAAGGGCTATGAGCCGACATAATCCCCCATGCTTGTATCCCAGAGGAAGCCAGCCCTCGCCCTTTGTCATGCACCTGCCATGTACCGTTTCGACATGAGTCCTTTTATACCGTGTTGTACCATCTCGCTGGCCGTGCTCATTGCGCCTTGCCTCGGCTGTTGAAGATGGTGATGATGCCAAACCCTACATAGAACAGGGCTACTGGATACGCCACCAGCCCACGCATATCTCTCATTTTGCCGACAGCTAGATACACAGCATCAGTTAGCACATCTGCACCCTTTGCAAAGTTTAAACTCAATTGTGTTAGCTTTGATTGCTTTGAACCACACTCACCACAAAAGATGGCGCTTGATCTTGATGTTGACCAGCAAATGGCCAACGTCGTAATGATGTATCCAGCTGTAGAATCCAGCGGCATGGCCACGCCAATCAACGATGTAAGGACGAGTGGCAAGAAGCAGTAACCCAACACACTGGCGTTTTGGGTGAATGTGAGAGAGCTAGGCGCAACGTCGGCGCCGGGGTATCCTGGAGGTGTATCCGGCGTCATCAAGCTGAGAATCATGTACAGCGCCGTCGATCCCATGAGGGCAAGGCCATAGACGTATCCAAAGTGGACCTGGCCACTAAACAGGAGAAAAGCGCCAAAGAGAACGACGAACAACAAGGGTCCCGCCAGGTCAGAGTCGTTCATGACATGCTCCAGCCGCTCGATGGGGGAGAATGGGTTGAGCACGGCCAGCGTCTTGGCCTGCATGTGTCCAAAGTCGACGCCCAGCTCCTCTCGTAATGAAGGCTCGTTGTCGTATCCCTCTGCGGAAAAGGCAGCCAGCCAGCCTGTCCTCAGGCCGCTCTGTTCGCGAAAGCCAGCGCCAGGTGGTACGCCATAGCTGGTCGGGGGAGCTTGCGAGGGCGTGGCCTGGTACGAGCCGTGGTAGAACTGGAGGTTCTCGGTCGCCGAGGGAGAAGCAGAAGCGCCGTACTGGTTGTAGTATTGCGACATTCTCGGAATTGGCGCTCGGAGAGTTGCGTAGGTTGGAGGTGATGGGAGTGACGCGATGATGCGAATTGGAGTTGGTGACATGTGGTTTCAAGGTGCTGGCCACTGCCTTAGGTGGCGGATTACATAAGGCGCCGATAAGAGCTGATAATGCTGCGGTTTAGCTTTGGATCGACGTGGATTTAGAGGCGTCACTTGTTTGCTGCTGTACCGCCGAGGTACTTGCGGCCACGGTATTACTGCATACATCACGGGCCTCATATAGAGCTGCACATGTATCCTAACAGGGATGGTTATCCGGGGGGGTTGATGGCAGCAAACAAAGAATCAGCCAGCATCTCGATAGCTTCAATCCAAAACACCCAGCCAGAACAAATGCCCAATCTTACAGACGTTACACCAGCAATTGCACGTGCCCACTGCCAGGTACTCACAGGTACACCCGGCAACAAGCGCCTCCCCGCCGTGCTATCGGCCGGTTGAGGGTACCTTGCATGTACCGCAGCCTTTAATTCGAAGCTCTCCCACTTCCAACTTCTCTCAACCATCACTCAACTTATTCCTTTTCCTCTTCTCAATACAAGACAACACAGCACAACACAACACAGCAACATTCCGCAGTCGTCATGGCTTCCTTTGGCGAACCCCCTCCCGATGCCGGCTCCGACCTCCGCAACGAAGTCAAGAAGCCCAAGAAGAAGAAGGTCCTCCTCATGGGCAAATCCGGCTCCGGAAAGTCGAGCATGCGCAGCATCATCTTCAGCAACTACATAGCACGCGACACCCGAAGACTGTGAGTCCGTTCCCTACTGAGATCTGAGAACCAAACCTTAGTATCTTTGAATCGCTCACACGCAAAAAACAACAGAGGCGCCACCATCGACATCGACCTCTCCCACGTCAAGTTCCTGGGCAACCTCACCCTCAACCTGTGGGACTGCGGCGGCCAGGAAGCTTTTATGGAGAACTACCTCTCCCAGCAGCGCGTCCACGTCTTCTCCAACGTCGGCGTCCTCATCTACGTCTTCGACATTGAGTCGCGCGACGTCGACCGCGACCTCGCAACCTACGTCTCCATCCTCTCCGCGCTGCTGCAGTACTCGCCCGCGGCCAAGATCTACATCCTCGTCCACAAGATGGACCTCGTCGTGCCCAATGCTCGCGAGACCGTCTACGACGACCGCGTCAGGCTCGTCCGCCAAAAGACGGTCGAATACGTAAACTCCGTGGGCGTCGACATCAGCACCGTCGACCTGACGCCCTTTGCCACGTCCATCTGGGACCAGAGCCTGTACAAGGCCTGGGCGTCCATCATCCACGACCTGGTCCCCAACCTCGCCGCCATCGAGCGCAACCTCGCTAACCTCGGCGTTGCCATCGAGGCCGAGGAGCTGCTCCTCTTCGAGCGCACGTCCTTCCTCGCCGTCTCGTCGTGGACCTCGCCCGAGGGCTTCCGCAACCCCACCGAGGACCGCCTCGAGCGCATGTCCAACATCATGAAGCACTTCAAGCAGAGCATCTCCCGCTTCACCGGCACGCCTCGCAACGCCGAGCAGTTCATCCGCATGGAGCACAAGGCCGGCATGCGCTTCAGCCTCTTCATCCTCAAGTTTACCACAAACACCTACCTGATGGTGGTCCTGCCGCCGGGCGAGGCGCGCTTCAACGCCGCCATGCTCAACTGCCAGATTGCCATTGAGCATTTCAAATTCCTGGATACGCCTGCACCTGCGCCGGCGGCGGCCATACAAGCAGCGGCAGCGTAGAGTGAGGCGGCTTTGGGGAGCTCTAAGCGACTGTTCAACAACAGGGAACTATAATGAATTTATGACGCTGGTTATTAAAGGGCGTTTCGGGATAATAAGAATACCTTGGCTATCTTCTAAATCGCAGCAACAGTGTTTTGATGTTTGCTTTTTTTTCAATGTATATACTTGGAACCATCCATCGTGCAGGATTGCGCAGAAAACCAAAGGATAGTTTTTTAATGACTAGGTACTGATGCAAATTGGACGAAACGCCACCGCCTTGGATGAACACGACTACGTTGAAACATGAGGAGACACCAGGCTGCATCGTGATTCCATGTCTTGCTTGGAATTGACCGGCTCAACGGTCTCTACTCATCTATGAGTTTTTACTAAACTTGGTTAGAAGCCCGAAAAAAAGAAAAAGAAAAAGTAACCATCCTTCCATCAAGGCCAGAATCATCAAACCTACACCCACTTGACCACAGCAGTTCCGCCCTTTTTGAACTCGGGCATCTCTCCCAGAACCAGAGCATGATCAGTGTGCTCCTTGTTGGGGAACGTCGTCGCCAGCACCCAAGGCCGGCTACGAGTCTCCACGGAAGCACCCTGAACGAAGCCGTAGACGTCTCCCACAGTGTGCGTGGTGTTGAAACGCGCTGGAAGTCTAGAACCATCGGGCATCTGGATTCTGATCAAGAGTGTAGGTTGTGAGTTGTCGACGCTCGGTGCAGGAGCAGAAGAGGATGAAGAAGCGGCGGCGGCGGAAGAAGCGGGTGCCGAAGTCGTGGATGTAGCGCCGGGAACTGGGCTGCCAAGGCGATTGCCAGTGCCGGCAAATGGCTTGTACTTCTTTGGGGGCTGCTTGTACGGAGTGTCGTGCTGGTGAAGCTTGACGTCTACCGACTGGTCATGCTGCACATTCATAAGATGCAGGGGAGCCCGGCCTGATCGTATAAGTGCGAGATCCGCCTCGTTAGAAGGATCGTCGAAGCGACGAAGTTCGCCATCGTCGATGCTGAATCCGTCCTGCCAGATGTGAAGCACTCGCTCAACTGGGGGGCCAGAGGGTCGCTCATGGCCCTGGGGATCTGGGATGCTTCGGCTCTCAACGCCGTCCCCACCAAGCGTCACGCCGGTACCCCGGAAATGAGATGGGCGAGAGGGACCAGCCTCTGGGTTAGCATCTGACTGCCGTGAGCTCCTGTATAGTTATCAGCAGTCTGTTATGAAGAGAGCATCCAACTCGAACCCATCACTTACGCTTTTGCCTTGGCAAGTATGTCATTGATAATCTTCCTCGACCCACCCTCCTGTCTCGGATCCTGGACAGCAAGCCCAGATTTCTCACCACCAGCGAATAAGTTGCCTCGTCCATCGTCTTCGTCTTCTTCGTCCTCTTCATCATCATCGTCGTCGTCATGGTGAGCAGCGGAGCTGCTACCTATGGAACCCAGGGTCGCAATGCCCTTCTTCTTCTGCTGGGTCGTTTTTCGGGATGCCAGGCTAGAAAAGTCCTCTTGGGGCGCAGGGCGGCCATCCAAGGTTCTCGGTCCGCTGTACTGCTCGAGCGTTCCGTCTGCAGCCTGTTGCCGGCGCCGTTCGTCGTTTCTCTCATCCTCGTCGTGGAAGAAGGAGTTGCAAGCAGACAGCATGTCCCAGTCGTTTGATTCAAGATACTGAGTGGCCTGGACAAGTCAACCGACGGTTGTTAGCATGCGTATTGCAATAAATATGTTGGAAAATGCGATGTCTCTACGAACCAATTCTGCCGAAGCGCCGCTCATGGCAACAAAGTCCCGTACCATCTCATCGTGATCCTTGACTTCGTCGTCCCGCACCATGATGGCTGCTTGTGAGGGGTCGTGAACAACAGAGTAGGTGGTTCGTGCCTTAACAAAGTATGTAGACGAAAGCTGTGCTAGATGGTTATGAAAAGAATGATATATCTGAAATACAGAGCTGTCCTTTGTATATCTGGCTTGGTAAAGACGCGTTGTGAAAAGTGCAGTGATTTGCTGTTCTTCTGAATGGGCTGCGATTACCAAAGCAAGGCAGCGGCTCTCTTTCGTCATGCAAGCTTGAGAGCTTCAATGCAGTAACTCGGCACTTGGCCCCACCGGAATAGCGATCCACCGACCCCGATGGCGTATTATGTAATGCCCAGCCCGTGCCGAGCGACCATCGGCATTCAACTTGGGACTTCAAGTGTGTGCATCATAGGAACCAAATTGCGCGCTCTTCCTTGTCCAGCGTCGAGGCGGCAACTTCACGGCATCACGAGCTTCTTGGACAAGCCGACACCATGTCCACCGACGATCTGAGCACCCACCTGGCCGACTCCGGCATCACCATGCGGTCCGACAGCGAGCAGTACTCTCCGGGCGACGAGGTCTCATCACCCTCGTCATCGAACTCGCCCGTTATTCTCTACAAGCCCCCAACAGCATGGAGTCTGATACGGAGCGCCGCCATCAACCTGGTTCTGCCATTTATCAACGGCATGATGCTGGGATTTGGAGAGCTGTTTGCTCATGAGGCAGCATTCCGGTTAGGATGGGGCGGCACAAAGGTCAGTTATATGTTTATGGACTTTCCACTTTCCATGCCACTCAATGGGATTTTCAAGACAATACAGGCCTCGCCTCCTCATTTTCTCAAATTCACTTCAAAACTATTGAAAGCGCAAGCTGCAGATGAATGACTAACGTGATTGCACACAGGTTTTCCCTCTTTCTCGAAGACGAGCCCACCCCATTGGCCCAGGCATCGAAGTCCGTGAACGACGAGAGCGACCTGGGCCTTCACTAAGTGATTACGCAAGTTTAGAGTAGGAGAGAATAATGGAATCAGAATGACGGGCGGCATTGTATGCGAATCAATCACATCTAAAGAAACAGATGCAGGCGCTTTTTCACAAGACTGTGACCCATCTGCTGCAACTTTCAGAGCTCCCCAACCACACCTCAGTATAGGCAGCTAGTAGCGGCAGATGAGTGGCCACCGCGAATTGTACCACCAGCAGATTGCACGAAGCCGTAGCCATTGCATGAAAATAAACCAATTCACCTTCTTCTCATGGGGATTGACTGCTGTTTCTTCTCCTAATTAACTCTTACTGCATATCTATCGCCCCGAAATCTCCGCCCTTATGCAGAGCACATCTCATCTACCTTGACATCAGACAGTTGAGTAGCGCCGCTTATATGCAGATCACAGAGGTGGCGTGGGGTAGGTCCGAGGTTCATCCGCCGCATCGAAAAATTCCCCAGACGGGCGCAACAATTTGATATCAGCCATTGCATTCATCCATATATAACCTCGACAAACCCGTCGCAATGCTTCCAAGCAGAGGGATTGCGCGCTCCCTCCCCTCACCGGGAGCCTGGACGCAGAAGCAGAGCCGATTCGTGGTGAGCAAGATATTCCACCTGTTTATTCGTGCAAACGTGAGACTTTTTGCAGAGCTGACCATCCCACCTCCAGAGCCTCTCGAGTCGAAAGTTGGGCCATGGACGACACTTCGGCACCTCGTTGCGAAGCGTCAATGGTGGACTGACGACGGCATCGTCACCATTCCGAACTCGATATGCGGCCGCCGCTCCAATTGTCCTAGGAGGCGTCTCATCGTCAAGATCGCTCTCCCTGTGGGGTTGGGGTGGAAGCAGCAGCAAGGACGCCTCTGCTGCCGAAGCCGCTGCCGCAACACCAGAGGCAGCGAGCGTTGCTGCTCCCGCACCGGCGGAACAAGCCTCTACGGTAGCCTCTGCCGCTCCGACCGACGCCGCGGCCGCTGCTGCATCTGCGACTGAGCCCGCCGCCGTCGCCGCCTCCGATGTCGACCTCTCCTCGATCTCGGCGCTTATCAACGGCCAGGACATTCTCAACATGCGCGAAGAGATTGGTTACTTGCACGCCATCGGCCTCGACTACGGCTGGGGTTTCACTTCCATCATGCAATGGACGCTCGAGCACGTTCACGTCTGGTCGGGGCTGGGCTGGGGCGCCTCCATCATGGCCACGGCTGTCTTGCTGAGGGCCATCATGTTCTACCCCCAGATTCAGAGCCTCAAGTTCAACGCCGTCATGCAGAGGATGCGAAAGGACCCGCGGTCCAACGAGGCCATGAAGCTGGTCCAGCAAGGTTTCCAGGAGAGCGACATGGAGATGCGTCAGCGCGGCCAGGTTCTGAACAAGCTGCTGAGGACCGAGTACGGCGTCAGCAACTGGGGCATCATGTGGTCTCTTGCGCAGATCCCTTTTACGTTTGGTCTCTTCCGTATCGTGAGCGGCATGACGCACATCCCCGTGCCTTCGCTTGAGTCTGCCGGCTTCCTCTGGTTCGTCGACCTTGCCGCCACGGACCCCTACTTTATCCTACCCGCCACCGGTACCGCTCTGATGATGGGTGCCCTTCTGGTAAGTTTGCTAGCTTTCCTCCCACATACTAATAACCATGGCTAATTCACATTACTCCCCCAGATCAATGCAAAGCACACGCCCAAGCAGCAGAGAAAAATGCTCAAGCCCATGATGTACATCTTCGGCACCGTCGGCTTCATCGGCACCACATTCCTCTCCGCCGCCGTCAACCTCATGACCGTCGCCCTCGGCGGCTCCACCCTCCTCACAGCCCTCATCCTCAACATCCCCTCCATCCGCCGCTCCCTCGGCCTCCCCAACGGCCCCGTCGACGAAGCCGTCGCCCCTCCAAAGACCATCCAGTACGAGGCTCCCCGCACCGAGGCCCCCGGCATGGCCGGCCTGAGGGAACGCCTCACCAGCAGCCTCGACGACATGAAAAAGGGCGTCTCCGAGTCCGTGTCTAATTACACCGGCACGTACTCGGGCACGGAACAGGAAAAGGCCGAGAGGAAACGCCGAGAACTGATCCGCCAGCTGGAAAACACGCGGAAACAGCAAGAGCGCGAGCAATTTGAGTTGAAATACAAGGGCAAGAAATAAATTTAAAAAAAAACAAAGGGAACACAAAATCCGGACACATAGAGGGATATATATATCACAGAGGGAGAAAAAAATGGGAGCACGGCAAGCAGTAGACATGCTACCTATCAGAGGGGGGAAAGTCAAAGCAGAACGAAGCGTTTTCTTGTATAACCCCCCCCCCTTTCTTCTCTCTCTTTTCTTATCCATGTACTACCTAAAGCCTACCGCTAGTGTAAAGTAAATACCGTACGTAGATGTATACAACGAGAACCAAAAAAAAAGCGAGAGAGAAAACAAAAAAGATGGATGGATGGGTGGAAAACTCTGTACGACGGCAAAGCCAAGAGACACTGTACAATAGAGAGGGTGATGGATGGCGAAATCTCTTTTCAAAGCAAATAGACACACATCCAAAGAAGAAGAAAAAGACAAGAAAACAGAAACGCTCCTGACAATACGATCCAATGTTCAAAAGCAAAAGCTCATGCTTGAAAGTATATAAGAAAAGAAAAAAAGAAATCTCTCGAGCTCAAGCCCTTATATAGTCTTCAACTATTTCTTTCTTTCTTTCTTTCTTTCTTCCCGTTTTTTCTTTGCCTCCAGAATTTCCCTACATACACACAGCGACGATACCAAACGTTCCATACCAAGCTTTTTCTTTTTTCTCTCTCCCTCCCTCAAACAAAACCCAAATTCCACTTTTTCCCTCTCCCTCCCAGTTGACATTTTTGTACGATCCATTAGTATCGTATTAATTATGAGTGAAAAGAAGCCGAAAAAAGGAAAAAAAAACAAAGGGAATCAAACAACCGAAAAGTGCTCATCATTCGCGTCCCAAAACAGGCCCAGAAAATCAATACGTGCCATCCCAAACATTTGAAGAAAGAAAAAGATAAAAAGGAGGGTGCAAGTTGGTATAAGTAGTTAAACAGTAATTTTGAAGCAAGGGGGAGTGAGTGTGAAGAAAGGAAAAGAGAATTCATCCGTCACTTGGATTAGACAACGGTTCCGTCGCTGTCAATCAGGATCGGCGCCTCTTTGGTGTTTGGCCTGTTGATCTCGGCAATTTCACGACCTCCCTAATGGGCATGTTAGTCCAGTGCCCGATATAATTGGCTTTGTGTGGGAGTGAGTGGTTCTTACCTTCCAGCTACCAGCTTCCAACAGCTGCGCCAGGGTCATCTCGTGGCCATCCAGCTCCGCCTCCAGTGCGACGTTGACATCCTCCAAGAGCTTGTCCATCAGAGCGACTGTCAGCCCTCGCCATTCGACAATGACATCATCCGAGGCCTCAAACATGGGCGCGACTTCAATGGCCTTGATCCCAGAATATTTGCAATACGCGCCATAGTTGGCCAATCCGCGAGCCATGTCCTCCTCCCGGAGGGTCAGGACCCCCAAGTCGACAAAGAGGCCACCGTTGCGGTACTCTGGCAAGCCCGTCAGCAGCTCGGTGCCGGCAAAGTGCATATTTAGCAGGGATTGCATAGGCTGCATGAGCGAATACGCAAGCCACTGTGTCAGGTTGTGGAACGGCAGGATAGACTCCCACGAGTTTGATCCCGTGGGCAGGGCCTCGCAGGACCAAGCATCACCAAGCTGGACGCCGTTGATTGCTGTTCGAGAAGGCCAGATGGAGGAGAAGCCATCCATCAGGAGATTCCACAGAACTGGCAGGGGAACAATGAGAATCGATGATGCTTGGGTTGCAGGGTGTGATAGCAAGTGGTCTGCAAACAGTTAGAAAGCACGCAAAGCTTGATGCCAAGGTAAATCTTCACTCACCAATCATGTTACCAGGACGGCCATCAGCCCCAAAGAACTCGAAATGCTCATCGAGAGCCTCTGACAGCTTGACCAGGACCTCTGTTCGACCTTCCAAGCCAATGAGCTCGTTGTCGGGGTCGGCCTGCATACCGGCTCCCAGCTTGGCTACGGTAAGAGCCCCCAATGCTCGCTTGTCCACTTGATGCTTGTTGGTTGGGCTTGCTGAGAAAATTCCCTAGACATTTCAAGTCAGATGTCAAAACTCCCAATGACAGGGCTGAGGTGGGCTTACCGATTTGAACATCTCCAAGGAAGCGACAGCGATACCCTCGGAGCGCCTGTAGGTCTTGCCGTTTTCAACGCTCTTGTAGGTCCAGCTAGTTCCAGCGCCCGCATCCAGCAGTACGCTAATGGTGAAGAGGTCGATGAGTCGGCGGCATCGCTCTGCGTTGTCGACGGTCTCGGGCCAGCTATTCAGGAGCTCGACTATCCGATCTCGGCCTCCTACACAGAAATGTTGATACCGACCATGGCTAGGAATGTCATGGAAAGGAGCTTCGTGGTCACGCTGTACAAGCACATTGGTGTTAGACTAGTCTTGAAGCGTGAAACTTTAGGGGGCAATGGGTATAGGAAACGGGAGAAAGGGCGTGTACACAAGCACGTAGCAAACTGCAAACTGCAAACTGCATCTTGGCATCCCAAAACTTTTCGGTTTGAATACGGTAGACAGTTCAAAGCCCAAGCCATTGCAGCAAGTCTTTTGAACTCCATCCCGCCATGCAGTCACTTAACCACTACCCCCATATCTAACCCAGAATTCGCACTCCCTCTGCCCAAAACTTTGTGCAAACATACCTTGATTAGTCCAGAGACAAACGTCACAACATCTGGAAACTTGTTCATATCAACGTCGAAGTGAACCAGCTGGTTCTCGTGGGCCCTTTCCATGAGGGCCTTGGCTCTCTCTCGCACAGCCGTCAGGCTTCGCAGGTAGCCGGCGGGATCCAGCTGAGGGTCCGGCGGCCGGGGCAGATCAATCTTTGGTATCTTGAACGAAGGCATCGGTGATAGAGGCGTGTTGGGAGTAAGCATGCTGCCGGCGGAGACCCGGTTGTTGGCCAGGCCGCGGAATGTGGAGGAGCCGAAGCTGGTGGTGGACTGAGACTCGAGGATGCCCGACTCCCGAGGAGACTTTTGTTTACGGGAGAAGATACCCATGGTTGCTGATTTTTATTTGTCGAGAACTGGATTTCCCGGCGGATGCTTTTTTTGGGCTTTTCGCTCGCGGCAAAATGTGGCAATATGGAGCTTGGAGCAGAGCCCTTTCGTTGTCTCCCTTCTCTTTTTGATATAGAGGAATCGATCAGGAACGGGAGGGGGGGAAGCTTGGACTCGACGTATTCGGATTCTTGTTGGAAGGCTAGCACGAAGCCCGAGACGACGCCGAGGAGAGGAGAGGGAAAGGAAGAAGAGGGATGGAGGTTGGAAGAGCAAAGGCGAGGATGCTAAAAAGGGCTGGTATCTCGTGCCGGGTACTTGGTACCTGCCTAGCTGCTGATGAAGCTACAGCACGGGCATGTACAAGAACCAAGTAAGCCGGAGCAGCTCGTCAACAGATGATGGCGAGAGTAAGGAGAGAAAAGAGGATCAAGGGGGGGAAAAGAAGCAAAAGCAAAAGCAGCAAAAGAAGCTCGAGGTTTAAAAAGAGGCGAGGATGAAAGAGAAATATCCAGAGGCTCAACGGTTTAAGGCAAAAAGAACGGCACAGGCAGGCTCACACAAGCACAGGCACAGGCACAGGCACAGGCACAGGCACAGGCACAGGCACAAAGCATGGACAGGACAGGACAGGATCAGGACAGGATCAGGATTAGGATTAGGCACAAGACAAGCCAAGCCAAGACAAGACAAGACAAGACAAGCCAATGGAGCACATCGAAGCACAAGCACAACCTAGTAGGATGGAAGCACAAGCTTCCCGGCCGTGGCCAATTTTAGGGAAGAGTCGCCGCCAGACCCCCGACTCGCCTGGAGCTGGGCTGGGCTGCCAAAGACCCGGAACTCACACGCAACGAACCCGCCATCGGCTACAAATTGCAAGGAGACGGGCGGGGGTACGAACAGTGGCAGCGCCTGCGAGCATCCCAGACAGGCCCCCAATAGCGGTTACCAGCTGCCAGGTACGACGAGTCGGCGTCGTGCTATCCGACCAGGGGGGTCAACGGTGCCACTCCAGGCCCTGCAGCAGGCCCCGTAGCAGCAGCAGGGTTCTGTTAGGTACTGTAGCGCTGGTGCCATGGTGCTCTCGAGTGCTGTACAAGTACGTACCAGTTGAGGTGAGGTGGTGGCACGGCGCAGTGCCTCAACTGTATTATTGGGCGCTAACCAGCACGCTACTGGGCCTAGCACCTCGCGGCTAAGAACCCGATTGCGATATCCGCAGCAACATTTTTGATGAACCGGGTGCGCTCAACTCCATCCAGCAGTTGCACGAGTAGGTGCTTGAGTAGGACAGACCTACATGTACCTTGCTTTGATGAGGGCGCCTACCGGTGACACCTCTGGCCTCTGCACGAGGCTTCAGTTGTGCTTGTGCTTGTGCTCCGATGCACGGCACATGCCCGTACGAGTACGCGCTTCCATGTCATTGATCGAATCAGGGAGGGCTTACGGCACACCACCGCATCGCACAACGAACGGCGAGCGATATACGAGTACAGGTGGGCAGCCGCCGTGTGCGAGTTGGCAGAGCACAAGACAAGGGACGAGGGACAACTTTGAACCTCCTTGTGCTCCCTTGGGCGCGGGACTCCGCAAACCCAACCCAGCCCTTCCCTTCAGGTTAATCTCGAGTCATCTTCTCAAGCTTGCTTTAGCTTTGGCTACAGCACAGTGGTGCCCTCTCGGCGTGGGGAGCCAGCGCGGACCCTGAGTGGCTCCCAAAGACCCCAAAGACACACCGGTCAGGGGCATCCCGGACGCCACCTGGGCAGAACCAGAAATTGTCCTGTCTCTGGTGCTTGTGCTCGCGCTTCCGTGCTGGCGGACCGAGCAATCTAAACATGGGCCAGCGGGGGTTTTCCCTTCTTGTCCCTTCTTCCTGTTTCTCACTCGGTGCTGAGCCCGACCAGGGGTGTTGGAGGGGAGGAGGGGAGGAGGGGAGGAGGAGGAGGAGGATGGAGGAGCGAGCAGCACAGGCTTGGATCCAACCGGCCTTGAGCTTGGACGGTGGCGAGATGGTCTCTAGACGGTCCCAGCGCTTTGGGGGACAAGTTCTGGGAAACGTCCAAGCGCCCTCGAGACCAAGCGCCAGACCGGACGGACACTTGCTAGCAGACGCGGTGCCTGTTTTAGCCCTCGGCGGGCGAATCGCGGTCGTCGAGCCGATTGGCGACGGGCTGGCGATCAGTTGCGATCAAGTCGGTGATGCAGACGCGCGACATGACTTGTGCGCTTTGTCTGAGTCTGAGTCTGAGCTGAGCTGAGCCGACCTGACCCCGAGCTGAACATACATGAACTGAGTCGAGATGAGCCTCTACTGTGCTTGTAGCCTGTTAGTAGGTCCTATCGGTTGCTGGTTTGCACCGGCATTCGTAAGCTGGGCTGGAAAAGGTTCCCCCTTTGAGAGACGTGCAGGGAGAGACGCAGAGGGAACGAAAAAAAAAAAAAAAAAAGGTTCCAATTCCAGGTCATCAAATGTTTTGTGCAGTTCGTTGGTCGGGGACCAGTTTTCAGAGCCGTGCTGGCCACTGACAGCGCCTCCAGCGACGTGGCGAGTGCGAACAGAGGGGGAAAAGAGCCCTGGAAAGGGAAAAAAGAGAAAAAGGAAGAAAAAAAGCTCACGGCCATGCCCATGCCCGAGTAATTCGCATCCCTGCCACCTGTGCTGCAGGTACGGATGTACATTCCGGATGTGAGATGTTACCACGAGGCCGGGCTAGAGCATCCCCCCGGACCCCTGCCAGGTCGCGCCAAAGTATCCGCCGTGGGCAGCGCAGGTACAGCAAAGGTATCCTCAGCCTGGAGCCGGTGCCCCGAACCAAACACGTCGCCCAGCATCCCTAAGGTACCAAGCGGAGGGCACTGGGTACTTGCGGTCGTCGTGGGCGGTACCGGCGGGGGACGAGGCGGGTGTCCGTTAGTCTCCCTGCGGTGACCTCGGGCGCTGTCCCGTCGCAATCATCATTTTATTTTCCTCGGCCTAGCTGTCTTTGGCTGCTGCCTTGTCTTGCGATCCTCACGGTGCCTGGCCTTGTCTGGCCTTGTTCCATGTAATGTAATGTAGGTACTACTCGTGCAAGCGTGTTTGTGTTTTGTGCTCCTCCTTCACCGTATCCAGAAGCTACCGGGAACTGGCTGGTTTGGTTTGGGCACCATCCCTAGGAGCAGCTCATCCATGCATTGGCAGACCGAGACGTTACTGTAAGGTGTATGTCAAATACCTATTATCATCGGCAGTCAAGTAATACTACCTTAATACTACTACTAGTGATTGCTTCAGGTTGCAGTAGCATCGGGGATACTAGTACTACTAGACTACATGTAGGTACAGGTACTCTACCAGGTAAGTGTCCTGTAGTACGATCCAGGAGTCCCAAGTCCCATCGAGACGGAACCAAAAGTCTGATGAGCTCTTCTAGTCAGGCAATCAACATCATACCACCCTAATCTACCATATTGTAGCCCCCGGCACGCCCAAGATTGCCAGCAGAGGGCAGGGCCTGGCTCGCGTGGTGCTTCTCGTTTTTGACAAGCCCGGGGGACAAGGGCGTCTTAATCTAGACGACTGGCTTTAGGCGATAAAAGACTTTATCCGATCAAAACGTTTATATTGCACGCAGAGACCTGTCACAATGGGCGCTCGTTTCAAGATGATTTGATTCCAGGGACACGACGGACCGGACAGCACAGTACTCCGTTCCGACGAATAGCTTAGCTACTACACCCAGCTGATGGGCGGTACAATATCGATTCATGTCTGGTGTACTCCGTAAAGTGGCAGTATGGCTGTGCGCGGCCTCCGTGCTTGGCTTCAGCGTGTCTCGGTGGAAACAGGCGATGAAGCAAGCAAAGGCCCTTTCTGCCCAGCCAAGCCAGCGAGTGCCGTCCCGTCCACGTCGTTTCATGCCACTTCACCTGGGGGATTGTCGATGAATGGAACCTGATGCAATATCCACAGCGTCAAATATGGGGCCCTATTCTAATACGCGGTACCACTCGTAATTCAGGAACAGCATCCCGGCAGAGTGACTGGAAGCTGGGCAGCTACCTGTACCCAAGACAGACAAGCACCTGGTACCTAGGTAGGTAGGTGTATCATAGGGCAGTGCACAAGTACATGTAACCTGTGCAGCAGCTGTTATCGCCACTCAGCTCGAACTTGGCCGATCAATCTCAATCTCGTCTCGTCTCGTCTCGTCTCGTCGTCATGAACAAGCTGCAGCTCCCCTCTCACATGTCACACACAGCTACCTTGTACTTAGTAGTAAAACCCAACGGCTAGCCTGAGTCGAGAAATTTCCAGCGGAGCCATCTCGCATGCTTACCAGGACCAAGAGCGTCTCAATTAGCAATAGGACCGCGGATATTAATTAATTGCAAAATGGCCAACCTAACCCGAAACGACGAAACGGCCAGAGGACAGCGGAAGCGACGTTTTTTTTTTTTTTTTTTTTTTTTTTTTTCCAACCAAATCCCAGTTTTCTTTAATTGTCTGGTGTTCTTTGTCATTCTCCCTCCGTCTACTACCAATGTCCCTGTGTACGCTCCCGTATTACTGTCTGGTATAACACTGATGCTGATGTTCTGTGCCTTGCATCTCAATTCTTCCGTCCCGGCGTCTGTTATACCCTCAAGCCTAACCCGGCCAGTGATTCCCCCCTCCAGCTCCCTACCTAGCCAGCTCGGAGTCGACTCCGTGGATGCAAATCTCCCTCTTCATCGCCCTCTCTCCCTCCATCTTCTCCCTCTTCCCGCTCATGGATCGATTTTAATCAGCCTGCGACCAGAAAAGGCCCACAGTAAACCCAATTCGCCGAGGGCACCAGAATAGGCGACCCAAAAGGTCATCACAAGTTCTCTTGCTAGCTCAAATTCCGCGTATCACGGATAGACAGGCTATCATGGACTCAGTCCGGCTTACTCTGCCCTTTTCTATGGGGTCCCGTTCATACCTACTCGTAGTCATTCATACTCGTACAGTCCAAAGTAGCAACTCGACGATTCATGCCCACCACTTGCAGAAACTGCCCGTGCAGCTCTCACGGCCTCGGCCTGTGACAGGCCGCTGCAAGTACAGTAAGTAATTCCTGCGCACCATCACACGCTGATCCTCTCCCCCAGGGGCAAGTCCCTGTAATATGCCTACTAGGTTAGTAGGTAGCCTTTTTTTTTTATTCCCTTCTCTGGGTCGTCTTCTATTTCCACCTTTCACATGATACATCGTGGCCCCAGGAACCCATGAGGGCCCTGCCGCCCTGGTACAAAAGCAAATCTCGGTATCCGTAAATGTCCTCTGTTACGCAGCTCCACAAGGTAATAAGTTTTTTTTTTCTGTCATAATATACAGATGATTGTTGCTTTTGCGGGAAGAGGATCTCGCGCCATGGGTTCGGCGTGCTTGCGAATAGAACGAATCAAATACCACTTCCAGAATGAAACACCTCTCCTCAGATACGGAGTTTCCACCGTCCCGAGATCAAGCCCAAACTCAATCCCGCAACTATTTCCGCCAGACTTGGTGTTCGTTCCAGAACATGGAACCGACGGAACCAAAGAATGCGTTGTATCGAAAGGGCTGGCACGCCTCCAGACCCGGAAATACGGCCACGGGTAGCGAACAGCCTTGGGGGCCCTGTTTGATACACCCGTGCTTCTGCTCCTTTTCAAACTCACGTTAGACAAGGTAGCATTGTCTGGGACCGTCCTTTGCTCGAGTAGGCATCTCGTCTCTCAAGAAAACGCCTCGTTTGGGAACAGGTGAGAAGCGTCCAAGGTGTGGTGCCGTGCTGCTCACTTCCCGTACAGGTAGGAGGCTGGCCTACTAGGTATTTGGATGTTCAAGTCACATTGCTATTCTCGTAAGGCGCCTCGCCTAGATCCCTAGCCACATGGCACAAAAGTACAACATCAATGTAATATCGCGGCAAATTAAGTAAGATTGCCATCAACAAAACGAGCTGTTGGTTTCCAGAGTGTGGCCACAGAAGTTCGAGTACGTACTTCCGTCTGACGTCGCAGCTTACCCTGAAGCTGAGACGGGATTTAGGAGATACCGTCTGTCACGTTGCATACAAGGATTCTTTTTTTTTTTTTTTTTTTTTTTTTTTTTGGTTTTCCTCTTTTTTTTCCAGCTCTCATTTGTGTAATACGAAGCATCTAATTACTTCCAACTTTTGATGTTCGATGCTAGACATCCTGGGAGCTTACGAGAAAGTGATAAATGTCGTATCGCGGCCAGAAAGGAGGCGAGCCGACAATACCTACCGACTGCTTGCACGCCCAGATACACTCGCGGATTTTTCTCGGACTTCATCTACAGCTGTGGTTTGCGCACAGGATGCCAATTTCGAGAAGTGAATGACAGCGAATTGTGTCACAGCTGCCAACACGAGGTGGGATTGAACTGAGACAGTCTCTCGGCACCACATCCAAGACACTGATCTACATCAATCCGGTGACTCGCGAGCGAAGCGACTGCCCGATGTCAAGCGTCACGCGACACTCTGACTCTGAACTACCAAGTAGACGGATTTCCGCCCAACAATGGGGTATAGCATCCCCAAACCATCTGTCAGGCACGGGAGAGTCATTCATTGTCTGTGTCGATATCTAGATCCCATGCCTTTGTTACGGCCGTGGTCACTTCTGATACTACCTCGGCTCGCCCAGACGGGTAGTATGTTTCATGAATCAAGTGCGTCATTATGAGTAATGCAATGTCTGGTGTCTGATAGCTATGCAATTAAATGCATCACCCGCGGAAGCTTGAAATGGAGGGCCTGAAGCGTGCTGCCCATGCTGCCAAGACGGTCTCCCTTTCAATATCTCACACGTAGAATGAGAAATGAAATCCCATTTCCAGACCCAAGTTCACCTACCCTGGTGCTGTTTTCACATTCCCTGACTATCGTGTCCGATTCGATACCGACATGTCACTGATAGAAGATGCTCATTTACCAAAGTTGCTTCGTATACAAGGTACCCTGGAGTAAATCACATGAGTAAATCACATCCTTCGGCAAAGTTATCACTATCATTGTGCCAGATGGGGCATCTGGACTGAACTACTAAGTAAAGCATGTCGGATGAGGCATTGGCGTTTGCTCCTCCTACCGTCTTTTGCTAACAAGCCGTGACGTATAATCGAAGCATTCAAACTATGACTAGAGCCTTTCACTCGAACATCTAATAGCACACAATCATTTTAAGCTGCTGTCAGTTGACACTTCTGTTGCTTGACAGCATTTGTAGGCCGTGCTCCATCCGAAATCAACCACCCTATTGTCCAAACAAGGCTCTGCCGACAAAAAAAAAGTCAATCTAGTTACTCAAAGTTAGCGAGATCAATACAACCAAGCTAAGTAGAAGAGAGAGGCTCACCTGATCAAACTTGGTACCCCTTTCCTCCACAATTAAAGAGCCGGGCATGCCCCTGTTCCTCGGCTCTGTACCTTGCCCCAGCCGTGCTGCGTCCTTCGGTATGCTACTTATCCGCTGTGCGCTCTTGTGCGCGAGGAGAGCGGTTGATTATGAGATGAGATCAGCAACGTTCATCGGCATCTCATCGATTTGAGTTGAGTAATACACTGTGTTGAGCGAGTTAGTGTTTGTCACGGGGTAAACGCGAGGGTATACAACGTACACTCAATGTCTCGGAGGATGCGCACATCTTCCGTGGTCACAAAGTTGATGGCCACGCCCTTGCGGCCGAATCGTCCACTGCGACCAATTCGGTGAATGTAGTTTTCTCGGTTGCTTGGCAAGTCGTAGTTGATAACTAGACTGACCTGCTGCACATCGATACCACGTGCCCACACATCTGTCGAGATGAGAACTCGGCTGTTTCCCTGTCGGAAGTCTTGCATAATGCTGTCACGTTCCTTCTGAGGCATGTCACCATGCATGGAGCTGACGGTAAAGTTGGCCTCGCGCATCTTGTCCGTAAGCCAGTCGACTTTGCGGCGTGTGTTGCAGAAAATTACGGCTTGGGTAATGGTGAGGGTGTCGTAAAGGTCACACAGAGTGTCGAATTTCCAGTCCTCCTTCTCCACGGCGATAAAGTATTGCTTCAATCCTTCCAGCGTGAGTTCGTCTCGCTTGACCAAGATTCGGACTGGGTCGGTCATGAACTTGGTGGTCATGTCAAGGACATCGTAGGGAAGGGTGGCACTGACGACCACGACCTGCGTCGCCGGTGGCAAGTAGCGGTAGACATCGTAGATTTGCTCCCGGAACCCCTTGTTAAGAAGCTCATCAGCTTCATCCAAGATGAGCATCTTGATGTGCCTCGTCCTAAGATGGCGTCGTCGAATCATATCAGCCACTCGTCCTGGTGTGCCCGAAACAATATGCTGGCCGTAGTCGAGCTTGCGAATATCCTCCCCAACGTTGGTGCCACCGATGCAGGCGTGGCACTGCACGTTCATATAATCACCCAATGCCATGACAACCGACTGGATCTGCGTAGCCAGTTCTCGTGTGGGGGAAAGGACAAGAGCTTGCGTCTCGCGCACGGCCGTGTCAATAACTTGCAGCATGCTAATCGAGAAGGTGGCTGTCTTTCCCGTGCCGGACTGGGCTTGCGCGATGGTGTCGCGTCCCTTGCAGATCTGGACAATGGCCCGCGACTGGACGGCGGAGGGGGATTCATAGCCGTAAGCGTAGATGCCGCGGAGAAGATTCTCTACATGGTCACCGTTAGCAGACAAATCGACACGATTGACAGAGGCGGTAGACTAGGTAGGTGGCTTTACCCTTGAGCGACATGGCCTCGAAAGTCGGGTGCACCGTCACCTCTTTGGAGGTGGAAAACTCCATCCTCTCATCCGCCTTGCGGTCAATGCCTCCAGCGCCCTCAGCCATGATGTAGCAAGATGGATTGTGTTGTAGGGGATAAAGTGATTTGCTGAACCTGCTGGCAGCTCCGGGATGATGATGTTAGGTCGGCAGTTGGGGATCTTGGCTCCAAAACTTTTGGATCGACCGATAACGTTTCTGGCGTCGGAGATACCCCGGCAAAACCGATAAGGCGCTTTTGCCCCCCAAGACCTTCTAAAAACGCGACCTGCTGGGTGTTTTTTTATGGAGTCGTTGAACGCTACCTCATGCATTGGCTGAAGCAGCGATTTCCTCTTGGTGTCGCGCCGACCTTGTTCTTCTTCTCTCTTCTGCCCTTTATTCCTTTCAGCTCCCAATATCACGGCCTTACACAATGTTAGTCCTAGAAGAGCAGCGTTACATCCACGAGGATCTAGAGCGCCTTGAACAGGGCATTGCGGACCGCATCCGCGAGGACCCCAAGCATGTGAGCTCCCCCAGACTACCTTATGATTCTGTTCTCCATTCCAGACGATGCCTAACGAATACCGTTGATTCAGATTCGCGACCGCCTCAACCGCGACCACGAAGTTGCACAGCTCTTGGATCAGATCCAGGCCCAATCCCAGAACCTACTCAACATCTACGGGGACGAGTCTGGAAGCAGGGCCCAAGAGATCCAACAGATCGGCACCGGAGATCCGTTCGAAGAGTTTTATCGTCAGTGGAAGGACGTTCGAGATCACCACGCAAGATATCCCAATGAGCAGGCGGAGAACTCAGAGCAGCGATACAAGGTGTCGAGACATGGCGATCCGTCAGAACCTATGCCCTCCATTGTCGACTCTCTGTTCTCAGGAGAGGAGGCCTACGGAAGATTTTTTGATCTAAATACTTGTCACGAATCTTTTCTCAACCTGCCAAACGTAAAGCGGTTGACCTATCTGCAGTATCTCGAGTTGTTTGACAACTTTGCGCCCGGCTTTGCAGGCGTAAAGCGGAATGAGAAGCTTACTGATCAGTATTTCAAATATGTCGGAGATTTAAGCGATTATCTCGAGTCGTTTATGCGACGGACACGACCTTTGGAGAATGTGGACAAGATCGTGCAGTCCTTTGACCAGGAGTTTGATGCGGCTTGGACCAAGGACGAAGTAGAGGGGTGGACTCTTGAACAGGCGACATCAACCAAGCAGCGCACAGGAGACGCCATATGGTGCGACGACTGCGAGAAAGAATTCGCCAACGAAAACGTCTACAAGAACCACCTCAAGGGACGAAAGCATATCAAAGCCGCAGAGCAGCGAAGCCAGCGACAGGAAGAGTCGAAGCCGGCAGCGAATGGTTCTGGGAAGGGAGTAGTCTCTCCAAACAGACTAAAAGAGCGAGCTGTAGCAGAGCGCGAGCACCGAGTCAAGCGATTGGCCAGTGCCATGAGTACCGAGCGGGGCGATACCCGTGTCAACGTCGAACGCAAGCAAGGAATGACAGAACGAGAGCGTCAACAGGAACTGGACAACCTCCTCAACGTGTCTGATACCCGTCACGAACCGATGGATGAAGACGATGGTGAAGGCGAGGATGGCGAAGAAAAGATTTACAACCCTCTCAAGCTCCCTCTGGCCTGGGATGGAAAGCCCATTCCCTTTTGGCTGTACCGATTACACGGACTCGGAGTGGAATTCCCCTGCGAAATCTGTGGAAACTTTGTCTACATGGGCCGACGTGCGTTTGATAAGCACTTTAACGAGGCCCGCCACGTGTATGGCCTCAAGTGCTTGGGCATTGCCAACACCAGTCTGTTCCGAGACATTACAGGGATTGACGAGGCCATGAGACTCTGGGAAAAGATCCAGAAAGAGAAGAAGAGGGGAAAGATTGACGACGGTAGCGTCATTCAGATGGAGGACGGTGAAGGAAACGTTATGCCGGAGAAGGTATACTACGATTTACAGAAGCAGGGCTTGCTTTGAACGGTTCATGTATCATAGGCTGGGAGTTTGTGGATATGGCGATTTGGACGGGCAGGGAACATACTTGCCTGATATGGTAGTAATTAGATTTCATTGAGAGAATTGGGCGTTTTATCCGCAAAGATTTCTGTTGTTCGCTGTTGTCTCTCATCGACAGAATTGCTTAGTCATGCTCGATTTAGGCATCACCAAATACCAAGGCGCGTTATTACCCGGGAGTGTTTTCTCTTCATGTTCGCCCCGTTTGTAATCAATAGCATGCCCAATATCGGTCTTGATATTGATGACGCATTCCAGAATTCCAAGCGGTGAGCAAGCATAGGCATGTCAGGCCTTGTCAAACCTCTGCCGGCTTTATACGTCGTTTACGTCCTGCGCTCAACAGTGAGGCCCGGCTCGATATACATTGGATCCACGCCAAATCCCCCCAGGCGGTTGAAGCAGCACAATGGCGAGGCCAAGGGCGGCGCAGTGCGCACATCGCGCGATAGTCTTCGTCCTTGGGAGATGATTGTGTTGGTTTCTGGATTCCCGAGCTCGACGGCAGCCCTCAAGTTCGAGTAGGTTTCAAACCTCCCTTCATTAATTCGTTTGTATCGTGCACTGACGTGAAAATGGCAAGATGGGCTCTAAATAATCCACATCTTACTCTACACATACCAAAGGAAGAGCGTATCACGGTGGCGACACAGAGGAAAAAGAATGGCATGCCGAGGCGAAGGCCGCACAGCCTCAAGTCTGTCATTCCCAATCTTCACCTTCTCACGAGCGTGTCAAGTTTTTCAAGGTGGCCATTGAACCTGCATTTCTTTAGTCAGGACGCCCACAAGGCCTGGAATGACCGGAGCGAAGCAAGAGAGACTCCCACCACCTCAAGCCCGAAGATATTGACCGACTTTGGCCCGTCTGCAGGGGATGCGTCGGCGACGTCGTGGGGGATTCACGCTCTGGCGTTGGATTACTCTCCGATGAGAGACTACATTGAGAAAGCCCACAATGTGACATCGTTTGAGAGGCAGGGGCAATGCATTCACTGCCGTAAAGAGATGCAGCCTGAGCAAGGCTTATACGCAATGTGCCCTAACGACGGCTGCGAGGCAATGGGGCACGTCGACTGTTGGAGCAAGCATGCGCTGGCGGGTGATGAGCCCGGTGCCATTATTCCGACTGGCTGCAAGTGCCCAGCATGTAGCGGCGAAATACGATGGGGGGACATGATGAAGGAGTTGAGTCTGCGGACGCGTGGAACAAAAGAGGTGGAGAAGCTGCTGAGGAAGAAGAAGCGGACAAAGAAGGACTCGTGATGGGGAGCCAATTGGGGGGCAGTTTTGGGGCCTCTGGAGATTTGGCGTTTCTAGAAGAAAGTATAAGTGGGCTTTGCGTAATTTTTTTCATCTTTGATTTTGTCTACTATCGGTGGTTAAGATTTACTAGATTCGTCGGATGAAGCCCGTGGTTCAGATAGAGTTGTGACTTGTGCGTGATGTATCGGCTACAGCCGGCCAGAATCCATCTATCCATAAGTACCTATCAATGTCTGCAACGACCACATAGGTGATTTAGGTATAATAATCATGTTATTGGTGTTTCCATCAACTGAGAAAAAAATCGTGCCTTTGACAAGCAAACAGTCAACCGCAGCACCGTTCAATCCAGGTTCGGCATCTTGCTGCTACCTAGACCAAGACTGATCTGGTGATGGTGGGGTGATGACGGCACCGGCTCAGTGGGGGCTGCGCACCAAAAACTCGGTAATCTGGGCTTTTCGGAGCTTTGAAAAGGCCAAAGGCGTGCAAAAGGAACTGAGGCTGGACGCTGGTACGGGCACACAGCGCCCCGAATCTGGGGTTCCAGTGCGCGGTAGAACGGCATGCCACTATATTCTCAGGTAAGATGTAAGAAGCGGTGATACAGGGCATCCGCCCGCTGATTACGAGCTGCACATCATCAAATCCTTCTGGTCTCTCCCGCACGAGGCTGCCTCAGCCAGCTGCTAATTGTGGACACGTCCGTTCAACCTCACCGACGCGTGATTGGCTCGGCACCGGCCACACATGGGCCTGACCCTTGTCGGTGCAACCACTCATATCAGATTTGCGTCTTGGCCGGAGGGAAATAAGAGAGAGAGAGAAAAAAAAAATTATGGGCATTGTCAGCAAACCGTTCGGCTATTTTCTGGCGCTACGGTGCAAGCTGGGCCTTGACTTTTGTACAAGCACAGCACGGCGCGACAATGATTTTCCGGGTTGGACGGGTTGCTGGGGGGAGTTTTCGGTTGCGTTTGGACGGATCAATGCGAAAATACGCGCAGCATCGGGATGGCTTGCAGGGGATTTGCAATGGGAGCTGACTCGGCGCGACAACGAGCTTCTGTCTCTTTTTGATGTGTGCAAGTACACGTATGCGAGTTGGCATGTATCGCGTTTGCTGTTGACCAATGTCGCGAACTGCCATGGTTTACTGCCGTCAAGACCTAGGTACCTCAGTAGGTAGAGCAAAACTCGCAGAGGGAGTTGAGCTCCATTGTTCTGATTCATAAGAGAAATTGGCGGAGCACATGGCAGCAAATGGTGTAATGCGAGTCGAGCCCACAGTCAGTCAGCAAGGCCAATCAATGTACAACAAAGGATCAGCCCGAGTACTCTACTGTACTCTACTGTACAACTTGCATTGCATCCATAATTCCATTTTCCCCTTCCAAACTCGGGCATAGGGCGGGAGCAAACGAAAACCGACCAGACCCTTCCATCGCACCCTTTGCGGGCTGGTAGTGCGACAAGGAGCCGGATGTCGTCTGCGGTGGGGCTGTCGACCTGAACTTTGCTCGTACCAAATACATGTACATATGGATGTATCCGGTCTCCCATGGCGCCGGCCGCTATTGGAAACGCCGCAGAAAAAATTAACAAGAGAGGCAAAAAAATTAAAAAAAAAAAAAAAAAAAAAAAAAACCGCCGGCCTTGGATGACGCTCACTGCCGTAGTAGAAGCTACCGGGCGCCTCAGCAGTTGCTCATATGCATCGCATCACATGTATACATGCGGCAATCAACGCATGGCACAGGTTACCTGTATAGGACATGTGCTGTGCTGTAGTGCATGCAAGTAGAAGTACCTGCGACCCCTGTGCGATCCGGCTGATGCCTCTTGATCGGTGGCCCCGGTGGGAGCACTGCAGCGGATCCGAGAGAACGAAGAGGACCGGATCGTCCGCACAGGGAAAAAATGTCCTGCAAGTACAGGTACCGCGCCAGAAGAGCCTCTCTCAGCAGCTTTTGCATCATGGACGACTCCATACCGCAAGTACACAGCGGGACAGCCAGGGGAGGTACCGGATACATGCGCGCAACAGGATGCTTCTGGGAGGTAAAAGTGCCTGCGGCTGCGGGCTGATGCACCTCGAGCATGGAAGCTTTGCTCCAAACCCAACCGCTTCAGCGCGTTAGAAATGTCCCCCGAAAGTACCCCGTACCACGCGCATAAGTCCAACCGCAGAGCGATAGGCTGCATACGGCGTAGCGGCGGTACTTGCCCAGTAAAAAACGCCCGGGGTCCATCGAGCCAGCGGCCGCCCATTGGCTGCTGCGGCCATGGGTCCCACCCACACGGACCACCTGGCTGGCTGCAGCGCACAGCTCCTGGCAGGGCAAGTGCAGCCCAGCTGCGAGCACAAGTTCCCGATACCTCGCGCGCACGCTGTTTGCTGGTGGCAGAGTTCCCCTCAGCGCCGTACCCAGGTACAAGTACCGGCCCGTAAGGCATCCTCTTGCACCAGCAGCACCGCGCCTGTACTTTCCAAGGTACTCTGTACTCTGTAGAGAACGCCTAAGGCCCTGTACCAGTACTTCGGAGGGCCGCACTGAAGCAGGTACCTGTCGGTCGCTCTGACCCCGTCCCTCTGCTGCTCTGCCAGGAACGTCCTGCGCACCTTCACGCCGGAAGCCTCGACCCATTCCACTCGTGCGCTTCCGCCCACTCTCTAAATCCAATCTCGCTCCGGCATCTGCACCACCCAAAGGGCCAACGAGACTCGCAGAAACTCGCTGGCTTTTGATTCTGCGGCTCCCTTGGCCCTCTGCCCGCCGTTGCACGCTTCACTGATCGCCCGAATCAGCCCTGTATGTATGTCTATGCCCATGTCTGTCCATGTCTCTCTCTGACTCTCCCATCTGCTGCACTGCCCTTCGTGTTAGTTGCGCCATGTTCCATGTTCCAGCTGCCCGTCCTTGACCACTTTGTTTTACATCCCGTTTCTTTCTGCAGCGCCAAATCTTCATGCTCATGCTTATACTCCGCTAGTCGAGCCGCCATCTTTCCTTTACCTTTTTTTTTGCTGTGCCGGCCCAGATAAGAAACGCCACGGCCACTTCTCCATCACGTCTCGACTTGCCCCGGCCCGAGACGCACATGGTCCCTCGCATACATGATGCCATGCGGATTGAGCCTCCACGATAGGTGTCTCGTCATATGAGCCTGTTTGGCCGCCTCCTCCCTGTCCATATCGAACGACAAACGACGCCTGCGCCTGCTCTCAACCACGCCCCCGTGACCCTCCGAAATCCTGGGGTCGGAATTCGTTTGCGCCATGGCCCCGACAGCCTCGCTCAGCGCTGCCGCTGCCGCCTCTGGTAGTGCCAATGCCAGTTCGCGCAGCTCGCCTGCGATTGGGGCGTCTGCGGCCTCCTCGTCCTCGAAGCCGAAGCACAAGGTCAACTCCAACGGCTATCATCCTACAAACCCCCCCGTGCCGCTGAGCTCCATGGTCAGCGCGCCATTGGATCTCACCTCGGTCGAGAGACGCGGCCAGCCCACGGCGGTGCGGGAGCCGCTCAAGAAGAAAACACGACCGCACGGCATATCAGAAGCCCCGACCTACTGTCCGACTGAACACGAATGGCGGGACCCCTTGCAGTATATTCAAAAAATCGGTCCCGAAGCATCTCAATACGGCATCTGCAAAATTATTCCACCCGATTCATGGAACCCCGAATTTGCAATTGACACCGAAGTATGTGCTTTTGCGCCAACAGGGCGCTTGGCGATCTGGGGGCGTGTCCAACGGTACAAATTCGCTGACCAAGTCGATAGAAATTTCACTTTCGTACTCGAAAACAAGAATTGAACTCCGTCGAAGGCAGTAAGTCTTTTATGTTGCAGAGCAGGAAACTCCCCTCCTGTTTCCACAAGGAGAGAGGCGAATAGGAAAACAAGGGAATTTGCTTATTAATTTTTTTTCTTCGTCTTTTAGGTACGAGGGCCAATCTTACCTATTTAGATGGCCTTGCCAAGTTTCACAAGCAGCAGGGGAACAACCTACATCGCCTGCCGTATGTCGACAAAAAGCCCCTCGACCTTTATCGCTTGAAGAAGGCAGTCGAATCCAGAGGCGGGTTCGACAAGGTCTGTAAGTTGAAGAAATGGGCCGAGATTGGAAGAGATCTCGGCTACAGTGGCAAGATCATGTCGTCATTGTCCACGTCGCTCAAGAACTCGTTCCAGCGATGGCTTTGCCCGTACGAAGATTATCTGCGTCTCGCAAAGCCTGGAGTTCACCAGCAGCTTGAACAAGAGTATGGCGGCCCTTTGACCCCGAGCCCCGCACCAACGCCCGTGAAGCGATCTACAGTCAACACTCCGAGCAGCGCCCGAGGAGCTTCGCCTGCCCGACAGGCATCCGATGCTCTACAGAACAGCGTCGCCGGCAAAAGAGAGATGGATCGAGACACGCCCATGGCCGATGCGCCGCCTGCTCCCACTTCAGCGGGACCTACTTCTGGATTTACAGCCATCAACACCAACGGCGGCTTCACTGCAGTCAATTCGGGCTTCACCAGCGTCAACCGTTCCACCAATGGCGAGAGCAAGAGTTACACCCCAGATTCTAAGCGATACGACAGCCCCGCTACATCCACGAGAAATACCCCCGAAGCTCGGCCATCGGGCCTCGGCTCCGCTGTTGCACTGAAACGGCAATTGAGCGTCGGCAGCCCAGCAGACTCCATCAAGAAGGAAGGGGATACCGACAAGGACGACGCTGACATGGCCAGCCGGCGCAGCAAACGCCTCAAGAAGGATAATGTTCCTACAGTGGCTGGTTCGCACATGACCGTGTTTCGCCCCTCTGTCCCCAGAATTCCCCGGGAAGAAGGTGCTGCTGCAGGAAACAAGTGCGAAAACTGCGGACGCGGAGATGATACCGGACCTCTACTCGTTTGCGAATCTTGTGATCATGCGTACCATGGCCCTTGCCTTGATCCCCCGCTGAAGCGAAAGCCCGAGGCCGAGTGGAACTGCCCGCGGTGCTT